TATACATCGTGGGTTCTATTGTTCCATTATTAACTAATACTGCCTTACAAAGTACAGTAGACATGTCAAAGTCTTAGTCGTAACGCCAATATTACGGAAGGGGTCCCTACAGCCTGGGCACTGGAACTCCATTCCAACGATGGCTATGGGATTATGAGGCATCGATCCAGACCCATCCACGTACGCACTGTTGCTTTTGGCAGGCGTGACATCTTGGCAAACTGTATTTTGCTGTGATGGGCAGTTGTTGTTTCAGCCCAGCATGGCATGATCAAGCAACAGGAGAATTGTTTTGAGAGCCGCTCGACATTCATTTCCAGGCGTGCAAGTCGGGAGTGAGTGTAGGGGTCTGTCTGATGGGACCAAATTACAGTACGTATGAATAATGTGGGTGTTAGAGACTGGAGTGGGTGTGGTCAGTGGACTTCTTTTTCGATTCGATTGGACCTCAACCAGCTTCTCTCCATTTCCTCTACGACGGTGGGTAGCCATGAATGTCAATCAAAACCCCATGCCTGTCCATCCCCCATCCCCATCATATCTCCATGGGTTCCATGACACTGTTCGGGAGAGCCATGTCCCCAAATTTCCAATCCTGGCTCTTGGGCTTGGGTCTGATAATGATCATATCGGTTTCCCTGCAGTCCCAGAAAAAAATGAATTGGGTTCAATGTCAGTAGGCTGTCTGTTATTATGTAGGATTGATTTTCCATTCTCCCTCCCTCTCCCTCTTCCTATCCCTACTTGAAACGCCTTCGACCGGATTGTGCACGCTCATAACATCAACCAGCTACCTGGGTCTGGCTAGAGAGTAAGCCTTTCCGTTCTTAGCTTCCTCTTGCATATACAACTACTTTCACAAGTCCTGCACATTCCCGTCTTTCTTTCACACTGTCCATGAGACTTTTGTCTGACGCTCTGAGCCCTTCTTCGTTCGGCCGCCCTCAGAGCTCTCCCCGCCTGTTCTTAGGTTGAGGTTGGTGTCATTGTCATCAGTGCAAGTGGCCGCAGTGATTCGTCCACTGCTGGGACGTCAACCTAGCTAAAAAGAGGTCTTTGACGCTTAATCAGACAAGCAACTTTGATCTTTGCGGAGTCACCGAGCTGTGCGAACACTTCCAGGGATCTGTGCTGTTTCGTCAATCGTCACCGTACTCTGGCGCGCCAACTGGTTGTGTCGTGCCCTTTGGCTTTGGCTTTGCCTTTTGCCCGAGCAGCCTATCACCTGGCCGAGGTGTCAAGATAGAGTCGCTGGCAATCTCGCCTCCTCTCCCCGCCTTCTAGAAAACCCAGAGCCCTGAAAAAAGCCCCTATGCGAGGCTGATCAGCAGCGACCATCCATCTGAACCAGGGTGTGGCCTAAACCTAACCCAAGCTAAGACAACCTGCTAAAGTTAAGCTAACCTACTGTAACTTTGCTTTGCGTGGGAACTAAGGTATCCGTACTGTACAACACTGTACCGTACAGTGCATTACAGTCCTTCCTCTTCCTAACTTGCTTGAGCTTTTTAGTTTGGAGAGCTTGTCGTTTTGCTTTGCTCCAACCAACGACCAGGCGGGACCAGCCAGAGCCAGCGCCAGCCCAGCTGCAAATCGCCGCTCTTGTCTGTGCTATTACCACATCCCAGTTCATCGTTCGCCTCTCCTCCTCTTCTGTCACCTTTTCCCCCCATACTTGAAGCGAAGCAACACTGCGCAGCTCGCCTACCAGCACCGGGAACCGCTTGAACCAGCCAGCTACAACCAGGCCAGGTCAGGCCAGGACAGCCCAGCTCAGGTTATCCTGCAAGACATCCATTGTCCCACCCGCTCATTTCTGCACATAGAGAGCAGGTATTGTCCAGTACAGTACGAGACGGTTCGCATCGTGTCGCATCATATCGCATCGCATCAAATCGCATTACATCAACTTTACTGTACGTTGGGTTACTTCCTTCACCTGCGCTTGCGCTTTTGCTTTCGCTTTCCTTGACCGGCCCCCGATCCCGACTCTATCATGTCGCTCCCTCCCCCGGTGTCTCTCGGCTTCTGATCCACCGTCTCGCGCCCGCGATACCGTCTCTGTTCCTTTTCCTTCCTTTCCCACATCGTTCGTCGTCGTCTCAAAGTTTAGTTTGCCATAGTACACACCCACTTGTTCTCTACACCCCCATCAGGCTCGAGCTCACCCTCCTCCTTCTTTCCTTCGTACTCGACCTTGCCTTCATTTATCTACCTATGTACTCCATCCTTTAACCTCCCCGTTTCCTCCCGTTCTTGTCTGCAGCTCGTTTCTTCTTGCATACTCTGTTTCTTCAAGAGCAAGCATTATCGAACCCGACCCTGGCCTCGTCTGTACCTGATCCTTTTTGTCGACTAACCATCATGGCTACAGCGCACATGGCCGTCAGGACCGACACCTTTCCGCACTCAACCTCCCGCTCTCATAGCCATAGTCACCAGTCAATGGGAGCCCGCATTATTCCCATACCTACTCCTACGATCAAAATGTCTCCTCCCAGTAACGGCGATCCGATGGAGATAACCTCACCTGCGCCATCGTCTAACGGTAACCACAACTCTGACTCCGAGGCCAATGGCAACGGCCAATCCAACGATCGACCCAAGAACTCTCCCGCACCCGATAACAACAACGTCACGAGCAATAATGTCAACAACTCTAACAGCATGCCCGCGCCTCCGCCCGCGGCTGCTGCTGTGCATCAGCCCAAGATCGTGCAAACAGCCTTTATTCACAAGCTCTATAAGTGAGAACGCGCTGCCAACAACTTTTACAGCGTCTTGCTAACAATACGCTAGCATGCTGGAAGATCCTAATATCCAACATTTGATTTCCTGGTCTGCGAGCGCTGAAAGCTTCGTTATGTCGCCCTCGGCCGACTTCTCAAAAGTTCTATCGTGCGTTTACAGCAACTATAAACTGGTCGATTAGTAGGCGACTGACGCCTTCTAGGCAATACTTCAAGCACACCAACATATCATCGTTTGTGCGACAGCTCAACATGTACGGTTTTCACAAGGGTGCGTGTCAGAAAGCTTTAGATGTTGAGATTTTCATGATAACTAACATGCAGTAGAGCGCGATGTTTTCCACACAGGAAACCCCGATACGACTCTGTGGGAGTTTAAGCACGGCAATGGCAACTTCAAGCGTGGCGATCTGGTCGGCCTACGCGAGATTAAGCGCCGAGCCAGTAGACATGCACTTGTGCACCGCGAGAGCAATTATACAAAGCCTGTGACATCGCAACCGGGCACTCCGGCAGAGCCAGTCCCCCTTCCTCCAGACAGTGCTGACGCCCGGTTGCTCAACATTGAGCACACGCTCTTTGATTTGAGTAACCGCCTACAAAGGAGTGAAGAGGCCGCTCACTATATGCACGTTAAGAACCAGGCAACTATGGAGACCATGAACCGTCTGCTCCAGTTCAACCAAGAGCTCTCTAGAACCATGTTGTCCATTGTTCCTGCCGAGAGCCCAATTTCCCGTGACGGTATGTACTATTTTAGCAGGATGTTGGTAGTATCTGACAATGATCCAGTGATTGCTTTGCAGGGTGAGATCCAGAGGCAAGTTGATGTGCTCAGAACGATCGAAGAGCCACCACAGGAGCCCCCTTATACTGGTCGTCAACAGTACTTTGCTGGTGTCGAGAATGCTCCAGTATCTCCGAGACAACTCGCCCAAGATGACCACAGACGGGGCCCTACTCTAGGTGTTCCTTCGGCACGCAGCCAGAACTTCTACAAGCCCCCAGTTCCCTCCAACCTGTCAGTCGGCACACGGAGACCGTATGGCTCGATTAGTGGCAGCAGCACTACTCAATCATCCCCATTGCGCACAGCTCCCCCACCTCCACCCCCGGCACCCCATCCTCTATCCAACGTCGAGACTGTTCCTGGTCCTGGTAGCTTAGCACGCCGCCACACTGCTGCCGACATTCGCGCCCACGGTTGGCAACCAACACCCTCTCCTTTCGCTTCTGGCGCCCCATCAGGTGCCTGGCCCCCTTCGCCTAGCCGAGCTGCTCCTGAAGAGCAACGGATCAGGGATTCTTTGTCAACATATTCGCTACAAAATGCATCTCAAGCACACCCCCACTCGCGTCCAACTACTCCTCCTCCCCCGTTTGTGAATGGTGTTAGTGGAGGTTCAGACACCTTTGGAGGATGGACATGGGGCTCTGCTGGTCGCGAGAACAAGAACCTGTCAGTGAAGGACCACTCCGCCCCCACAACTCGACGCGGAAGCATGGCCCATATTCTCAATCCTAGTGATACTGCAGAGAGGTCGGACGAAGATGAGGACCCTCGGGGAGATGACGACAGAAAGAGAAAGCGAATGCAGTAAAATACACCAAACGAAAACGAAAATACAACATAATCAAACCGGCTGACCCGGGAAACCTTTTCTTTTTAAATCTCAACTGGACACAACAGCTATCTTTAACAGAGGCGCATCACGTACATACTACACATTTCATATATGGATATTCATTTCGCAGACATCACACCAGGCCACGCACATATTTGCAATTCTATGGCAAAGGCAGCCTGCTTTGGAGTATAGGGCATGGGATGGGCTAGAGGACGGTCACGGGAGGCTTTCTTCATCACCAGCGCGACGCATTACAATACCATGGCAGGCATTCTGTTTGAGTTTGACACCGTGGACTTTTTTCTTGGCTCTCGCTGACACAGAATGGGTTCATTTTGGTACATTGAGAGAGACGGTTATTGTGTTCTTGGGAGGAGTTGCATGATTGGTGCTGGATTATACCATCGGAAGGCTGTTATCATGGGGTAGGATATTTTGAATCTTAATGACCACCGTTGATATAGCACCGTGTTGTGATTATAAGTTGATGTGAAGTTCAATCAAGGTAACGGTTCTTGTAATTTGACCAATTGCTTGCCGGTTGTGACAGTAATGGCTAGAAAACACGATTCTATGACGAGTCAAGAATCGCATTTGGGTATCTTATTACTAGTAAATCTTCTCATACTGTTACCCCTGCCTCTGCCTCTGCATTCTCCGTCTTTTGCTTCTTCTTGTTCTTTCTCCTGCGCTTCTTGTCTGCCGTCTTCTCAGGATTCGCACTCTCTTCCTGGGCAACGTGCTTCATTTCAACATCTGCTTCTTCAACCTCAGCTCCATTACCATTCTTCCCTTCACTTTCAGACGTCGTTGTAGGCAACACCTGATTCTCAATCTCCGGCTCAAGCTCAGGCTCGACAACCTGTCTTCGCGGCCTCTTCCTCTTTCCCAGCGCACTCCTTCCCATTTCTTCTTCACTCTCGCTCTCTTCCACCCTTTTCTTGGCCTTGCCTGCAGCACCCTTGCCCAGTCTACCCCTCAGCATCCTTTCCTCCTTGGAGTTTGCGGGTTTTTGCACGTCTTTCTTCTCGGGGATATAGCCGACTCCGGTGTTGGGTTGTGTGCCGCGTGTGAGATCGTCGTCGTTGTCGTCAGGAATAACACGGCGTCGGACAGGTGTAGAAGTACTGCTACTGGCCATATTTTTTAGAATCGATGACCTTGAGGCGATAGAGAGTGAGATGCGGTTTGTGAGAGCGGCATAGTTGTCTGCGACAGGCAGAGGTGGAGGTGGTGCGGGAGCCATTGCGACTTTTGATCCTGTGAAGTAATATGTATAAAGCGGAATTTACGAAGCCTTGAAATCGAACGAGAGTTTGCAAGAGTTGGATTTGAGACGAGCTAGGAACGGAGGATCGGCGGCTGCCGGCTGATAGAAGTTGGTGATGTTCAAGTTTGGTGGAGAGGCTTCTACCGAAGAATTTCACATGCGACATTCTAGAACGGGTACTTATCTTATCTACTGCAACATCAACAAATGCAAAACATGGCAATTGCGCGAAGCTTATAATACAACATGAATATGGCGTGAAATTTCGGGATATTTATTTAATTTGATCTTAAAAGTATATACTTGAATTAATTAGAATTAAGGAAACCAGACAATGTCCATCCGTCAGTACTCCGCTGTCTCTATTTTAAGTCGTAAATTCGTAAACGTAAAGTAACCTGCCCTTGTCGCGCGCAGCTCCAGAACAAGTTGGTTTAGTAACTGGCAGTCGTGTCTCTTAGACTGAGCACGTAGGGCAGGTCTGTAGCGTCTTGATGTGTGGCTAGCCGTATTATAGACCCTGAGCTACCCGATGATTTAGATCGAAGACTTGAGGTTGACGGCTGGCTCATTCGATACCGGCGCTGACTCTGAGCAAGACTCATATTGCTATACCTTCGTGACAAACTCCCGCTTCCAGTAGTACCGCTCCTTATACTATTAGGAGCAGTCTCATACACGTTCCAGGTGTTTGTTGATGGTTGGCGTTGTAATCGTCGAGCGGAGCTGCTGATACTGGCGGCATCTGATGGCGTCAAGTTGCTACGAGAAGTGCCGCTTCTGGCATCATCGTCGCCATTGGTGGATGGCGATGAGGCTTCTGTTTGGTCATCAAGAACATTGGGGTCCAATGGCTCCATTGCGCGTAGGATTTCAGCAAAAAGGTGCATGAGCTCTTTGAACTGGGCGTTGGAAATAGGTCGATTAGAGAAGCGTGCGTATTCGTAGTGTGACAGGAATTTTGTAGTGTTTGTATCCATCGTGAGTACCCCTAACTCTGCGAGGTGGACTACGTAGTCGCGCAGGCTCATGTTCGCGGTTCGTTGGAGAAGGGCTACAGCTTCGGGATCAAGTAGAGGTGGATTCGTCTGCGAGGTTGGGTCGGGAGGCGCAAGAGTTAGAGCTTTGCCCTCGATAAGATTCGGTAGCTCGGAAAAGACAGTCGAGTATTCGAGATTGGGTAGATCAAGCGCGTTGGGCGATGACCAGCCATGGTGTTCGATATCTCCCCAAACTGGTTTCCGACGAGGTATTACCACCACTAACTCCTCTGCCGGACCTCCAGGACCGTCGAAACCCAGTTTGACTCTTGTTTCCACATTTTCGTCATCCGGGGCTGTATCTTGTGTTTGAAGCCTAGGGCGCGATTCGTATGCGATCGATGCACTGCGACCAAGACCCAATCCGATAACCTTGTGAACCGTCGAACGAAGATCACCCTTTTCGATAGGCACCCAACCTTTCGGTATCGATCCTAAATCGGTCTTGTTGATGTAGAGACGAGTGATGAAGACGAAGGACACGACGACGACGGCAGTGACGTAGGCGGCGATTAGAATCCAGATGTTGTAGAGCTGTCGGTTCTGAAAGGAGCGATGAATCGCATCGGCAGGAGTAGCTAGTAGAAGTCCGAGAAGACAGACGTAGAGAAGAGCGTAGAGCGTGCGATATATGATAGAGGCGACAAGGCGTCGGCGAGACACGGGAGACGCCATACTTCGAGTTCATAGACAAGAAGGCTGTCACAGTTGCAGAGCGTGCTGCGATGCAGTCAAAGGTTGTTATGAACTGGAAATCGATATTAAACAGAATAACAGGGACAAATACTGGGACATGACTAAGTAAAGAGAATTAAGTTGGAATGATAGTTGTTAAATGAGTGAATGAGTGAGTGAGTGAGCGAATGACTGGTACTTCAGTGAATGGTGGTGTCACTGTAGTTTGTAGTTAGAGGGGGGTTGGGTTGACGAATCGAATGTCCAAAGGGCGAACCATTGGATGATTGATTGACGCAACCAAACCAAGTTCGACGACGAGCAGAAGAGGTTCCATGCAATTTAGGAGGACCAGGACCCTTGACGAAACAGTGTCTTATCAAGACGGGCACGGTGTAACTGCACGGTTCTAGTATCAAAGTTACCCACGGCCCCGCTGTCACTTTAATTACACTTCAATGTTATGAAGCTTGTGCAGTGTTTAATTATAGGCTTTTTCTCCTGCTACAAATAGTTACAATGGTATCATAATACATTATCTCGCCCTCTAACCCTTATCCTTCCTTATACGTCTCTTTCCCCCAACTCATGATTGGACTTGTGCCATCTCGGAGTTCTTTGCGTCCGCACAAGCCTCTTTAGCCAAGCGAATATCAGACAGCGTCAACCTAAGATCGCTGCTATAAGGCTCGAAACTGGCCAGTACTTGCTTCAAAGCAGCCTTCAAAGCATCCATAACCTTTTCCACCTCGGGGCTTACTCTCTTGCATGACACGTCAGTCCAGTGAAGTGGGAACTCGATACGGAAAGCCTCTAGCTTCTTGATGACGGCTGTGAAAGTTCGGATAATGCTGGGCACATCTCTGTGCACATTACCGAACTGATCCTCTGTCAAACTGTGCACTGAGAGGTGGTGGAGTACGTGAATCGCGTTGATACAAAGTGTAGGTTCGGCATATGGCGTTCCCAGCACCGCGGCGGCAAACTGGGTTCGGAAGCGTTGTTGAAACAGGGCGGCGATAGAGTCAACTTCCATCAATTGAAGGACCCACTGTTCAAATTGTCCTTTCAGGTGCTCAGGAGCGACAAGTTCCTGCTGTTCCTTGGACAAGACTCGATCCTTGGCTTCCTTCCATGTCTTTTTGGCGATTGGGCTCAATTTCGAGGCAGGGGACTCGCCAGGAGATCGTGCGACTTGGCTTAGCCGTTTCTCAACCTCGCTTCGCATCGTCTTAGGCGCCGCTCGGCTGTTGAAAATAGGGTCGTCCCGGAGAGGAGCAGACACCCGTTGTCTGGGTTCCGCAGTGGGTGCAGCTGGAGGCACATCGGGAGCTTTACCATAGGTGTCGATTCTGGTCTCGATTGACTTGACCACGTCCAAGCAGATGGCATAAACCTGAGACCACATGGGCCCATCCTTGCGATCAATATCTTCGTAAATAGCTTGTCGGCGAGTGTCAAAGCCCTGGGCAATATATGCAAGCTCCCACATGGCGAACGCCTAAGTAAGTTAGAAAAAAACTATGGATTTGGATTATTGTGTGCAGGCTTACCTTGATAGAGAGTTTCTTACTCTTCAGACCGTTCAAAAGACTGCTGTTGGGATCCTTGGACTCAGAGGTAAGAGGCTTACCGTTCTTCAGGGGCGCCTTGACCATGAAAGAAGAGAAAGCGAAGTTACCAATGTTCCAAATCAAATGAATAAAGGTTCCGGCATGCATACAACGGAACAGAAGCCAAAGATCACTTGGCCAGCTGGGTGGGAGCATGTTGGTCTTTGGCAGATTGTAGAAGATGCGCAAGAACATGAGCGCCCAACCCCAGATGAATGATCGCAAAATGGCGTAGTATAGTACTAATGCTACGGGGAGTGCAGTGGCAGCGCCCGCGACAGAATCGCTAAAGGTGTATGGGATTGCCTGGTAGACCAGCTTGAGCGCGTCGGGTTGTTTCTCATTTTTGCCTTTTGACAATCCGAGGACCAGGCGATCGGTATCACGTCGGTAATGGTTGAATGTTTGTGTGATAGCACACGAAGTCATGTATGCCAGCAGGAAGAGCGGTCTCTCGTTGAGCCTCGCACGGTCTCCGTGGAAGTAGGTGATCCAGGATAGGTTTGCCTTAGGATCCACTGACCAGAGGAACACATGGCTGAAGAGCAAGCTTGAAAAGCCGTACCAAAATAAAGTCTCGTACGTCTTGAGTTGCGTGGCAGTGCTTTGGAGGGTCTGGAAGCCGGAGCCGGTGGTACGTAGGCCAACGTGGTAGTTTGCTATTCGGAGTACGACGATCGCGAGGCCACATGTGAAAATGAAGGCAGTTCGGAAGCCAGTAGGGCCAATGGGGAACCAAGACCAGAAGTCTAGACAGTATCGTTGTTAGCAAAGCGCGTACAAGATTATAGGGTGTTTCGACTAACAAGAAGACCAACTGTCCAGGAGGACGGCTTGAAGATAGGATACAATGAGCAAAACAGTAGCTGTTGATGTGAATCTCCTATGCAGAGCTGGCTGCAGGAAGTCCTTGTAAGGCGCTTTTCTAACTGTGGTGGCCGCCATCTTCACAGCGCATCCCTGAGATGAAAGAAAGCTCGGGGTGTTGCTTTGCGATGATGTCGAGGTTGTTTCGGAGAAAGACTAAGAGAAGCTCTAAGCTCAATCCAAGTAAATAAAAATCTCCAGCCAGCAACCATCATGGACGCTAGCGGCGCAAGGTCCAAGCGGTCATCGTTATCAATCACGTGCTGATAGTGCAGGTCCAACTTGGCCTCGAGGTACCAGAAAAGTCCGCCAGGAGCATAAGAGACGAAATTAGTAGGCCAGTTTATGCTGCTTAGCCCACACTTCTTAGGCTATTTATTTTCGTAGTCTAAAGCTACTAGCGTAGCTATGGTTGGTTAGACTCGTTCTTATGCCCAATTACGTATGTTTACAGGGTAATAACTAGCAGTCGGTGTTTCGCTTTAACTTGATCAGCCACCTTATGTTGTGTTTTAGGCAACAGGTGACTTGATTTGACGCTGACGCTGGCTGGCTTGCGCATTCATTGTCGGATGTAGTATTGAGGATGCTAACAGGGTCAGACTACAAGAGGAAGGAAGTGGGGGCCTGAGGCCGCTACAACGCCAACTTGTATCTTGCATCAACAAACCAGCGACTTTTATCTCGACTTTACACAAACATCCCAACACAATGTCGTTCGATTTAGAATCAGGCCGCGGAGGCTATACCGACGACCCCGCCTTCCAAGAACTACAGTACGATCTGAAGAGCAAACTGCAGGCCCTTCTCAGCAGCAATCGGAAACTCGCCAACGATGTGAACGTGCTGGGCACTAGGAAGGACACCCCGCGCCTGCGGGAGCGAGTTCACAATAGCATGGATAAAACGAGGGATATGTGTAGAGAGATTGGCGATGGTGTCAAGCGGCTTCAAACATGGGAGGATTTGACTGTATGTCAAACTCAATTCGAATTCGTTGTTGTTGTCGCATGCATGCTAATTCACTCAGAAACAACAAAAGTACGAGCAAACAAAGGTTTCGAGCGATTTCCAAGCTGCTCTGCAGGAATTCCAGAGCCTTCAGCGACGAGCCCTCGAAAAAGAACGCGCATCGGTTACCGCCGCCCGTGCGGCACAGGAAGGCGAGGGCGGCGAGGGCGCTCCTTCCGAGACACAACTAGAGCAACTGCAGCAACAGGAGCAGCGCATCGTACTCGCACCTCAAGATGAGGTCGATTTTCAGGAAGCTCTTATTATTGAGCGTGAGGAAGAGATTCGCAACATCGAGCAGGGTGTCGGCGACCTAAACGTCCTCTTCCGACAAGTAGCGCAAATCGTGAACGAGCAAGGGGAGCAGCTGGGCTCGATCGCTGACAGAGTGGAAGATGTCCGAGAAGATACGCGCCAGGCTGACGTTGAGAACCGACAGGCCGCGCGGTACCAAAAGGCAGCTCGCAACAAGAGCTGCTGCCTATTGTTGATCCTCGCGGTCATTCTGACCATTGTTATCCTTGCTATTGTCCTTGACTAGAAGAGCGCGGCCTTTGACGATTATGGGTGGCATTTCTGTTTTTAAGGCGTCTATCGGAGTTTCCTAGGTATACACAGTTTTGAGAATACGCAATGTTGTTTGCAGATAAAGTCTAATCAAGTGCTCTTCTTCCCTTGCGTTTCCCTCCCCTTTTGGCGTGGTGGTAAAAACGGCAGTTCTTTACTTTGCGTGGGTATTGTCAGGCTTTCAGTTTTCGGTGTAATCAATTTGTTCAAGAGAGTATCGTTGACCCGAGTGAGAGCAAATGAGGTGCCCCAGTAAAGAAAGATGGCGCTGGGTAGATCGGCAAATAGAAGGGGTAACACAGGCATCAATAGCATGGTCCTGCCCAAGAGTTGTTGGAATCTATTGACGACTGTGCGCCTAGTTCTGTTCGTAGGCCGTATGCCCAACAGGTTTTTGATCGAGGCCATGTCCATCCTGCCCCAGATACTCCAAACCAGAATGCCTGAGCAGATGACGGGTAGACCGTAGTAAGGATCAGCTGAAGACAAGTCGGTAAACCAGAGCAAGCCTCCATTCGCCAGTGACTCGTCAAACATGCTGCTTGCAGCTCCTAAGCCTGCTGTTGTTGAATCTGGATTACCTAGACCGATTTGGTGACTGATCCAACCCAAGGGGGCGCCGCATTTACGTCGCAGCGCTTCAGAGGTAATGACGAAGGGGACCATTCCGGCCAAGGGTGCAAAACCCTTCCAGCGTTGAAGGCCCCAGGCCTTGTAGATACGACTCGTTGACTTTTGAGTAGCACCAAAAGCGCGAACAGTTCGGACGTAGTAAGATAGTCCTGGGTCGTTTTTTTGAAGCTGTTCTCTTAAATGGCGACTTCCCCAAGCCGAGATTAAGGGTTTCAATAGTTTTCTGTCCTCTTGTATACGACGAACATAGTATTGAAGAGGGAATCGAATAGTGGTGTTGATGCCAATGGCAACCAACGGAATAGCCACATACCATGGCACGCCTACGCTGTGAGCCCAACTGAGACTATCAGCTGTTATGGTGACTGCCTCCCCAAGCGTAGAGGCGACCGAGAAGTTCCTACGGCTGGCGCATGGGGATGTTATTGAGTTGGTAAGAGCTGGATGTGAGATGCCAACTGTGCGGCGTATTGGACTGGTGGTTGGAAGAAACGACCTGGAATGTGGTGATATGTTATGAGCAGTTCGTCTGAGAAGAGACATTTTGGCCCATATCCTCGCAAATGCGAGTATAATTGATCTTTTCCTAGTAGTGGGGGTGAGTGAAGTCCTTCAAAGTCGATTCATTGAGATCGATAAGTTGATGTTCAACTGTGGGCTAGCTTTTAGGCACATGACCAATGAGAACGAGAGTAAACTGTTCAGCACTGTAGATGACGTCCAACCAACAATAAACAATTGCTGGGTTCTTGTCCTTTCAGGTCTTGCTCTGTATTTGTATTTCTACTATTGTTATTACTGTTCCCTAACATTCTAATTTAGCGTTATTTGTTTCATTACCTACAGATCTAGGTATACTGTTGCAGTGATTCACTAACACAATTTTCTTCCCCAACCATCCTATAAAGTTAGTCGTCAACTCATCCGAGTTGGAAGTAACATAACTTTTTCCACATTTCAAGGCCTCGTAGCCGTCTCCTCACCGTCACCATGGACGCCGTCGATGTTTCGGAGCACTACGAGGTCGGCACGCGCGAAGACACTCCCTCGCTTCTCTCCATCGTCCTCGACACGAACCCTCGGGCATGGGCATCCCTTAGCAGCGTCCTGCCACTGTCGCGCGCCATCGCAAACATCCTCGTCTTTGTCAACGCCCATATCGCTTTTAGTAACGCCAACCAAGTAGCTTTGATCGCTGCTCATGTCGACCGCGCAGAATGGCTATATCCGACACCACCCAAGCCCTCACGCGACGCCTCGGGCGATGTTGAAATGAACGACGCTTCTCAAACGCAAACCTCCGCGAATAAGTTCCCCCAGTTTGCGCAGATCGAAGCCGCGGTTCTGTCTGCCATACGCAAGCTTATGGACCAGACCAAGGAAACAGACTTGTCTGCTACTACGACGCAAATATCTGGGGCATTAACACTGGCGCTATGCCATATCAATAAGGCTGCGCAGGCTCTCTGTTCGCCCACAGCCAACCTTGAAGACAGCCATAAAGGCTCTTCCAATACATCTCCTCCAACTGTCCGCGGCCGAATTCTCGTCATATCTGTGTCCGATTCCGAACCGTCACAATACATCCCCACCATGAATGCTGTCTTTGCAGCTGCGCATACCCAGGTCGTCATCGACACCCTCTCACTTACCGGCGAGCCGACATTTCTCGAACAAGCCTGTTACAATACTGGCGGCACATATTTAGCGGCTACGCATCCTCAAGGCCTACTCAACTACCTCATGTTCGGTCTCATAGCTGATACAGAAGCTCGCGAAGCCCTTATTACCCCGATACACGATACTGTCGATTTCCGCGCTGCTTGTTTCTGCCACGGCCGAGTTGTTGACACGGGATTTGTTTGCTCGATCTGCCTCAGCATCTTTTGTGAGACGCCAGAGAACTCGGAGTGTTTCACATGCGGAACAAAGCTGTCACTGGGCAACTACGGCTCTAAGCCTGCTGTTGTTCCTCGTAAAAAGAAGAAGAAGCGCAAGGTAGTTAACGGTGGATCGCGAGAAGAGACAGGAAGCGCAACAGGGACACCTCGTCCTTGATACAGGGCGTTTGTTTCTTTAGTTTATATGGTATAGGTAGAAGTAACAAGAGATACCCTCACAGGTCTAATAATATTACAAACCTTTCAAACCTCTGCGTATCAGTTTGCCTATAATTAAAGCGTAGTCAAAGAAGGGACTGCAAATAGAAAGAAACGTTAATGCCGACACCTTTGTATGATCGGCATGTTTTACTAAAGAGCAACGTGCCATATATAGATGTTTGTATCATGATTGTTGATGCGTTACAGGGAGGCATCATGAACGCGGCTGCCACCACCAATCAGACTCTAAAGCAATCCTCCTAGCTATCCGCCCGGATCTAATATCAAACGCCAGACCACGTGATGAAGAGCTAAATGCAACCGGCATGGAGGTGACGGTCCCGTCGACTCTAGCGTCACTGCTTTTGGGGGGTTACAGTCACTAAAAAAACGGACCTGTATGGACAGGCAAGATCTAACTAGCGGTCGTGCTCAGTGCAGGTGGGAGCGCCTAAGCCTAAGCCTAAGCTCAAGCAGCCCAGTCTCACGAGCTTGTGTTGTGGTAGGGTAAATAGGGAAGTTGTGGAGGCCGTGACGGGTCTGCTTGCCTTGTACGATTTACATCACAAGTTCCCAGTTTCGGTCTTTTGCTTTCATTTCTCAACTTCAACTCATCATCTTCACATTAACACAAGCAAAATATTCCATCTCATGGCAGAAAACACACCCGCCTCCGAGGCGCCTCCAGCCCAGTCGCTGGAGGACCAGACCCTTATCGTCTTTGCACGCCTCATGGAAGGTGGTCAGGAAGATAACGAGACATGCCGCGACCTTGACGAACTCACTAAGCTTCTCAACGATGATTATGAAGCTCGCCAAAAGGACCCGTCTCGTGAGACCATTTGCAAGGTTATCGATGGTGACTGTGTCGACACCGTTTTGTGCTATCTTGATATGAGACAGCCTGAGATAGTCCGCGGCCACGCCACTCTATCAACGTCCGCCTATCTCAAAGCTGCTGGAGATGACGGCTCTAAGAACCTGTCAACCTTTTTCTTTGATCGTGTTCGACGAGGAACCTACGATGATTACATCGTTGCCTTTTGCGTTGCTGCTGCAACCTTCCCTATCGTTCCGGAACTCACGGCGCAACTGTTCCTCAACGAGGATTTCTTACCCAGCCTCGGTGCTCTCATGCGACGGAAATGGAAGAGCCGCAAAGTTGAGACGGCCTGCTTGGAGATGCTTAACGCCGCTTGTATGAATTCCATGTGTCGCGAGGCCATCAACAAATATTGTATCGAATGGTTGGAGGAGATTGTCGACCAAGATCTTAGTGTGATTGTTAGAAGCACCAACGCGGATCCCAACCTACAAAGCGACGGAGGCTCGATATCTATGCGACGTCACTCAGAGCAAGTCCAGTACCTTGCTGCCGTCATCTTGGCTAAGTTGAGGGTAAGATGAGATGCCGCAACCCCCTATCCGTGTCTGACTAACAAAGAACATCAGGCGGTTCCCGCAAAGCCGGCACCCGGTGAGAGCAAATCTAGAATTGAGCCCGCAGTTACTAGCATCGAGGAGCTCTCTGGCATGTTCACTAAGATGATCTTGCGAGACGAGGATCACGGTCGAAAGCACTCTATTGAAGGCCTCGCTTATGCCTCTCTCCAGCCCAAGGTCAAGGAGTCAATTGTTGACAACCCTGAATTGCTCCAGAAGTTGGTCAAGACTCTCAGCGAAGCCCAACCCAGATCACCGACAACATACGGAGCGCTAAGCATCTTTGTCAACCTCACAAAGTATCTGCCCAACCTCACTGATGAAGAGAAGAAGATGAACCAGCTCAAAGCATACGCCAATGCAGCTGGAAAGCTTGGTGGGCCTGACCCCCTAAATGACGACGAACATGTTGCAAGGCGATGCAAGTCGGTGTTTGAGGCTGGTATCGTCCCAGTTCTTGTCACTCACAGTAAGAATGGCTCACCAGCATCTCTGGCGTTGATCATCTCCGTCATCTTTGCGTTGTCTGTTACAAAGTCTCTTCGTGGCCAGCTTGCTCAACAAGGAGCAGTCAAGCTTCTTTTGATATCATGGATGTCACTACCTCAGACCGAAGCCCCCGCTCGTCGTCTTGCCGCGCAGGCGCTTGCACGAATCTTGATAAGCACGAATCCTGCACTTGTCTTTGGTGGAAACAGATCTACCCCTATTGGTGCTGCTGTAAGGCCACTCGTGTCCATTATTCCACCCGACCCGGCTGCTCAGACGCGAGATCTCTTGCCCTCCTTTGAGGCTCTGATGGCGTTGACCAATCTTGCTTCTATGGACGACGAGGAGTTGAGACGCAGCATAATCAACACCGCGTGGACGCAGATTGAGGAACAAATGCTAGCCTCCAACACACTTGTTTCAAGAGCTGCCGTTGAACTTGTCTGTAACCTTGTGCAGACGCCTGAGGCTGTTGCTCTCTATGCTGAAGAGACTGCCAAGGCCCGCAATCGTCTTCATGTTCTCACTGCTCTAGCTGATGCACCTGACGCCGGAACCCGTAGCGCTGCTGGTGGTGCATTGGCGTCACTGACCAACTTTGAAGGTGTCATCCGAGGCATTATTAGCCGAGACCGCGGCGTCAAATTTATTCTGGGAATGTGTGTGGACGATGAAGAGGATATCCGACATCGAGGCGTGTTTGTGGTGACAAACATGGTCACAGCGGAGGGTGAAGTCGGCGAGCTTGCACGGGAAAAGGTCAAGAGCGAGGGAGGCGTCGAGACTCTCAAGGAGTGTCTTAAGAAGAGTCGACGACCCGAGGTCCTTGAAGTTACAGTCCAGGCTCTCAAGGCTCTGCTGGGAGAGCAATCATGAACGAAGTATGACGAAACACATGTACATGTTGGTGCCTATGTAGCGCAAATCAGCAATTTCTTTAGGGACAAGGTCGAGGCAGCGGGTTCGCCAGTTTACAATGTTTATGACTATGACTATGCAATGAATTTTATCATGTCTCCCTTTTTACCCAACTATAATAAAGCGCCGTGTACTTTTTTATGCCTTAGTATCAACCCTGTTTAGAATCGCAACGCCTTCAACATGACCAGTCTGGGGAAAGAAATCAAAACCTCGAAGACTCTCAATCTCGTATCTCTCACCTTCTCCCTCTCCACGCACAAGAACGCCGACATCTCTGGCTTGTGTATGCACGTTGCAGCTAACGTACAATACACGTCGAGGACCGAATTTGCGCAGCTGGTTCAAGAAGTCTGCATCACAGCCCTTGCGAGGAGGGTCAAGGACGACCACGGTCTCGTCGCGGTTGTATGTGACGCTCTTGAAAAGCTCGCCAGCGTCCGCAGCAATGAACTTGCAGCGATCCTCGCCCATGCCATTGAGCGTAGCGTTGCGGCTGGCATAGGCAATGGAGTCGGCAGCGATGTCAATACCGATAGAGTGCTGGAATAGTGAGGCGAGGGTGACAGTGAAGAGACCAGAACCTGAGTAGGCATCGATGAGATACTTGATATCCATGCCGGTACCTGCAGGTGGGAGGATGTTGTCGCGGACGTAACCGGTGAAAGAGGGCAGGATGGAGTTGTTGTTTTGGAAGAAAGAACCAGCGGGATTGGTGAAGGTATAGGGTCCAATATATTCGGTTGTGGTGGCCTTTGAGTCGGTGATACAAGACTTGATATCAACTGTATCTTCGTTCTCAACGCGGGTAGTATAAGGTTGTGACTCGCTGCTTGCTTCCTCGCTGTCCTTGGGCACACGCTGGGTGTTCTCACGGAGAAGGATTGTAGCACCGCGCTGGTAGTTGCCAAACTCCTTCTGCATGCGCTCGCGCTCGCGCGTCATACCCAGACGCACAGCACTGGTACCAATGGGACAATCCTCGATATCCAATACCTTTCGGCGACCCTTTTGCATGAATCCAATATCAGGGCACTTCTCGAAAGGAATTCTGGGGTTCTTTCCCCTCTTGCTAGGCCGGAATCCAGGGGGACCGTCGAAGTGAGGGGTGAGCTTGGTGCGGTAGCTGTACTGCAGAGGGCTGCCCATGGTGTCCTGAACGGCAGGAACGATGTTGGGATCGAGGTTGGAGAAGTTCTTGAAGGCCTTTTCGACGATGCGCTTCTTGAGCTTGAGCTGCTCAGAGTAGTCCAGCATCTGGAATTGACAGCCGCCGCATGATGAGAAGTACTTGCAGCTGATGCGCGCGTCATCGCGCAGAGGGGAGGGCTTTGTGATGGAGATGAAATCGGCGAGGGTTTGGTTGTCGCGACGAAGGTGGCGGAAGACCTTGACCTTGGCGACATCACCAGGGACTGCGAATGAGACAATGTAGACCTGGTTAGAGCCAGGCTTCATAGCAAGACCATCTCCTGTCGAAGAAAGCTCCAAAACCTCAACCTCGGTCTCGGTGCCTTCCTCTGGGAGGACTTCAGGGCCATGTTCTGTTCCCTCGCCATACTCAACAGCTCGCTCTTTAAGCAGTGCTTGGATATCGTACTTGAGGACTTCCTCAGACGAACCCTCGGTGATGTTCTTTTCTCTCTTGGTCTTCTTCTGTTTCCATTGCCGGTTGGTTTGCTGATTGGGCCTCTTGTTCTGTTGCTGAGAGTTGCTATTCACTTGCGCATTGCCATTGGTAGGCACAGCAGCCTCTGATTGTACGCTCGCCATAACTGTGTAGGGGCGGAAATGGTGAAAAGGGCGTGGTTTTACAAAAGGAGTCAAGGAAGGGATCCTCAGACGTCTCATGAAAAGTGTCTTTTTAGAGAGAACGCTTTTTCTCTGTGAGGTAAATGAGATTTGACAAGAATTTGAGACTCTGATTTCTTAGACGAAGAATGAGACGAAGAAATGTTTCTGCAGAAGGGCCCACTTGGACTTGGAGATTGGGGATGGTGGAGCCCTGTATGTCTGCTTTTTTATCTTGTTTCTGATTGGCTACTGTGTCATGTATTGAAGTGTCGACATAATAAAACGTCTATAAATCCATTTAAACTCGAATAGATTGGAACGCTTTTAATCTTTTATGGGATTATCAACAGGAGGAGGGAAATAATAGCTCAAAGTCTTCACGGCAGTTGAGATTGCCTCTGATTGGCCTAACAGGTATGGCGGACGACTGATAGTGAGATTACTATTAAAGTTAATCCATATATCATTGGTTAATAAATATAATTCTTCAAGATAGAAATGAATCACTTGTTATAGATGTCTAGTTTCTCCCGAGTCAGAATCGGCAATGAACACTTCCTTTAGAATTAGTACATTATTGCGATCATGACGTGATTGGTTCAAGAGTCCCCAGATTGGCAGGTGATCGTCTCACGAGTCTAGCTCGCTATGCATCTACCGAGGCGGTTCCGACCATCGGCCCCTTGAAGACCGACTTTGATAAGTCAAGCGCAACCTTTTTACTACTATTTTGACGAATTGTAGGAAATACCAATAACGCGCCTCTCATTTGTATCCTTTGCGCTACTTGCACTTTATTCTTTTGTCTCTTGTTGGCGTGTTAAAGAGTGAGTCTAGAGTGTTTATCCTTCTGAAGCATTACTGATAAGAACCAACAGGTTGGTCATCGTTGCTCGATAAGTTTGTTCATCGAGTTTGTACAAGCTGAGTCTCGACGTCTTATTCAACTCCTCAACCTGCTTTAAATTTATTTGGTTCAAATCCTGTCTTACACAACTATCATCTCTTATCGTACACCTGAACTCACGGTGAGTTGTACTTGACTATTACCACTCCTTATGTACACGCGAAGGGCGCATACTGATTAGGAATACACAGATATTCACTTCCAAATGAAAATCCCCATCTTATTACTCGCATCAAGTGTGCACTATGGCTCGTTATCAGCGAGTCCCATTTTCGAGGAGTTCTTATCTCCAAGGGCTGGTACTAAGGGAGCTGTAGTGTCAGAGGCTCAAGAATGCAGCTACATAGGCCGGGACTTACTGGCACGAGGTGTATGTCTCTTACTTTTATTATCAAATAAATTCACTCTAACCTTGTTTTATAGGGTAATGCTATAGATGCTATGATCGGAACGACATTCTGCGTCGGTGTTATCGGCATGTATCACTCTGGTATCGGAGGAGGCGGGTTCATGCTTGTCCGAGACAAGGATGGTCAGTATGAAGCCATAGACTTCAGAGAGTCGGCACCCGCAGCAGCCTACGAAGATATGTACCAAGGCAACGTTAATGGTAGCATTTATGGCGGGCTGTCTGTCGGCGTACCCGGTGAAGTTCGCGGCTTCGAGTATGCACACAAGAAATACGGTGTAAGGATCATGACTTTCCCGGACATTTCTGTAAAGCTGACAAAAACGGACAGAGTCTCCCATGGAAAACTATCTTACAAGGGGCTATTAAGGTCGCTCGTGATGGCTTCATAGGTAGGGTTGGAATCTAATTGTGTGTGACACGTTCACTAACATGTGTCAGTCAATGCCGACATGGCAAGGTTTATAGAAAAGACTGCCAAAGGACACCAGAACTTCTTTATAGAAGATCCTTCATGGGCAGAAGATTTCGCACCAAATGGTATCTTTATATTCTTTTGCTTCCGAGGCTTATGCTAATATCGAAGCAGGGCGGCTCATCGCTGAAGGAGAGACGATGACAAGGAAGCGATATGCGAAGTAGGTTGCAGCTCGGTGTTTCAATTATCCCTCAACTAACAGTTCTAGTACCCTCCAAGCTATCGCAGATCATGGTGCCGATGTCTTCTACACGGGCCCTTTCGGTAAGCTGCTGATTTAAGGCATCAAAGCAACACTAACAATAGATAGCGGAAAGCATGATCAAGACTATCCGAGATTCAAACGGCACCATGACATTAGATGACCTTAAAGACTACCAAGTCATCTCCCGGGAGGTTCTTCACACTGGCTACAAAGGCTACGACGTCTACGGCATGAGCTCCCCAGCCGGCGGTGCAGTCTCGCTCAACATCTTGAACACCATGAACGGTTACTCGCACCAGGACTCAGACCAAAATACCACACTACACATCTACATCGAGGCCATGAAGTTTGCCTACGGTGCTCGTCTAAAGCTTGGCGATCCTGACTTTGTCGATGGTGTTTCTGAGCTGGAGCATGAGATGCTTAACCACACAACTGCCGAGACGATTCGAGGAAAGATTGATCCTTGGGCTACTCAGGATATTGAGAAATATGATCCTGATGGAATCTACTCATCTGATGGACACGGCACTTCGCATGTCGTGACTGCTGATAGTGATGGCATGGCTGTCTCGTTGACGACCACTGTAAACCTCATCTTCGGATCACTACTCATGGACAACCTCACCGGCGTGATTCTGTAAGCAAATAACCAGCTTCGTTTCTTTATGAAAACTTACACTAATGCTTCTTCAGGAATAATGAGATGAACGACTTTTCCATCCCGGGCGTTCCAAACGAATTTGGCTTCGCTCCAGCAGAAGCAAACTTCGTCCGTCCTAACAAGCGTCCTCTTTCATCATGCACACCTATCATTGTTTCGCAAAAAGATGGTTCTCTGTTTGCCGTGATTGGTGCTGCAGGAGGATCTCGTATTATTTCTGCTACCACGCAAGTTGCTTGGCGTGTCCTGACTTCTCCGTCTTGGTCCATCAAGGATGCTGTCCGCGAGCCACGTGTTCACAATCAACTAATGCCCAACACTCTTCTCGTGGAAAACAAGTTTAGCTTGTACGATGTTCCATCACTAAAGGAGAGGGGCCATAATATTACTTGGGTTGATGAGGGATTGAGTTCGGTGCAGGCTCTCGTCAGAGACTCGGATGGTGTTTTTGAGATCGCTCCTGAGCCCAGGCAGAAGAACAGCGGAGGTACCACACTTTAGACTAGAGTACAGGAGAAGCTATAGAGTTAAGAACCACTGATAATTATTGGTCTAGTAATGCCCTGTATACCACACTTGAGAACAAGATTACATCTGAGCTTTACGGCAGATATATTGAGGATTCTATCATGTCGCTTTGTCTTCCAGGAAAAAGGGGTATCCTTCTGATGATCTATAACAGATCTACGCCTCTCGTCTAGCCAGCGTTACCAAACGTGCCATCTGGACTGTCCACTTCTTTGCAAACTCCTCTTCGGTGAATCTCTTGGCCGACTCACGTGCCCGCAATCGAAATGATAGAGGATCTGGTAGCGACAAGGCTTTCTCGTAGCCTTGAGCGAATTCCTCTTCCGTTGTAGCATGGAAACCTATGCGCAGTTAGCAAGAAGATGTCGCCTTATGTGAAGTGTAACTTGCCAGTTGGCTGATCATCGATTGGTACGACAATGTCAAACTTAGGACCAGCGCTGTCATGTACTACGGAAATGAGTCCAGCAGCTTGGTATTCCACAACGCCAATACCAAAGTGTTCGTTCCACATGCCATTGACGCCTACGGACGCCTTTCTCAACCAGTCGAGGACCTCTGACCAAGGAGCATCCAAATGAAACTTGACGCTGTTCTTGATACCCAATTCATTGGCAAGAAGTCGAAGTTGGTACACACGTTTCGCATCAGAGTCATCTCGCACACTTCCAATCAGGATTAGGTTTGCACCCTTGGCTGCCTCGCTCTTCGTCTTAATGAAGGTAGCGAATGATCGCAATATGAGCTGGTGATTCTTCTCGGGTCGGAATTGCGCAAGGTAGACAATGGCCTTCTCTCGTCGTTTTTCGCTCTCTTCAGAAACCTCGACTTCATGCTCCATCTCTCGAACTGCGGTAGGGGGGTAGACGACTGTAATCGGATCCGTCTTGCTCTTCTCTTTCCGGTATGGGCCCCATAAGCTCTTGATGTGACCTTGGGTCCAAGTCGAGTTGGTCATGACGATATCAACTGATGAGCCAACCCAAGAGTATATAACCGCAAAGAGCTTCCAGTAGTTCTTCTTGGCAAAGCCTTGAGCTCCAGCGCCCTTGCCCACATGCGCACCTTGGGTTCCTGCATCCTCCTTTACATCGAGAGACTCGAGCATATCGGTAGAGATTGTGGGATAGTGTACGTACGCTCCAGTCGGAACCTTCGGAAATAGAAACTTGCAGAGACCAAGAGCAAATGCATAGCCCATTGTGTCGATAAAGACATCCGGAACCAGTAGAGAGAAAGCGTCCCAAGCCAGAACGAGAGAACCAAGAGACTGGCCAATCAATGTGAAATGAGGCCATGTAGAGGGAAGAACCCAGTCTCGCTTGGAGAGGTAGAGGAAAGTCATCGTCGGGGCGTGAAGCTCAATATTGAATCTTGTCTATCAAGGTGTAAGCATATCGTCATTTGACTGGCAAGTATTGCAGCCAGCGTACCTTGACTCGAGATAAAATCGCATCTTTGGTAACATCGTGATCTCCTGTGTAGACTACGCATTTCGCTTTTGGCCAACGGTCTTGCGTAGCCCGAATCGCAGCCCAGAGAACTCGCTCTCCGCCACCTCCGGCGTTGCTTGTTAGTGTTAGCATGATCCCATGATAGAACCCATGATAACGTACCAAAATGGATGGAAGAACCCAACAATGCCAGCCCAGTCTTTCTGGCTACTCAGTGTGTTTTGCAGGTTATCGTCAACGTCGAATACGAGCTTCGTCTCAGCGCTACCTCGGGGGTCCTTGCGACGAGCAGCTGTGTCCTCCTCTGTCATGAGGGCCAGAAGGTGGGCGCGGCGACCTTCTGTTCGTTTTCGAAGAGACCATCCAAGAAACGTGCGAAGAAGTTTTCCTATCAGAGGTAGGGCGATCAAAATGACCAGAGGTATGAGGACCGTTAGGGAAGGCATTGTTCGGATCGTGCTGCGTCGACAGGCGCCGGAAGGGATGGGAGGGATGTCGAAAAGATATTGTAGGAGGTATGGATACCGCGGAAGGAGGATATTAGGAGCGGCGGTATTTATGCGAGCCTCAAGGGCGTGAGGCGGACGATTTGTGGTAGCAAATGGCTACCATGAGTGAGCAATAATATGAGATGATAGTGTAAGGTGACGTCTGTTCTAGTCTAGATCCCGTCTCGTCTCAAAAATTGGTGGGGGCACCTACCGAAGCTAAGTTTACCTACATTCCTAGGTAAGCTTTGTGTCAGTTTTCTTCTATCTAAGCTCAAGCTGTCCACTGCTGGAGCTACGCAAGCCGGCAAGCTACAGGGACTTGAGGCTCTAATCCCTGTCACTAGACCCTTGGTTCGGTAACCTAACGGTGCCCGCGGACATGAAGAATTCACAGCACTTATTGAATCAAAGAACTTGACAATGCATTTTTTATTCACAGTTCGTATGATATTGACGTATGGCACGAGAGTTCAAATGAGTACTATTATTGGGGTTTATGGTCACGTCTTTTGGTGGTAGGTAGAGCACAACAAACTCTATCCCAAAAATAGAAAACATGGAGTGATTTGAACATGTGTGATACAACTGAAGAGCTATAGGAATTGAAAGGCTAACACTTTTCTTTATGTCTAAGAATGTTTTCTAAACGCCACAGCCAACATCATTACAGTCATACGACAGTTTGAGCGGAAGCTCGGTGTTCAGAATCATCGATTCCCTTTGGCAATCCCACAGCAGTATGTGTCAACCAAGACGGATCTTGCGCCCGCCCTTTGCAATATTGGCAGTTTCGGAAAGCCGGGACATGGTGCAGCTTGGCTGTTTCTCCAGGCCCCCCATTGAGGCGAGAGCAAACGAATCTGTGTTGTGGGCAAAATAAAAGTAGTAACCCGTTTGTGTTTTCTTGGCTACCATGACACCGATCGCACCAGGAGAGTGGCATTGCCTGACACCTGGATGTTTCATGAAGTCTTCAGCAATAAAGGATTCCATGATGGCGTCTTCATCGTCGTCCTGAACATTTCTACCCCCTCGGCCACGTCTTGTGCCATGGTAAATCCGCTCAGCACACCGTTGGGAGGCCATAGTAGTAGCCATGTGCTCTCCCGTACCGCTTGTGACTGCAGCGACAGCAACCTGCTCTTCGTCTTCTTCGTCGCAAGGAACGACAGCTGTCCCAACTCCAACAAGAGCTGCTGGGCCCAGACGGCCTCGGTGTTTCATTCCAATGCCACCTGAGGAAGAACCGGCAGCGATGTTACCCTGATCGTCAATTGCAATGGCACCAATAGTGTCCGTGATAGCGTCCTCGTAGCCAGGCCCATTACGAAAGCGATCTTTTATAGCTCGTGAATGAGGTTGTGCTTTTCCATCTGGGCTGGAAGGTCGCTTAACCCCGCGAGGACCTGTGGAGCTCTGATGATTAGAGCCATAACCACTGTTCCCAGGAGGGGCCTCTGATAGAACATGGTCAGTCTTGTTGGTGGAACTTGCATTATGCCTTTTATGTATACAGACATTTTCCGGCATAGCAGGTCTGGAATCCTCAGCTAACGGGTTGGGTTTTCGATCTGATAGCCTTGGTCGGAATGGGGAAGACCAGCCCAACGCACCACCAGCTACACCAGCATATGTCTGTGTTGGCTTTTCAAGAACTGTACGGGCTGATGAGTTACGATTTGAAGAAGTCACAGAAGGGCCAGCAGGACGAAAGTAGCTGGTGGATGTCTGCTGATTGGGCGATGGCGTTGACGTTGCGGATTGGCTTGGTGTGCCAGTAAACGGAGAATCGGGCTGCCCTTCGTTCCAAGTGCCGGCCATAATGGCAGCTCGCTGACCTTGGGGCAAAGATGGCTGTGGTTCTGTCGATGGTACTGTATCGTACTGGCATGGAGGACATGGGTCGACAACGTCAGGTAATGCTTTGAACTCTTTCATCTTGGTATCAGCTCGCTTGAGATCTTCCTGCCAGCGTATGAAGCGATCCTTGGCAGTTTTCGAAACCATGTACTCATTCGGGTATGTCATCAGACCGTGCTCTTCCGCAAAGGCCTTGGCTCCTTCTCCCACGAGAACGTTTGGAGGAACTCGTCGTAGGCTCAATGGCTTGTTGCTTTTATCAAGGATAAGCTTGGCGAGAGAGATGGGATTTCGAATGTCTGGAGTCTTGTCAGCAAAGCAATTGCGAGCTTGTATTGCAAAGCCTACTTGAAACAGCACCACAGGCGCCGCTGCGGCCAAAATGGTCCACGACAGTGGCGTCGCATTCGACGATGCCATCGATGGAAAGGTTAGAGCCGTACCCAGCGTTGGTGATCTCTTTATCTTCAAGGACCCGGAGGGCAGCCTCGACAGCTTCAGTTGCGGGAGCACCAGCCTTGAGAAATTTCATCGCCATTTCGGCAGCACTATCGCTGTTAATACCGTGCTTCTTTGATCAAAGGTTGGTTGAAAGGTGTCTCACGCAACGCATGCCTGGAGGTGAACGATCTCATTCTGGTGGCTATGGAATCCGGCTCCAGCATGGACAAAGATAGCAGGCACAGCTTTGGGCTTATGGCCAGCTCTCAACACACGGTCAAAAGTACCGTCGGTCCCAAATGGTGTCGGTTCTTCGCTGAAGGGGGTTCCATCATCGAGGCTGTCTGGCATCCTTGAGCAAAGTCATAAGTTATAGGGTATTTGATGATACAAGACCAGTTGGATGAGAATTATGAAGTAAATATACCAGTGTGGCAGGGTACGTGGATGTTGACCAGTGATTTATGTTGCTTCTAGGTTCAATGTTTTTAGGTGGTTGTAGATCAAATTTAAAGGTGGCCGGGTGCTGAGCCGGTCGCTGAAAAGAAAGATAAGGCAGTCGAAAGGATAGTGGTAGGAGCGCGATGGATGGACTTGATCGGTCTTTCCTCAATACAAGGAGCTGCTGTGCGTGACAGATGGAAAATTAGACGATGAAGCTATGAACTCGAAAATATAAGGAATGTTATCCGATTATAGCAGTTTATAAAATATGCCACAATAAGGGGCTTGATAATGAGTCAGTCCAGTCATGGATATCATGTTGATTTTTATGATCAAGAAACAGAACTTGGAAGGATTATTAGTCTACATGTATGAGAAGAGTAATAAGTTTTATCAGATGCAGTTGCTCCTTTTGTCCTGTGTTAGTCTTGATTGAAATGACGCCGGATCCAGGTATAAGGCACTACCAACAGCATGTTTGTGAATCTCTGTGTTTTTGACCACAGCTCGGTTGCGTTCTCAGGTGATATAAGAGTGGAATTAATTCTACATATCCGTCCGTGTATCAATTCCAAGTTATCATCACGTCTTCCATCAAACAGGTTAGTAGGATTTTGTCCAACTCAATTGACATGCCCAGTTATCGCAACATCAAGACCCACAACTTCAGCCATTCAGTGACCGCAACGGCGGGGCAGCACAGCCGCAGTTCAAGCCTCATCTACAAGCTGGGAGCTTCCCAAGGCACGTAACGTAATCCTCACTCAACGAACACCACGACCACCGCCGTCGCCGCACTTTGCATCCCTCACGAGCGGCATCTAACTTGCTGTTCCACCAATTCATTTCTCTCATAGCTGTGCGCTTCATCTCGCACTCTCGCCCATCATGGCTAACCAAACTCCCGCCGTTGTCATGGACAAGTACGTCTCACTTGTCCCAGCCCCCGCACTGACGACGACAGCTAACCTCAGCTCGCAGCGGCACGGGTTTCTCCAAGCTAGGTTCGTAATGGCTATATACGCACTTGAAGCCATCGAATACTCTTAGAATGGATGCTCATACTCAAATGCAGGTTTTGCCGGTAACGATTCACCCTCATTCGTCTTCCCGACCGCGATCGCGACCAAGGGGCCAACTGGCGGAGCTGGCGGTTCCGGATCTGGACGACCAGCTGTTGCAAATAAGCCTTCTTTTCTCACCGGAGGTGCTGGAGCTGGAGGCCATCTGAGCGGAAAGCGAGGAACTGAGGATCTCGACTTCTTTATCGGTGACGAGGCGATAGCAGCTTCCGGAGGACCTGGTAGGCAACCATTGAGCTCTCGATTATCGAATTAAACTGACGAAACAAGGATATGGACTTCACTATCCCATTCGACACGGTCAAATAGAGAACTGGGTATGTCTAATGATGGGTTTGATATGAGTTGGAATTGACCGCCTTTAGGACCACATGGAACGATTCTGGTCAAACTCCATCTTCAAGTATCTCCGAGTCGAGCCTGAAGACCATTACTTCCTCCTTACCGAGCCCGTGAGCGACTTTCACCCTAAAGTGAATTCGAAATATCATACTAATCGAGATAGCCACTGAACCCACCCGAGAACCGAGAGAACACCGCCGAGATCTTCTTCGAGTCCTTCAACTGTGCTGGAATGTACATTGCCGTTCAGGCTGTTCTTGCTCTGGCTGCTTCTTGGACATCTTCCAAGGTCCAGGATCGCTCGCTCACTGGAACTGTCATTGACTCTGGTGATGGTGTTACACACGTCATTCCCGTCGCTGAGGGTTATGTCATTGGCTCCTCCATCAAGTCAATTCCTATCGCTGGTCGAGACATCACCTACTTCGTTCAGTCTCTGCTGAGAGATCGTGGCGAGCCCGACTCTTCCCTCAAGACCGCTCAGGAAATCAAGGAGGAGTACTGCTACGTCTGTCCCGATATCGTCAAGGAATTCGGCAAGTACGACCAAGATCGCACTCGATTTGCCAAGCATGTCGTGTCGCACCCCAATGGCCGCCAGGTCAGCGTTGATGTCGGTTACGAGCGTTTTCTCGCCCCCGAAATCTTCTTCAACCCCGAGATTTACAGCTCCGATTTCTTGACCCCTCTCCCTGTGGTCGTCGATGGTGTTATTCAGCAGTCGCCTATTGATGTACGACGAGGCCTTTACAAGAACATTGTTCTCTCTGGAGGAAGCACACTATACAAGGATTTCGGTCGCCGATTACAGCGAGACATTAAGCAGCTGGTGGATGCCAGAATTCGAGCCAGTGAGGTCCGTAGCGGTGGTGCTCGAAGTGGTGGCTTGGACGTGTCTGTTATCTCTCATAAGCGACAGCGACACGGTCCTTGGTTCGGAGGCAGTCTTCTCGGTCAAACTCCCGAGTTCCGATCGTACTGCCATACCAAGGCCGAGGTAAGAATGATTGCCCTCCTATTACAGATGATAGCTAACAAAAGTCACAGTACCAAGAATATGGTCCCAGCATTGTGCGAAGATTCGCTCTGTTGGGTGGTCCCGGTGGCTCTTAAATGGAGACATCAACGAAGAGTCACTCCTCGATGGACCCTGAGAGTACATACTATACTTCCTAGAGAGAAAGCTTTCTGGAGTAGACGCAAGACTACACTGGGAGCCTGCCGTAGGGTGCAACGAAGCGGCGCTCACGGCGCAAAATCTCAATTGACAATTATGCCTAAAGCGATGCAAATACAAGTGGAAGAGTTGGCAAGGTGGTGGCGCGCACGTGTTGAAGTTACATTAGTCGTTTTTAAAAATTCACAAATCCGAAACATGTCGCACTTCCCCGCTCGTAGACTCTACGATGCATGATACGTTCTTCTTGACGATACAATACATAGGCGATTTCCGTCCAACATGACTGCAGCGATGTTCCGTTGTATACAGGTTCAGCCACGACCCATGCAGTCTTACATTCACTCACTCCGAGTCGAGACACCAGTCAGTGTATCTGCAGCTAAACAGCTTTGACCTCGTAACGAGATGCTCTAGATGCTTCATGGCAGTGGTCTGATTTTCCTTGTGATGTTCTAGAAGCGGCTTGGTGGCTGCCGGAGCAGGGGTCTTTGCTGTAGAGGGTTGCATTAGAGCTGTAATGGGTGGAGGGGTAAACAGAACCCTGCTCTCGAAGATACAATCCCATCATCCTTGGGGAGATGTTGCAGGTGCTCGAGTACTCTATGACCTGTATTTCGTGTAGTAGCTTTCAAACATGAACGGGGATTGTTTAGAACTGTTTGGCATTTCAAACTCAAAATTCATCAAACAGGCACATGGTTCAATGCGACTCAACTGCTAGGATTTGGAAGGCCAGAAAGCCCATCCGAAATGAATTAGAAACTTGACTTGTTGAGTGGATAAGAGATAAAACCAGTAAATCAAGATTTATACATATATTGGTTTTTTTTGGGCCATTCCTGCCTTCCATCGTAAAACTTGGAGGCCAACTTCGATACTCTTAGCCGACGTAAGGATGAGAATCGCATCCTTAATGGTATAAGATTGCACGTCTCCTGGACTATGCTATAACCAAGATAGTTTCAGATATCTATTGCGCAGAGTGACAGGATGCATTGCTCCTCATCATCGTGGCCAGTCCAAATATCACTGTTGTGAAATCATGTTGATCGAAATGTTCGTTCTGTTATTCATGCTATACAAAATCATAAAAACTCATAAACTAGGGCTATACACAAAACTGTAACCAAGATTCATCTGGCTACCTCGACAACACCACCAGAAAACCGAAATCAACACCCGCCTGAACTCCTCTTAGTAGGGTATCAATCACCCTTTTCGTAACGGATGGCCCTTTACTTTTGGGGCGTGCTTTCCCGCACTGCCCAAGCGACAGCCGCGCGCTTATCGGCTGGTGTCAACGACATAGCGACCGACAACTTGGCCAGCCTTCATGAGCTTGAAGACGTCGTTGAGCTCAGAGAGACCAACAGTCTTGAAGGGAACCTTGATGAGGCCACGGCGGTAGAAGTCGATGGCCTCAGCAGTATCGGCACGGTTACCGACGTAGGATCCCTTGATCTGGATCATGCGAACGACAGTGTCGAACACGGGAGCAGAGAATTGAGCACCAGCGGGGAGACCGATGCAGACGACTGTGCCCTTAGATCGGATGTACTGGGTAGCCTGTTGGAAGGGCTTCTCGGCAGCAGCGACGAGAAGAGCAGCGTGAGGGCCGAGACCATCAGGGGTAGTAGCCTTGACATCGGCAACAATGTTCTTGGTCTTGGTGAAGTCGATGAAGGTCTGAGCGCCGAGAGACATGCACATCTTCTCCTTCTCCTCACCACCATCAATGGCAATGGCGTGGATGCCCATAGCCTTAGCGTACTGGACAGCAATGGAACCGAGACCACCACCAGCACCGACAATAGCAAGAGACTGACCGGCCTTGACACCAGACTCCTTGATACCCTTGTAGACGGTGATACCGGCGCAAAGAATAGGGGAGATGGCCTCGAGGTCACACTCCTCAGGGATGCGAGCAACGTGGATAGCCTTGGCGACAGCGTATTGCTGGAAAGAACCATCGACGGTGTAACCGGAGAGAAGAGCCTCAGCGCAGAGAGACTCGTCGGCGTTTTGGCAGTAAGAGCAGCTTAAGCAAGAGCCATTGAGCCACTTGATACCGACCTTCTCGCCAATCTTGAGATCCTTGACAAGCTCGCCGAGGGCGACGACAACACCGGCACCCTCGTGGCCACCAACAAGGGGCAGCTTGGTGTCGAGGGGCCAGTCACCCTGCCAGGCGTGGAGATCAGTGTGGCAGACACCGGAGAACTTGACGTTAACGAGGACCTCATCGGGACCGGGCTTCTGGACGGGAATCTGCTTGTACTCGATGGCTGTAAGAAATAATGGTTAGTACAAAGCTTGAAAGGTAATTCGAGTTATATGACGAATGGCGGGGTAGCTCTGGATAGGTGGGACTTGACCGATATCCTTGAGTTATGGGAAATGGAGGATATAAGATATCCGAGGTAGAATGGATAATTGGGATTGCAAGTTAATGAAAGGAGGATGACATACGACCAGCGGTCTTCTCGAAGATCTGAGCCCACTGCTGGGAAGGAATTTGGGGAGCGGCCATTTTGATTGTTGGGTGGGTTGGTTGTTGGGTTGAAGGGTATCGAAAGGTTGTCGTGAAGACTGAAGAGTTGTTGTTGAGAGTGTTGGAGAGTTGTTTGATGATCTGAATGAGGATAGAGAGGAAAGAATCGACTTGAGGCCGAGGGGATCAGAGTTTATATAGATATTTGGTGGGAGATCCTGAGTGAAGTAAGGGTCTGGTCTATGTGGTATGGTTTGGTCTTGTCTGGCACGTATGGATAGAACTCGGGCCTAAACCAAACCGTATGATGGGCCAACGGGGCAAGGATAGTCGTCGAGGTGTAAGAAATCAAGCCTCACCTTGGCGGTCGTGGGGAGAAAGGGAGTGCCATTGGAGCTGGAGGGTGTGAAGACAGAATCCGAGATCAGAGCAGATCAGACAAGAGAGCAGGTATCGTATCGCAACCTGGGCAGCTTAGCTACACCAGCTACTCTATTCTGAACTCGACCAAGGGACCAGCCCAGCAAGGATCAGGTCCAAGGGAGGGGCCAATTCGGCTGCACGGGGATCCGCTCTTTAGTCCATGCTCGTTGGGTATTGGTATTTGTTTTTCGGGATGCGGCGAAAGTGGCATTTGCTGTACTTTGTATCGTCTTATGCTTGCGTGGGAGGGACAGGCTTAGTGCGAAGACGAGAATGTGTGAGGTGAGGTGAGGCTAGCTCGGGTTGTTTGCAGTGGCGTCACCTGTGGATTACTCTCACTGTACAGTAGGAGCTTAGACCCATGGAAGGAGCCAGGGGGTTAGGTAGGTGCCGTCTTCATCATCCCTGCCTCGCCTTCCCTACCAACACAGCAACACAACACCTAGGAAGGCAGGCACGCTACGGTACCTGCCGCGGTTTACCATCTCCTCACGATGAGTCTGAGCTATCTGAGGTATGGATGTAACTACCAATGAAACCCCGCTCTTGCTGCATTTCAACTTCCCCTCAGAAGAGTTCTAGTGGTCGAATCTATGACAGTAGCGTCAATTCAAAGTCGTGTACTTCTGGGGGGGAAGGTACATACATCCGCAGCTTAGAAAACGGCACAACAACAAAAGATTTAGTCTAATAAGGGGTGTGTAGTAGAAATTCGCAGCCATCTGCCTAGTCAAAGAAGTCATGATGAATGGAACTAATTGTTTGGTATCAATCAATTGTGTCGTGATGTTTCGATATTGGATCCATGGACAGTCAGCTGCTTTTTACGGCCCTTTTCCCATTGTACCGGGTTTTGACCATTTTCCCCCTGTAACAGCTCATATTGCCAGGAACAAATAACTAAACCCCATTTTAAAACGCTCAAAGATAAAATTCGGGTGATCAGAGAGATAGTAAAGGGGAAACTACCATTATTGCGGTAAATTCGGTTGCATATCCGGTCCTAATTCGGTTGCTTGTCAGATCCTCACTTTTACTCGCAACATGGCATGACATGATATTCAAAAACCTCATGAGAACCCCCTGAACCTCGACCCCACTAGATTTGGCATCCACCTCACTAATGCTTCATCCCACGCGTTTTCGAGGCTTCCTAGACTCCGACTTGCACTACATTTTAGGTCTCCCCCAATGCAAAGTGCATCCGTTCAACCATGTGGGAGCTGCACAGCCATCGATCAACAGATTGCGGAACAGCCGGGGTGTTCGTTTGGCAGCGGCTCCGTAGCTAAGCTAAGGTAGTGTGGTATGTACACAGTGAAAACAGTATTAGGTCTGTTTGAAGCATCATCACTTTGACCGTTTCTGTGCCTCAATTTTTCATTGTGCAGTTTCAATCCACCTCCATTCCCTGTCATGTTGCGCACCAAGCATCTGCCGATTTACATATCCATTCGCATATTTGCGGACCTGTTCACTGAAAGATCGATTGAAACTTTGTGGGTTAACGTCTCACTGCATTGGTCTTAATGTCATGATGACTCTCATTGTTTTGTATAAGTGATGACTCTATCAAGTATTGAGTCTCGTAATCCAGGCCTGGCCTCGCTCTGCCAACAAGTCAAACCAAACATCGGCCCCCTTTCTTGCACGCTTCGCCCTCACCGAATTGAATTGTCAAAGCGGTGCAGGAAAGACACGGCAAGTAGTCGGGACAATTCTCCAATACAACCTCCCTTTCACCGAAAACAAAGCAACAGCACTAGGACTAACGAAACGCTTCGCTCGAAAGGAGATGTGTTCTTGCTGCAGAGTGAACAACGATTTACCCCAAATTGCGGTATGAGGAGCCAATACCATCGTGGCTGATGCTACCTACACTTGATCGAGTCACAGAGCATTGCCATACAAACCAACCACTCGTTGAGTAACAGTGGAGCGTCGTGTCGTGTTGGTGAGCTTTTTGAGAATATCTTCACTTTTTTCCCCGCACTCTTGTTTTAAACGTGACGCAGGTCCCCTCCCCAGACGATCTAGTACCGCGCTACTAAGAAGCAACTTCGGATCCGTGATGGTACATGAGGTTTCTGGGGATCTCTCTCCCCCCAGACAGTTCTTCGAATTACACTTGACGCCATGTTTCTACACCTGGTTGGGAACCGCCTTCGGGTTCAGGGTTCATCCCAGTCGGCTGGGCGGAGGTCTTTTTTGGAAATGCGGGGAAGCTCCAAGCTTGAAGAGTATAGGTCTAGGTCCTTGACTCGAAACCCCTGCGATGTGCTGTGTTGTGTTGTCCTGTCTAGGTCAATGCGAGTTGGTTGGCTCTGGATCGTAAGCTGTAGGAATCACCGTGTGGATTTCTTAGACACCAAGACACGGCAGGACTGGTTTGGCCTTTTCAGGATCGCCTTTAGATCTTTGGTGCCCGTAAGCGGTATGGGGGCTTATAGAATGCCACGCCAACGTTTGCAATATGATTACATCCGTCGTCGGCAACAATGCAACACTGGCAGTTGTCTTGAAGCCTTTAATACCTCCCTGACGATTGGTTTGGTGAGTGCAACCCATCTTCATACAGATCCAAGGTCTCAGTCACGGTTGTGGGTAAATGTACTTTGTCTATTAATTCTATACACGCTTATGACGCTCATTCGGGAGCATTTGGGTAGTACGGTATCAGCCAACTATTCATCGCCCCTCATGCATCCCTGTCAGTTGAACTTCTTTCTCGAACGCACATTTACTAGGGGCAAGGTTGGTTCACCGTGCCTCTAACGATAGATTCGCCGGGCTTCACTAGTCAAGTGGTTAGAAACGTCACAAGGCTATTCTGTCTGTCTCGGAGCCGTTGCCAGTCAATACTATAGCCGCCATAGATTAGTTGTCACTGGTGCTGTTTAGCCAGTTAGTCCCTAGATCAAGATATCTGGGGGCCTCCACGTTCAGGCCCGTGTAGTGCTAAAAACTACATCGAATCCACTGCGGCTCCGCAGTATTGACTTGCATGAGCCGCAACCACAATTGCCTTCCCCGCATTCAAGGCGCACACCCTCAAGACTAGTGACCTGAAAGACACCCCAAAGGCGATCCATTCATCCTGGGGCCCCAGGTTTTGATGTTTATTAAACTCCTAGTCAGGGATGCTTCAACCAGAATGAGGTGTTAAATCGCTGGAGGAACGGAAGTTGTTGATGAGATGGATCCATTGGTTGCCATGTGCCCGGTTCAGCAATACCACATCGCATAGACTTGTCTTCTCATGATGGCACCTGCAGTCATGACACTCAGATGTGCCTTATGTCCTTCTAGATTAGAATTCTTGGGGTTACATGCACATAATCATTGGCTGTGGCAGCACGTCTTGCATTGAACCGACAGCTTCTAGCTTTCGTCCGAGTAAGGGTTGAGAAGGGTTGATGTTTCGGAGACTAGGAAACCGCTCAACCAGCTGACGATCATCTGGTATGATATCTCATGACCTTTTCTTCATTCTTTGTTGCTTGTGTGGTGTTCTTCTAAGTCCCGGAAAACGTGGTCAAGGCTGCTAAAACTCGACTTCGAGGAAGAAACCTTCCTTTCGACTTCTGAAAGTTCGCAATGTGATGTGAGCGTTACAGGAAACGACTCTCTCTCTCTCTCTCTCTCTCTCTCTCTCTCTCTCTCTTTTCATGCTTTTCCTCGATATCGCAACTGCCAAATTTGCTACTGCATCTTATTGTCATGCTGATTCTGAAATTCAGCCTGTTCTAAGCACCTCACGTGGACATGCAGCACGATGTTGCTCAAGACACATCTGTATTAAGCATCCGCAGAAAGGCATGCCTTGGACCAGTGTCTGTCAACCTACGATCGACATACCGTCTAAGATTACAGATTGACTCCCTTTATGTACTATATTGTGGGATAAAGGTCAACTAAACAGTGGGCAGATACAACTTGTGGAAACAGCACGAGTCCAAAAAGGCATGCTACCCGCAATGCGAGCAGTCATATATTTTTATTCATTTGTAAGAATTTGGTTCGCGAAATCAGACATCCCTCCTGTCCTCCTTGTCCAGGACCTTAAACACCAAGTATATTTCCATGCACTCGCAATGCTAATAGATATTCAGGAGAACCGATTGTATATTGCTTCTATTTGGCTCGCCGCTTAAGCAGCAACCTCGACCGATTGCTCAACACCATCCGCCTTGCCCGACTTGACAGTCTTTCCGGTCTTGGCGATCTTCTGGAGGACGGTCTCGTAAGGGAGGGCGGTGATGACCTTGGCGGACTGGTTCTCGAGGGAGACCTCGTAGCTCTCAACGCCTGCAAGAAATCACTGTCAGCAGCAGTCAGGGATAAGCAGGGCAGAGAAGCATACCTTCAAGCTTCTTGAGGACGCGGTCGATAGCACCAGAGCAGCCGCCGCAGCTCATGGCAATGTCAAACTCGTAGGTGTGTGTGTCGGCCATTGTGAAGAGTGTTTGTAGATGTGAGGTTGAAGTTGAAGAAAATGGCGGGGTATCTTTGGTTATGAATTTGGAGATGCAAGAGTTAAGTAGAAGGGTCCGTGCTGGAAAGTGGGAATCTGACTTGGGATATAACGAGAAAGAGAAAGGAGATGGGTGTGACTGTGTTCTTATTACTTGCTGCTGACTGTTATGAGCAACGGTAACTCAATTATTAATACGCTCTTCTTCATATTTGTGATACTTGGTAGCTAGCTGATTGCGCAATTGGAGGCGGCGCCAATTTCAGAGACGTGACAAAATGAAACATGCTCAATACACGGCGAAACTTTTTCTGAAACGCTGCTATAGTGACGTGTAATTACTCCGGTGCTTGGACTTTTGGCTAAGATGACAGTTTCATTTCTTTTTCAGCTGCCTTTGGTGATTTGGTGCGAACAGACTCTATGATTTATTTGTTTTAGGTGGTTACTCAGAGTGTTCCAATTAATTTTACTGTCAACGTCGTGTAAGTGGGACGAAATATTGGTAAGTCATGGGCGTATTTGAGTGTCTAACTATCCCGTTAAAGGTACTGGCACGACAACATGATACAACATGATACAACATGATACAACATGTTAATGTGAATCAGAAAAGAGGACAACTGTCAACTTCTCTACGGCTATTCGTGTTCATCATTTATCCGGATAGACGAGGCCTGTCAATTTGATGGGCAATGTTTGATGTAGAGGTTACCCTGTACCGCCATGAATGGCTGAATAAGCTCAACGTCACCCATCAATAGAATATCCATAGGAATATATGCAAGTCCAACTTACACAAATACCATTTATTTATATTTGACCCGTATTTTCATGCGTCAAACGTTATTGAATTATTACGGATCTAACAAGCATAGACAACAATATGCGGATAGATGGTCTGATTTCCTGGGCCCGCCTTTCTAAAGGACAACATGATCTGATCGGCTTCACCGGGACTACCTCGACCGTATTCTCGGAGGGTCAAAACCGTTGGGATAAGGTGACAGAAATGGATATTCTGAGGCTTTTTACCGATGCAAGTGTTCAGCCGAGATAAGCGTTGACTGCATCCTTCTAGAAGAACGTTGGTACTTACAGATGCATGCATCTACCACTACTCTCCTGACTAGTAAAGGTCTGTCGGGCTACAGCGACATCTTGTCATTTGAGCTGTTACTAGAAGCCTTCTACTTCTGTTTATAGCACCGAGAAAGAGCCTCAATACGGTATCCACAGGCGGATCGGCCCTATGACAGAGTCAAGCTACAGGGACAGGCCAGCATAGAGAAATCCATATCGGCAGATGAGGCTCTGCCGTTTCGACAGCCACAGCCAGAGCCATCCTTGCTTGCCGCAGGGCGTAGATTCTACACTGTACGCCCATATTCCCGGATATCTAGCCGAGCAATTTATGCTATATCATGATCTGATCTGACATGATCTGACGATATCGCATTTGGGCTTCGATCGCGGCTGTTTCTCGGTCTAAACGAATAGTTTACGCCTATACATCCTGGAAGAGAGAGACCCCCACGAGTGGCGACTCTCGATAGATGTGAGCTTTAGGTAATTGGTAGGGACTATCTCATGTAGGATGCACATCGTAAACGTCAAAGGATCATTGGCCTCTTCGAATTGTTTATAGTGCGAGGCGGGGGCTGATATAGATGATATGATCTGAGTTGTAGGTAATGGTTATTGTGCGGCGTGGACTTATTGATTTACACCAACAGGTCCATGGCTGAGGGGTTCGAGGCGCCTTGATAGGTGATATCTGTACAAGGAACATTTGGGATAAAGCAAGAGACCTGGACACAGTGATACCCCTGTGATGGCTCGGGTGAATAAGCCTGTCCTCTCTGTAAAGAATTCGATAAGTGGCTATATCGGTCAACTAAATCATAAACAAACATAATACCTTCCTGAATGATATACAACTCCTCAAAACCTCGCCTCAACCTTATTCTCAACATCCTGCAACGCCCACTCACTCCTTGCCTTCTTACTCCTTACCATATCGACATGCTCCTGCGTAAACCCCTTGGCCACGACCGCAGGATTGTACCCCAGCTTGTTTCTATGTCCCACCATAGTTGAGTTCACCGCAGGCGCAGCGCGTCCATCGGCTCTCTTGTAAACTGTCACCACAGCCGCGCCTCCAAGACCGAGATTATGCTGCAGACAGTATCGAGTATTGGCCGCTGCACGATTGTTGGCCCAGCCGCGGAGATGCCAGACCAGCTCTGCGCACTGCGCGATACCTGTCGCGCCCAGAGGATGGCCCTTTGAGATGAGACCGCCTGAGGGGTTGATGATGTATTTTCCTCCATAGGTGATGTCGCCGTTGCGAACGAGCTCATGCGCTTTGCCCTTGTCACAGAGACCTAGAGCATCGATGGTGACCATCTCATTCGCACTAAAGCAATCGTGTACTTCGACAACTTGAACGTCGCGGGGAGAAATTCCAGCTTGTTTGGTTGCCTCTTGCATAGCTCGCTGCGTCATCTCGTAACCCATGAGGTCGATTGCGCTGCGGGAAAAGAGACTGGGAGCATCTGTGGCGAGGTGCTGGCCTGCGATTTCGACGGCTTGTTCACGGAGATGAGGACGGGCGTTGAGGAATGCCTCTGAGACGATAATAGCCGCTGCACCGCCGTCTGAAGTTGGACAGCATTGGAGCTTGGTCAGGGGCTCGTGAATCATGGGAGACTGGAGGATCTGCTCTTTGGTGTAGACGTCTTGGAACTGAGAGTAGGGATTGTTGGGCGAGTGGGCGTGGTTGATGCGCGCAATCTCAGCAAAGTCCTCGGCCGTGGCTCCGTATCTATTATCAAGGTCAGTCAGTGTCCGTCTTATTCGTATATCTGTTAGTACTGACTTCTCCATATACTCTCTCCCGGCATTACCAAACATTTGCGCCGCGCCAGGAGAGTTCGTGATGCCTCTTGTATCAGCCATCATCTTGACCGTCGTCCCCGTTGGACTCTCCCTGTCCTTAAAGAAGCTCTGCAAACTACCAGGCATCATCTTCTCAAATCCCACCACCATGACACACTCTGCAGCTCCGTGCTCCACCAGGGTTCTGGCCATGTTGAGACCGGTGCTTCCAGTAGAGCAGTTGTTGTTGACGTTGTAGATGGGGATCTGGGTCATGCCGAACTGGTAGAAGACGCGCTGGCCGCAGGTGCTGTCGCCGTAGCAGTAACACGCGATGCCCTGGTCCACATCGTCGTAGTTGATCTGCGCGTCGAGAAGGGCCTTGACGCCTGCTTCAAAGCCCAGTTCTGTGTAGTCGACTTTGCCGCGGGGCTTGATGAACTTGGTCATGCCTACGCCCAGGACGTAGACGGGTGACTTTTTGTTGCTAGACATCTTTGAGGGTATAGAAGCGCTTGCTCGCTATAGTTTGGTCTAATTGAAGAGAAGAGGGTTGTTGTTGGAAAGTTGAAAAGAAGAGATAAGATTCAGGATATGTATGTATTCATGATATCACCACCTTCTTCACCTCTTGGTCCCTATATTCCCTTGCAACATCCGACTGTTCCACCTGAGAGGATCGACAATTAGACTAAAAACTACCCCGGCTTTCATCCCAATCAGGTAAACAACTCGGTGCGAACCCAAATTCTCGTCAAATGAGATTAATTCCTTTGTTGCATTCGATACCCCAGGCTCTAAAACACTGCCATAGTGCGGGGGAATTGGAAGCTCAGGAACCGAGATACCGAGGCTCATTGACTTGAATACATTACCTTTTTCGGTCAACAACAACTTGGATATTTAATTGCTTGTGAAAGGCAACAACTCTGTGATTTATATCTCTGTCACCAACGATGAGAAGAAAACTACAAGTTTACTGATCATACGTAACAGCAGATACATTAAAGTATTAGTAGAATGGATAATCGCTGAATTTGGTCTATTCCGGCCGAATGACTCGGGGCCGTGTCTTCAATCGGCCGAACATTCACTAAAACATGTTGACTTTGGACGATAACTGCGAGGTATAAAGTCAAGCACATATCTAGTGATCTATCTCTTTGAACTATTCATTCTCTCGCGATTTCTCTTGTTGATAAATCCAAAGTGCTGACTCCCTGCATTCCAATACCACAATGCACATCCTTCTCCTCAGCACATCAGACCAAAACGGCTCTTCAGTTCTCCAATATGCTATATCCAGAAACTACACCGTCACAGCCCTTCTTCCATATGGTTCATATTCATCAGACCACGCCAATATTACTCTTATCACTGGCTCGTCTACATCGCAGCGCGATCTCGAAGCAGCACTGCAGACACCGACGTTCCCAGAAGCTGTCGTTGTAGCCTTCGACCATACCAATATCTGGGAGTTGGTTGCTCGAGCGCTCCTAAAAGCTATCACTGCTGTAAATCTACGGAAGCGAACTGAACTGAAGTCTTCGTGTTCGAAAACATCCTTACCTTTTCGCCTTGTGTTCACCCACAGCAATGCAGCGCAAATGGGGCGACATGATTACAACAGAGTTGATGCCATTGTGCGGGAGAGTGGTTTACCCTTCGTACTAGCTCAACGTCCTCGCATCTCCAAGATATCTAGGATAATACGTGCTTCTCCATGCGACGGACGTGGTGTTGCTTGGATGGCTGCTATCAAAAGAGACAGTATGACAACCGACACAGTTCAAAACAATGAACCAAACGAGGATGTGCCTAGTTTGGTAGAAGCTACGAATATAGGGAAATCGTGACCTGTTGGTTCCAACATAGCTGCTTGGGTATTATTTGGCATTAATCTGTTATTAATAATCCAAGCCATTTCCATACCTCCTTTACACCTTTTCCAAAGCCCCATCTATTGGACTCACTCTCCGGCAGTCGTGTACAAGTCCCAAGCATATAAAAGCTCACGCTTCGCTTATCTAACCCAAATGCGCCTTGCAAGGCCACGTATGACCATGAGGCACCATGAACAGAATGCCCCGTACGACGGGGAAACTTAACAAACGCCCGCTGAACTTTCCAGACCCAGCATAATACCACCAACTAATACTTATTTGCCATCGGTGTGGCAAATCAGCTTACACGATTGCCCCGATCAAAAACTCTACACACCACAGAACAGAGAGGAGAAAGGGGCAGCGCTAAGAACAAAAAGACAATAATACCAAGGATTTAGTTACCCTTGGTGATGCCCGAACAAACCGCTTGAAAGAACATTACTCCCATCCTTCCCAAATCAGCCAATTGTCAAAGTCGTTGAGGGCTGCCGGTACTCCGATCGAGTTCCGCTGATACATAAACGGCACATGGTGTCTGTATGCATCCCCTTGGTATCCATCGACAACACCGACAGGTCCCATTGTCTCGAGAGTCATGTTGGTAGCCCTAGAGCAGCGATCTAGTATCATGCGAAGACTTTGTACAACCTCTTCGGTCTTGACCTCGGGTTTGGAAACACACTCCAGAACAACTGACAGGCATACCACATCTTTGGTATCTCGGCCACTGATGTTGCGAACCAGAAGATCCAATGTCTTCTCCACGGTACTGATGAGTCGAGAAGGAGACCAGAGCACAAGGTTCTCTGGGTTGTAAACGGGAAAGTCGTCTGAAGAATCGGGAGACATGCGTAAGGCTTGCGAACCAAGTCCCGAGCTATCGGAAGCTGGACGCACAGCTGACCGAATATAGAAACAAACACTCAGCGCAGCCTGGATGATATCCTTCTTCAGCACCTGGTGATACATCTCGGTAATGTCTTGGAAATGCGCAAGCATGGGATCTAGTTCATCCAAGTACTTCATGATGACCATTGAGGACCTGAGATAAGCCCGGGAGATTTGCGCCGGGGCGTCAGATGCTCCTATCGCGAATGGTCGATAGAGCGCAAGCAGCGGTCGCCGCACGTGCATGTCGAGGATGACTCGCGACCTCCACTGCTTGCTCTTCTGCGAATCGCTCAATATTCCTTGCCTAGGGAAGATGTAGTTGATATCGTCAAGAAAGCGCTCGAGTTTAGCTCCAACGTCCATAATCTCTTGATAGTCCCGAATTGTGTCGATCCGGTTCAGCATGTGTGCCACCTTCATTCGCACCCCTAGTGTCATGGCGGCGTAAACCTGCATCTGATTGTCGGTAACTACGTCGATAGGCTTTGATGGTGGCAGCTCCTTCATATCCGGGTACAGCTCATTGTCGTCGAGGTTTCGTGGCGGTCGACAGGTAAAATCTCCTTCTCGAACCAAACAAGGCAAGTTGCTGGCAAGTGAGATATGAAGATCCATATCAAGTATCGTAAACCATAATCGGCGGCGCATCTCGCCCAAGTACACAGGGACCCGTGGCTCGAATTCTGAAGGATCGCGGTGAAGACCCATATTCATGGCCATGCGCACGATAGAACCGAGCGATGTCCAAGAGTCCTGTATCCGGGGTGTGATCATTCGCTGCGCGTGTACAAGAAGAACCTCGACTTGAAGTACTGCAAAATCGACCAACTGCTTTCCCCTCAGGCTATCCAGCCACGTTCGCACCAGAGCGCATGCTGTTGGAATATGCACGCCCTCAGACCGCTCGTTGCCAAGTCCTTTCGATTTCGTTTCAAACCGAGACGCGATTGAGCAGAGTGAGAGTAGTTGCGGGAGGAAATATTCGGATTCTATCTTGCCTTCCCAGAATAGGTTGTACTGCTCAGTGAACATAGGTAAATGGACGATTCGGTAGATTGTTTCGGAGGTGTCGACATATGATGCAACTAGCCTGTCGCATACTGCTTTCTTTGGTAGAATATCCGTCATTCGCTTGTGTACGGGCATCATCGAATCAACGAAGACAGTGATTGGCGACAAAGATTTTCGATATTCGTCAATAAGAGCTTTGTGAAACCGCTTAAAGTTTAGCAAAACCTCGCGTACTGCATTGTTATTGGAGTTGTTTGCCATGAACTCTTTTGCTTCGTCAAACTAGTAATGTTAGCAAGTGTACATATTAAACAGTACCAAAGCATTACCAAATTGAGCAAGACGCGAGGGCTGTTTTGGCCATGATATCTTGTTCGCAAAGCTCCTTGTTTGACGGTCAGGCCCCGTATAGTATCGGAAGACGCAGCGATAAGTCTGCCCCCACTACCCTCAGATACCGCAGGACTTCTAGCCATAAGTTGTCTCTCAAGCCTTTCCATGCGCATCGATAACTCTTCCAACGACGGCGCGCTTGTGGCATCACCGTTTCGAACAGGACCATATGCCGAGTCGCTTGGTAGTGGAGTAGTTGAATTGAATATGCTGGGGTTGCAATTGCGTTTGGCTGGCCGAGCGGGTTCTGGCATCTCGCTGTCCGAGCCCTCTGACAGATTTGCGGAGTCATGATCGACAGCGTACTTGCATGTTCGGTTCGATTTCTGGCACTGAGAGCATGGACAAAGGCGATCGCATCGGAGTTTACGCTTTCGGCACTCGGTACATGACTTTACTGGCCTAGGCCTCTTGACGCTCCGTTGCTGCTGCTGCTGCTGTTGATGGGTGAGCGCGAGGTTTTGCGAAGGTGTTTGCTGTAGATGGTGAGGTGGTGTCTGCGACAAAGGCGTGTCGTAAGACGTAGAGGTCAAGATGGACTGAGGAGGAGCCGCAGCAGGGGCGCTACCTGCATCGTGGGTAGTTGAGTGCGCCGTAGTCATCTCGGGCATGCCTGCGACCAGGCGACAGAGTGCCAGAAGACCAAGGCTGTATAGCGATTAAAAAGGCTCGATAACCCAGGAATTCGGGCAATGCGAACAGATGGTGGATCGATACCGCAAATCGGAACAGCGCAAGTACACGACGATATTGTAGATCAACGAGCGAGGTTCGAGGTTCGACGAGAGTGCGCTGACCAGCCTCGGGGACTTTGAGTTCAGTTACAGGTATGATTGTGGTTTTCAGGTTCAGGAATCCGACGACAGCCTCGGCTTAGGTATGTAGGCAGTGGTAGGTCGCAAGCGCACTAAACTCACAACGGACATGACGAACAATAAAGATTGGGAGGTCAGGCAAAGTTGAGGAGAAAGAGGAAGAGGAGGCGAAGCCAGAGAATAATTGTTCAGGCAAACCCGATGCGAATAAGTTGACGAGGCACCACCAGACACGCGGGAAATGGGGCACAAAAGGCACGGGACACGGGGGACAACCCAGGGCCACACCGGTAGAGGGCACTGTTACTAACTATACAGTACTGGAGATGGGATGGGCTGGGGCGGCTTGGACGTGCTAGGCCAGGGTCGTTGAGCTTTACCTTGTTCGACGGAGCTACTCCATAGACTATAGAGGCAGAGAGCAACAGACATCTGTTTTGTTCTGCATTTTTCTCTGGTTGTCCCCATATGATTCAGCCACCCAAGACCAAACATAAGCACACGCGCGCGTCGGGCGATCCAGCACCTGCAAGTGCAGATGCGAACGAGGTGGTACTGAGGGTACCTCTACTATCGATGGTGTGGACCCGTTGCCTTGGGCTGGACCCTTTGCAGAGAACTCGCGCTGAAAGATTGTTCTTAGTAGGTTCCATGGGAACATGACGGTCCAGGCCACTGATTGGTTGTCAAGTACTTATTATACGATGCTCATCAAGGATGTTTTTATTGCCTGTTGAATAGTGAGATACCTCGTCGACTGATCACCAGTATTGTTTGCTATTGTATCAACGACTGAGTTGTCTCTTCAGGCCACTACAATAAGTACCATAAAAACCCAAGCCCTAAGTAAATAGATAGACATGGGATACTGTAACTAAATGCTAGACAGGAGGCGCTGGAATCGCCGTCTGGAACTGAGAGGATTAGGTAGCTTGGCGGGGGGTCGGTCTGATCGACCGGCGGAGACTGTTCAGTGGAGACGTGACCTGTAGGCAATGCACTGTTGTGTATCCATAGGTAGGCCAGAACCTGGCTAGAACATCAGAATGGGTCCTTTTGATATTCATTGTCGATCGCTTTTATGGTGCACATTCATTTCAATCTTATGAATTCGTACATCTAGAATGGTATGCGAGATATATTGGATGTATTTGCTGTGCCTATCAATCGCATACAATAAAGATGGAACCGTGATATCATTTGCCAAGAAAGAGTTGAGGGTGAAAGTGAAGAAAAAAAAACTACTCATCAAATAAAGATGATGAATTGGATGCAATTTGACGGCAGCTACCTAAGTTGTGGTAAGGTACCCACCCTCCTTCTATGGGTCTGTAGTGTCCACTTGATCAGTGGAGAAACAAGTCCATCCCGTTCCAACGGCTTGAATTGCCTAACAAGTGTACTGTAGACTCTACCACAGAAGGCAGGTAGAAAGGTATGGGAAAGTGGCCATTACAGTGTTGCCTTTAACTTATTTAGCTCGGCTTCGGATCAAATGTTGGGGTAGGCCTAGACCTTTATTTTAGACTACCACAGACGGTCTCGATCGCCCTCTCGCTTCAGCACTCGCAACGTGTGCCATGAAAAATACGATATCTTCAAGACACCTCCAGTTCCGAATTCCATCTGTCCATATCAACAACTCGATAGAAGCTGACTCATGCTAACGATCTGCCCTTTGTGCCCATCATTGATCGACAGCCTCGAACGGCCCATTTTCTATACTTATATTGCTACTGTTGTCGCTGGTGGCGCCATAAATGTCACCAGCGAGAGGAGAGGCCTCAATATCGAGTGCTTGGCCACATGGCTCGTGCCAATCCAGGACACCCATTTCATGAAGGCCTTCAGTCCGAGGAGAACCGAGAAAAGCACGCAGAAGGGGGCATGGTTGCGCTCTAGCGCAGGAAGTTTCAATAGAGATCTACACGATGGTGAGGGAAACATGTCGATCGCGACAATCAGTCTGCAGCACGAGCTTGCAGCATGTCTTGGCCTGTTGTCATCGGGTTCATGACGGATTCGCAGATAATCCTTTCGGCCGACCCGTCTTCTCCATCTGATCCCCAGTCTCCTCCGCACGCACAAAGCCGTGCTCTTCGCAAGCATTTCCATCCAATCCCCGGCAATGGAATGAACATGACACAAACTCAACTTGGACACGACAGCCTAAGATATTGTTGTAGTTCGTTCGCAACTTGTTGTGCTCCCCCCCTTTTTCTCAACCAATTTTTATCCTTGAAAGATGTTGGAGTACAACTATTCATACTAGACCTGTAGGATGACCAGCATCCAGGTACTGTATTCCCTCTGCGTCAGTTGCCGTCCTTCCTTCTGCATTGATATGTCCGAACAAAGTGGCCCATTTGACTGATGAAGTTAGAATTCTTCTCCACCACGTTTCACCCTGGTAGACGTCCCCAGACCGAATACCTCGCTAATTCATAGTTTACATCGACCCATGCGCCTGCCATAGAGCACACTTTGCCCTATGGCACCATATGCTCCGTCCAGTACCATGCTCGTACCATGTAATACACCGCTGCACGCGCCTGGATAACTGTCCCCAAAAGTTATTCCAGTCAAGTCGGCCGACGGTGTGATCTGTGCTTTTAGGTTTGGATTGTCAAGTCTTCTCGGCTCCGAGATGGAGCCCTGGCAACTCGCTCGTTCAGCGATATGAATGGTTGGCTTGACTTATTACCAGATCTGGCCAGCATGTCCCTAGGACATGGCCCTGGTATTCTCCGTAACTTGCTCACCATCTCTCTTATATGCATCTCTGGTTGGCTGCTCTGCACAGTCTGCATACAGTACTTGTATGTTTATGCCGAACCGCTTTCTCCTTCTATAGTATAGCATGTACAAACCGGACTGCAGTATGCTATGGTATCTCGCCCCTTGAAACTTAAGCCTTTCATAGAACTAGAGTGCCGCGATTACCTTGCTACAATTATGCTTGCTTAATGCGGTATGGTAGGAATGCTTGTTCAATAGTCGGCCTGTCCGCTTGTGCGAACTGCTATCTCTATTCGTCAAAAGCAACCTAGACACTAGACAGGGCTGAGAGGAAAACTGTGTGCATGGTTCGGGCTTTTTGAAGGGGAAAAAAGTCCGGGTTACTCTTTAATTACCTATCCTGGGATCAATCATCTTGGATATATGTTTATTCAGGTGTTGGCAACGTCAGATAAGACATTGTTATTGTTTCCCCCTTGCATATTGTATGTGGTCCATGTTTCTTGACAGTAATAGAATGATACATCTTCTGTTAGTCTTCGATAGAAGGATTCCTACACCCCTGACTTAGTATCTGATTTGTTTCTTGCAACACCATGCCATGCTGTGCCACACTCCTGCTTTGCGATTGGCCATCGCCTCACTAGTCATCACCTTCTACCGCCCATTCTAGAAACCCTTCATCTCCGGCACCGCACCAACAGGTTCATTTGTCTCAGACACTCTCGCGTTTGTGTATGGGGTAATTCGCGCGGCACTTCATTATCCATCGCCCATGCCTACTTATTCCGTCTCCCTCTCCTGGCTCGCTTAGGAAAGCCCTGATCTTCTAGCGGGAGTAAGCGATCGCTTAGACCAAGGCAATCTAATAACGGATGGAGTTCAAAGAGGGGCAAGACATCATGACATGAGCAGTAGTCATCAATTATTCTGGGTCCTTGGAAAGGACATGGAGCTTGAATTCGCGTTCATAGCCGTTCTTGCCAGGCAATCTATCTAGGTGTATACTTGATACGTGATGCCTTGACTCTTATCAACTTGAGCAAAGCAAAAAGCAATGTGTACTACAGTAGAATATACAGAACAATCACCATCCTTGTCTTAATCAGGTAGATTGATAATATCAATGATCCTCAGGCCAAGCCCCTGGAACACCGCCGTCAGTGCCAGACCCAGACCCAGCTCCGGCACCAGCCCCAGTCTCTCTGTCTTGGTCCTGATCAGCATCAGCCTCATCTGCCCTCTCACCAGTCGGCCCGGTTTGAACGCCAAGCAACTGCATCAAAACCCCAAGGACGCCGCCGTCGCTACCATTCCGCGCAGCCGCTAGGTCCCGTTCTAGTTCTTCGTCATCTAGTTGCGCAAGGAGTGCGGCTTCATCGTCGCTGTCGACCTCCCCTTCTCCCGCCCCATTCGCAGGAGCCGCAGCAGCAGCGCGACGCGCAAAAATGTTGCGCAAACGCTCTTCGATCTCATTCACGGGTCTCTGTGCACCACCCCGTTGTCTATCTTCCCAAGGTAATCTCGTGCCGTGTCCTGAAAAGATATTCTCCTCCTCTGGTGGTGGCAGCGGGTCAAATTCGTAGTTGGGTTGCACGTCTAGGTATTCCCGTGGTGCCAATGCGATAAGTGATGTCTGACCTTCGAGGAAAGTGAGTCTAGTGACTCCTTGGTCAGGTGGAGAATCATCAGCAGGTAAAACGCTTGTATCAACCTTTTCAAGGTTCTTGGCCACCTTTTCGAGGAGAGAGGTAGCCTGTGCGTTGTTCCAGAGATCCTTAGCTTGATGGATATAGAGCTTGATCCAGAACGACCGCGGGTTTGAATCGGCACTGATACCCCAGATTGATGGTGGTGTATCGAGATTCAACTCCTGGAACAGCCCGCAGTAGAGCCACGGGACTCGTCGCATGCCCTTCTCCAGCTCCTCCGTTGCTTGAGCAATATCGCCCAGTTGCAGGTGGGCCAGTACCAATGATTGTCGCAAGTAAATTGTATCACGGTTATCGCTCGTCTTCTCCAGCTCGTTCACAAAGTCGACCAACCAGCGACTCTCCCGGGCACGGATAGCCAATAGGTGAATAAAGTGGCGCATGCCATAGGGATCCTTGTGATCTAAAGAGTAGAGGAGCTTGGCCCACTCCAACGCTGTACGGTAGGTACCCTTTCTAATAAGACTCTTGAGATAGTGGTATCCTGCAAGCCATAACTGTCTGTTCTCGGGTCGACAAAAGTCGAGACGTGCCTTGCCATGCTCAATGTTCTGACGGAAGGCATTAGTGGTCACACGACCAAACGTGAAAAGAGCGCGCTCGCAAAGCTCAGCTGCAAGAGCCATGTTCTGATCTTGTTTAGCCACGCTACTGACCTGCAGGAGTGTGGAAACATGATATGGAAACTCTTTGAGTAGATGAACCATGCGCATAGGGTCTCCGATCTGCACACAAGTAAAGAAGAATGCTTGCGTGGCATCGTAGTTCTTGTCGTGAAGATAGGCGTACTCTGTCCAAGAACCGTCGTTCGCCTTCTTGATCTCCTTCATTGTAAGTCCACCAGCACTCTGCTTTGGCCAGTGCTCACGACCTTGAATGAAGACATTTCTGCGAAGCGATATTTCTGGTAGTTTGGGCTGGCCAGGAGGGCCTCGTAAGAAAGTCTCGATATCGACTTCCCGGGGTGCATTTCCTCGGAATCGACGGTTGCGTTCTTGCTCTTCCTCTGCCTCGGCAGACTGGATAATGTCACTGCCAAACAGGTTCTTCATCTCGTTTGCGACTTTGAGGTGGTATGGGTTGATCGAGAGAAGTTCGTTAATTCGACGGGTCTGAACTTCCGGATCGTCTGCAGCAGAAGGGTCCGCAGATTTTGATGTCGTCAGGTTGAGTTCCTTGATCGCTTTGTCGATTTCGTCCTCGTCGTCCTCGGGTAGGGGAGTCTTTGCCTTTGCTGCCTTCTTCTTCTTCTTTTTGTTCTTCTTGCTCTTCCCTGTCGTGACGGGCTGCTTGATCTCACTCACTTCCTCTTCTGGCTGTTGCTCTTCCTCTTCTTCGTCCTGCGCATCGTCTTCATCATCGCCACCCAGAGCCGCAAAGAGACTAACTCGGGGCTTAGGCGCAACCGGCAACTGGTCATCTTCGCTCTCTTCCGAGTCCTTCTCGACAGTATTTGACACCTCTTCGAGCTCTCGCTGCTTCTGCAGCTTTCGAAGCTGTCGGCTCGACATGGTGGGAGATCGCCTTTTTATGGATGCAAGTGTTCGTATAGGGTGAGTGAGGGGCAGAGTAGAATGGTGTAACGCCAAATGGATTGGGTATCAATGGATAGTACAAAGAAATGATGAAAATTGAATGGTAGAGCGAACTGGGCCAGGGCTACGCCTACACTTATACCAATACCCTATCAGGCTTTCGGGAATCGATGAGTCTGAATTTGCTTAAAAACGTACTTGCACTTTTGACAATATGCGTCATGCCGCAAGAAATGATGACGGTAGTGGGGCAGCCTTTTGACTGATATGGAACTGGTTAAGGTGGGCTGTGGGAAAAAGTAGAACCGTGTCTGCTGAGTTACTCTCCACCACATTCCAGCTGCTTCTTTGTATTAGATTTTAAACACCACATATTTGTTCAACTAGGGAGGTGGATACTAGATCTGGTTATGTGAAATTGGGTTCGAACAACCCAGGATCTGTCGAGTATGAAATTCTCATTTGGCATCTTGACGAACAGATAGAGGCGATACACAAGTGGGATTCAACATACAACGAACGTATACACCAAGTTAGGAGTTAGCAAACATACATTCACGTCACCAATGAACGAATATTGAGCTTGAAATTATGAATTGATAAAGCGGACGTCAACCTTTTGCAGGATTGTGACCTTGCTCGTCAAGCTCTATTTCCTAATGTTTGTTGTTTTGCGTCATGAGCTGTCGTGCGCCTAATTAATTAGGTCCTTCGTCTTCATAACCGCCAGCGCCAGGCCACACCAGGCCATCCTTGGTGTTGTAGATTCTGCAATTCAAAAAGGACAAAAGCAACTCCTTTTGTAGCTTGCTATGCGAAGCACGCTTCCAATGCCACCCGCTTTCAATACAATCCTAACTCCAGGCCTCGCTCTGATGGGGGCCAATCATCCGTTCATGGTATCCGTCAAGCCCAAGAACGGCATAAGAACCCATGTTCTGCCCATGTAGGGCGTTGAAATGCAATAGTTTCAAAAATCGAAAACCTGATATATGATACAAACAAGTGAAAGACCTGCAACGCAAAGGTCTCAGCTTGATTCATGGTGATCGTCCGTGTAAAGATATTGTAGTCTGGTCTCGCAATGACAAAGGACACAGTTGATATGTGCCTAGGTCCGTATTATGTTTGCCGACAGCGCCGGTAATGTTCAATCATTGTTGAGGGGGTGCGTTGGGATACTGGGGGCGGGCTCCACCTCGTCCACCGCGACCATAGCCACGACCACCGCGGCCTCGACCTCTACCGCGGCCACGGTAGTTGCGGTAACCACCATCGACACTGCCTTGCCCAAATGTCTCCATATTCTTGCGTTGCTCCTCGCCTCTCCATTCGCGACCGCCGGGCTTCTGACCTCCATTTTCGGTTCGCTCCCTGGATTCGCTAGAGATGTTATCAAAGAACGACCTCGTCTTGTTGTAGGCAACGGGGACTTCTTCACCCGTGGTCGCGACCTCGGGGTGCTCAGCAACAGCAAGATTCTCAGGAGCCTCCAGGGGAGATCCAGCAATAGCCTCCTTGACGGCATCTTGTTTGTTAAACTTGGCGTTAGACTGAGCAAAGTCGAAGTCAGAGTCAGGCACAACAACCTTGGCGGTGTTCATGGGGCGTCCTCCACGACCTCGACCTCGACCAGCGGGTCCGCCTCGGACAGCGTTGACACGCATTTCGTTAACCTTGTTGGTCAGGTTATCCATAGCATTGCCACCGCCGTTACCCAATTGAGCCATAGCAACTGCGACAGCAGCTCGGGCGGCACTGGTCGCATCCTGAACGTTGGTGGGCGCAACAGCCGCAGGGGCTTTGCTAGAAGAGTCCCCCCCTACACCTGGCAGAGAGAATGGCTTGGCAGTAGATCCGGTTAAAGGAATAACGGGATTAACGCGATGGTTTCTAGGTCCAGTGGGGGCAGCCTTTGTGGCTTCTTCAGCCTTGGCTTGCCCATTGGCCGCTAGAATAGCAGCAGTCTGCTGAACTTCCTCAGCTGAAGGCTTCGAGTCGACAGGAGGTGTCGGGGCATGCGAAGGTTGTCGCACACCTTGGGCCAGTGACTTGGGCTCTGTAGGTGGCGCCACCTGTCCGCTGGGAGTAGCAGCCTTGGCTCGATCAGCACCAGGCCCAATAGGAGCTGGCTTCGCGTCTTGAGCGGGACCGGAGCTGGGAGTCGCTCTTTGGTTGGCAGGAACCTCGATGGGTGCGTTAGGACCGGGACCACCAGGGCCTGGAGGAAAAGGGTAGTTGCCCCAAGGTCCAGGACCGCCGGGAGGGTTGGGGCCTCCAGGACCGCCTGGGAAACCTTGGCCAGGAGGAAACCAGCCAGGTGGAGGAGGGTAAGGCATGTTTCCAAAGTTAGGGCCGGGCCCAGGGCCGGGTCCAGGGCCAGGAGGAGCACCGCCGCGACCCCAGTTACCTGGTGGTGGGCCTCCATAGAAGTTGTTGGGTGGGTAAGGACCTTGACCAAATGCGCCAGGTCCTGGCGGAGCATTGGGGTTAGGTCCTTGAACACCAGGACGAGCTCGAGCAGCCTTGCAAACATTGTTAGCTTATGTCTTCAACCACGACAGCAACAAAACAAGAGTATGGTTTCCCAATCAGAAGGAAGGCAACGGAAATCTCGACATTATTTTTTGCGCTTTCCGAGAATAAATGTTTTTACATCCGAAATATTTCATCATATGGGAAGGAGAGTTGAAGAAAGGTGTTGAAGGGAATAGACTTACGCCAACGATGGCCGGATCATCTGGCACGGCGGGAGGCTTGTTCTCCTTGATGTTGGGATGATCCTCAATCCGCAAGTCCTTTACGTCGCTGCCGCGGAACACGATGTACTCGTAGACTTGGTCGGAGGGGGCAATCTCTTCTTCAGGTCGGCCCTTGCGACCCTCGGTACCGAATGACCTCACATTTTCAAGTGATACTGTCGACTCGTCCGAGTTTATCTCATGTAGGGTACCAACGTAACTGCATTGGGTCAGCGACATCAATCGACGCGTTGAAGCTTAGCAACATACCGAATATCGCTTTTGGAGATGAGGGAAATGCGAGACCTGTGGCTGCGTAAGCGGGCGTAGACAGGCTTCAATGACCACGTCCAGCATACCCGAGAAATTCAGACATCGCCGATGTGAAAAGCCACGTTCAGCACGCGGGGAGCTTGTGGGAGAAAACCGCTTGAAATACAAATACAGTAGCAACAAGATGCGACGTATGCGAGAAAAGAAATGGAAGAGAAGGAAGAGCTTGGTCGTGACTGTGGGAGGGAAGTGAGGTAAGGTGAAGGAGGGGGAAGGTGGTTGGTTGTGTGGAGGAAGGTAGAGTTTTGTGAGAGATGAGGAATGAAAAGAGGCTGGAGGTTTCTAGAGAAGCCCTGCTAGTAGTTTGCGGCTGAACCTCGGGTGCTTCTCGGCGATAATGGGGTTACATAGCTTCACAATAGCTTCAATCATGGAGCTGCAGGTGCCTTTATTCTGTATTGTTTGAAAACGGATTCGGAGAAAACTAGCTACAAAAGAGAAGAAAAATATATAGCTTTCCTACGTAGGTAGGTATGTATAATCACTCGATTCATGTTCACTGCACTAATGCATCACATGGCTTCCTCATAGCACAATGACATTCCTTTGTCTTATTCACATAAACCAGCAATGACAGGCATCGTTTCACAAACATTTGAACATTTCTTGTAGTCTCAAAATTTGTATAGGTACTGTGAGACAAAGCCGGTCTACATCTACAAATCATTAAACTTGCTAAACTCCTTCATAAAACGAAAGTACGCGTAAGGCCCATTAGTCAACCCGTACCGAGGTTTGTATGTAAGCCAAGCTGAAAAGTGACTGCCTAAAACTCCGATAATCAAATTGATCCCTCATCGAAACTTGCTGAAGATGACTGCGAAAATAAGAATAACCAAAACAGTGATGATGGAAATAGTGATTATCCGATTTGTAGCCATCCTACAATCTCAATGTCAGTTGTCCGTAATTGCCATGATGTTTGTGTGGGTCACTTTACCTACGTGCCATGCCCCTGAGTGTCTTGACACTCCTGTCCACATAGCCCTCACTCTCAAGCATTGTGATATGGGTACGCTCGATGACCTCTCGCTGTCTACCAAGATTTGCCAGTGTATCTGCGCCAATGGCCTCGGTCTCGCTGGCAAGGGCTTGACTGTTTTTCAATCGCTGTGTGCTTCGATCAAGGCGGTCCGTGCCGGAAAGCAACTGTTGTCGCTGCTCCATGTTGATATCTGATGAGCCAGCGGGGTCGTCTGTGTAGCGCGATCCGAAAAGCGCTGAACGGTCGGAGGAAAGAGTGGTCAACTTGCGACGAGCGGCGTCTGTGTCTGATTCGTAGTTTCGGAAGCGCTGGTTGACCTTGGTGCGAGAGCTGGTTGGGATGTTCTGCTTCTCCAGGCGCATTGCGCTGAGCTTTACAGATAGATGTCAGTACTCTGTGATGGTTGTATTCGCCTCCATATAGACATACCTGCTCATCGAGCTCCTCAAGTGCCCGCTCGGCTTGGCTGATGGCAGCCTTTCGGGGCTCGCCAGCTAGTTCAGGGATTTGGTCGAGTTTCTGGTTCAAGTCGGCTTGGATGAGTTTGTATTCGGCTTCGTAAGAGCTGAAAAGCTCAGAGCCAGCGTCGGTATCGAGAGGGTTCGACATGGTGAAAGGAGGCTGGAGGCGAAAGGGTCGAGGTTGTCGGGTTGCCAATGCTGTATGAATGGTAATAAAGGTTGCACACCGAACCAAAAGGATTTAATCAAGGCTACAATTGATGGCGATGGCGAATGCGTAATACTCGGGTGTTACTGAATCTGGACTACTGAAATGGTTGATGGTTTGACGTTGACGTTCTCGTCAGCCTTCCAAGTTTGGTGGGCCCGAATACTGAGTACCTGGTAGTTTGCGTATGAAGGTAAATGACCAATCAACTTGAGGGTGGGTGTCTCACGTGATGAGATGGTCCGTGCCTACAGAGTCTGCGGGCAGTATATCATGAAATGTCTGTGATGAACTTTTGGACTTTTTTTTTCTTTTCTCTTCAAAGTTGATTTCCCCCAGTTAGTGAAGAAAAGCGGCTCAGCGTCACGACTTCGGTCAATGGCGTCGGGTTGAAACAAGCTGGGCAGACGAAGGCGAGTTTTTCTCGCACGGCGCTTTTAAGAATTGGTGACTCGAATTACCGTTAACCAGTCCCGTTGAGTGTTCGACATGCCTACCAGACCAAAATCTTTTGGTTTTGAAGTCAAAGCTTTCTGCTACCAGAATAAATAATGGCGGCCTTGCTCGTGTATATGCTGCATGTGAAAGTAATATGTTCTCGATCATCTCTACAACTGCCAATAGTAGTCATATCGGTGCAGAGGTTTTTTCTTCGCACGGATCAACTTGAGGTCCTCAGTGTATGAGGAGAATCGGAGATGCAAGCATTGCTGAAACGACATGTCAGCCGAGCCACGTCAAATCGATATTGACCAGGCTGTCAGTCAGGTCGGGTCAGATCAAGATGCAGTGCAACCGCGTAAGCCACGCGGTTCATGCCTTTGAATGGCTCATGTGTATGCCATGCAAGAGGCAAAGCTCGGAGTCGGCCTTGGCTAGGCGCCAGGTCAGCTAGCTCTAGCTCTCTCTAGCTCCAGCTTAAAGCTCAGCAGCTCCAAGCTTTGAGTCAGTCGGTTCAGGTCATATTCAGGTAAAGTTCAGGCAGTCTACAGTGGGTCGTCAGCTCAAATCGTTGGGACATTACGGGTGTCATCCCGTGTTAGGCCCCCCAGCAAAAAAGAGGCTCATCTCTTTGTCCGTCCGCAGGCGAAACTACCTCCCGTAAACGTAGATCTTTCTCTACTGTCTCTCCTCTTCTTTCCTCTCTTTTCTATTTCGAGGCCAGAACCGAAAAGACAACACAACTAACCTTATCTCTCACTAACGGTAGCAGCGGTAACTCTCCTTATCTATCCCACGTCTCGGATACAATACGTATCCGCTATTCTATTCGCTTAACAACACATCCATACGTAACATACGAAACTATGCGAGAGGAGCCACAGCACATGTAAGTCCCCGTCATGGTGACCTGTGCTGGAGTCTTGAGTTGTCCAACCCCCTCAAAAAGTCTTTCCCTCAGCCAGCCCTCGTCATCAAATCAGGGTCGAAACCGTCTTGTGGCGTGGCTGCCATACCGATACCGCCATTTTTCATTCATCCTGTCTACCCAATCATGCATTGATCATCGTTAATGAATGGAGTTCTTGGGTCTTCCACTTTCACATGCTTTTTTGAACTACTTCCATCCATCATCGTTCAAGATAGAAATGCTCTGCACCCTGTTGAATTGAACTGAACCGAGTCTTCGCTTCTTTTCAGACCTACTTAACATATTTCTTGACATGACAGAACCTCAAACAATGAATGCCTCAACTGATCCGTATCGTTTCCTCAGGAAAAAGGTTGCTGTCGTCGGCAGCGGCTCTGCTGGAATTGGCGCCCTGTGGGCCTTGAACAAAACATATCACGATGTCTACGTCTACGAAGCTTCCGATAGGCTTGGCGGCCATACAAACACGGTCGATTTCACAAAAGGGAAATTCTCGACAAAAGTTGACACTGGCTTTCATGTTTTAAACGCCCAAACATCTCGTGAGTCTTCTTTACTCGCCCAACACAAACGCCTTTGCGTCATAGAAACTCACACTTCCATCTTCAGCCAACTTTATCCAATTCTTGGAAAAGATCAATGTCAAAACATCGCCTACAGATTTATCATTCAGTGTATCCCGGGATTGTGGCGCCCTCGAATGGGCTGGCTCCAGCCTGACCTCATTATTCTGTCAAAGAAGAAATCTCCTATCACCGCGCATGTGGAGGATGCTTTTTGACATTATTCGCTTCAACCAATTTTCCGTCGATCTATTAAGCAGAGATGAAGATGACATCTCCAACATTGAAGTCAAGAGCAAGCCGACAAACACTATTGGTTACGACTTGACTATCGGACAGTACCTGGATCAAGAGGGTTATTCACAAGCCTTTAGAGACGACTATCTTCTTCCATTGGCGGCGTCAATATGGAGCACGAGCCCAGATAAGTGCGCCATGGAGTTCCCTGCTCTGACCTTTGTCCGATTCCTGTAAGTCGTTGCCAATTGACGACAATATAAACCCTTACTAACACACCCTTAGTTGGAACCATGGTCTACTATCGACATTTGCATCGCGTTCCCAATGGCTGACAATAGAGGGCGGTTCCAAAGCGTACCTCGATGCTGTGATGCGGGGTTTCCCTCCAAATCACTTGTTCCTCAAGACGCCTGTGAGGCGTGTTGCTACTGAAAGCAACGGTCAGGTTCGACTCCATCTGGAGAATGGCACATCAGCTCTCTACGATCACGTCATCCTTGCCACCCACGGCGACGAAGCCTTTGATATCATCAAGTCTTCTGCCACCGAGCAAGAACGCGCCATCATGTCTTGCTTCAAGACATCCCAAAACGAAGTAGTTCTCCACTCCGATCTGGATATGATGCCTCGACGTAGAAAGGCCTGGGCTAGCTGGAATTATCTCACCCTATCGTCGCCATCATCACGAAAGGCAAATATCAACCAAGTCTCGCTTACATACAACATGAACCATCTCCAGCACATTCCCCGAAACACCTTTGGAGATGTTTTGGTTACCATGAACCCGCTCCGAAAGCCAAAGCCAGCCAAAACCCAGGGACGCTTTTACTACTCCCAACCAATATACACGACATCTTCGGTCCAGGCACAGAAACTTCTCAAGCACATCCAGAACAGCCGAGGTATTAGTTATGCCGGTGCCTGGACAAAGTACGGTTTCCACGAGGACGGTTTCAGCAGCGGACTTGAGGTTGCCCAGGACCATTTGGGTGCGAAGCTACCATTCCAGTACACCGACTCTACTTACAGCCGTGGTAAAAGACCTCTTGTTGGGCTCTTTGATCTCATGCTGCGCTTAGCCATATTAATCATTCAAGTCTTTGTGATTCAGATCCTCGAACGTTTAACGGGTAGCGGTGTTTCCAAGCGTCAACGGGTCGTGAATGGTAAGAGTGCAAGGTTCGTCAACGGCAAGCATCGATAAAAGTTAAATTGGTTTCTCTGTTTCATATTATTTTTCTCATGGCCAGGAAGGAGTTTTGTCTATTTTATTTCTGTCAAGTTTTGCAAAAATGTTCGTTATTCATATATAGCATGAAGCGTTGAGATTGTTGAAGCAGATTTACACTGCATGGTTTCATGAATACATTTCTTTCGGTTTATGATCAGAAACTTGGTATGATAGTCCCTCGCAGTGGTGATGAGATTGTTATGAAGAATCTTCTTGGGTGAAGCAGTAAGTCATGAATGTTACATTAACATTGTGCTGCTGGATGTATAAGAGACGAAATTATGGTCAGTTTACGTATGTTATTTACACTACTCCTAGGCTATGTATATATATATATCTTTGCCCCCCAAAATTCAGGCCCATTTTCCTGTTTTCCAACTCATTAATCATTATATGTTTGACAGTATCGCAACCCCGACGCCCAGAAGTAGCTGTACGGCCAGACTTAACCCCAAAATAAGATGAACGTACGCCCACTTAGATATCTCTAGCACAACTCCGTTCTGAGGCTGAAGTCCCGGTATGACAAGAGTGCTGGCGGCTTGGCCAACGACAGCTACAACACCCGCCGCAAAAGCTGCCACCAGTGCCCCCATGTTGTCTGTATCACCATTCGCAGGTGCTCCATATGTTGACTCGGCAGGGTAACTTTGGAATTGCCGGTCACTGTTGGTGGGACCTAGTGAAGAAGCTCCATATCCTTGGAGGGCTATTGCTGACGATGCCAACGAGGTGATGTTAACACCAAGAACGTGTTCCTTACGATAGGCGTTGATGACGGGCCCAAAACTGATGTTGCAACGGTAGAACCATGGACTTGACTCGGAGGCTTCGAAAGCTGTGATTTCGCTCCACGTTGAGCCCTGGTCTCTTGCGGCGTCGAACATGAATGTTGTTTGGTTGACGCCATTCATAGCGGTGATGTTGACCTCTGTTCGGCCATTGTCTCCTATAGTGATGCCCGTCTCGTTTCCGCCACCTCCTTTTGTGACTTTCCAACTGCGACAGTTTCCTGTGGCTTCGACGGTGCGGTTTGTGCTCACTATTATATCATATTTCTTTGGTCTTGACGTCCACTCTTGAAAGACGAATTTGCAGGATTTTGTACCGCAGTATATCAAGGGGTCGTTGTTGTCCCACAATGTGCCAGGTACCGGCACAGCGTCCATGTCTCCCCATACCCAACCAAGTGCAATAGTTCCATAGCTGAATTGCGATCAATACACGTGGATAGTTTGGGGTAGGTAATAGGCAAGGTATTTAACGTACCTATTTGCAGTGTATCGCATCGCGCCCACTGCTTGGGACTTGGACGATAGAACCCTAGTCGTTTCCAAGTCGGAAAAGTCTGCTACGGTGACGCTGCCAGGTTTGAGAATCGCAGCCGAGTCAGCTGTGTTCGTGGAGTAAACCAGACCCAACATGGCCAAAGCAATTTGGGATACAAGGTTGAGTAGAATGAAAACGACGGCGTAACAGCGTATAGAGCGTGAGCCAGATTCCCAGGTAAGTTGGATGATCTTGGTCAAATCTTTGGCTTTCAAAATCAGTTCAGTCTGTCACGTCTTGTTAGCAACTTGTTAACTGCCAATGGCTTCTCAAAACTGCTCACTTCTCGTTTTGGCCAGTCTCGAAGCTCGAGAATCCACCACCTAATCTCTTTGGCCATGGCCTCGAGGGATATAGTTATACTCATACCGAGGCCAAGAGAAAGACCAATGATAAGGGCATTGAACTCTCTTTTTGTTTCTGTCGTCATGACATCTTGCTGGGAGAAGTACCAGAGCACCACGTAGATGGCTACGACGAAGAGGACTGAGCAGAACCATCTTAATAGATTTGCAAGGAGCCCCTTTCGTAGGTGTTTGGGCCGCTTGCGAAGTGTTTCTGCTCCCATTGGTTTGCTTTTCTGGTGATGGACTGAATTTGTTGATGCTGATACTCGTAGGTCGTGTTCTGGTGACGATGTTGGTCTGAATAGAGGATTCGATTCCTCCCTTGACTGGTATACATGGTGTTGCTCTGAACTAGGTTGCTCCTTCGGTGTCTGGAATCTTTCCAACTCGAGCCCACCTGGGTTCTCGTGTTCACTTCCTTCTTGATATATGGGCCGTTCCATAGTCAAAGTACAGGCGTAGAGGGTTTATAAAGAAGAGCTTCGTGACAATCAAAACACATGTTTGCCTGTATTTAAGCTTTCCACTGTCTTACCGTCTGCCTTTTTCGTGGAGGCGGGTCTTGGCTGAATCCGTTGTCCATGTAAAGTTAAAATAAGGGTTTTACCGTTGGGGAGTCACTGCCGAGGATCGTCTGCTAAGCTTTATTAGAGACCGACGCTAGGTAGGGAGGGGATGGCAGAAATATTGGGATACAGAAAATAAACAGCCTAAGAGCAGGTCTGAGCTGGTATAAAATGACTTAACAACTTACCCGGGTGGGAGGTTTTGAGACATCGTTACCTGTCTGTGTCTTGACCAAGCATTAAGCTTTGTGGTAACTTCGAGGCCAGAATATACACTACTACCTTGTAATCTTGCTTCACCTGTGGCTTGCGAAAACCTAGTCGTATACAATATGCATCGTGGTCTATCAATTGACCCTGGAAACTGTGATCTAGACCTGCAATGTACAGCATTGTAGCCGGGTATACAAAGTTCAGTAGCGCCAATCGATCCTAGTGCTGAGGAATACGAACAAGCAAATAGCTAAAGGCATCAGAGACCCACAGATGTTGCGAAAACATCCCAGCTACTATGACATTATACTATACTGGTCCTGCATTAGAACCAAGAGGCATCCAATGGCCTCTGCAGCCGTTTTATATCTGCATGTGATCAACGCTGGTAACTATCGAAGCAGAGAGAGAGAAAGAATCTAGATCAAATGTGGTATTCGCAAGGACAATGTATTGTGAGACAATATTATTGTAAGGGAATTAATGGCGTTCCAATAACCGTTTACCAGTGAGCTTCTAACATATGTTTTGGTATTGACCTGATAAATTGCAAGATAAACATAAAATAGGCAATTCCATATACAATGAAAAATAAAAAATAAAAAATAAAAAATAAACGTCATCTCTCTTTCTTGATTGAGCAAGTCACCAGAAATAAGAAAACCAATTTTTATACGCTTCCTTTAAAAACTTCATGATCAATTAACTTTCCCCATAGGGTAGTTCGTTTGGACCCCATCGGCGTACTAGAAGCCGATCGCCGACGTCACCCAGAAATCGCCAAATATCATCTGACACAAAGCTTCACTTCCACCGTAAGACAAAACAACCTTGTCCCGCGCCCAATTGACCATGAACTTTGCGCCTCGATTTGCGCGAAGCTCAGCCCGAGCGGCTTCATCGCCATGGTCATGCTTCTTCTGCCAAAGCGCCCGACCGAAGCCTCAGCGAACAGGTCGTAACTTTGTCCGCAATGCCTCCAACCAGCCCCCGAGACCGAGACAGTCTTATACCCCCACGATGGATGAGATTCGTGCGCATTATAGCAAGAAGAACAGAACTGTAGCGTAAGGACGATTAAGGGATTGGCTTGTGGCATTGGCTTATAATCATTAGGTACTACACCTTGAGTACGATCCTCGGATTTGTTGCGCTTACCTATGGCTCAGTGCCGCTTTACAAGATGGTAACTCCCCTTCCCGGATGTCTATTTTCTTCATCTGATAGCTGTATAGATCTGCCAAACCACTGGCTGGGGAGGTCAACCTATACGTGCTCATGGTCCTGACTCCGAGGTTGGTGATCTCGCAAGCCGACTCGTTCCCGTCAAAGACGCCAAGCGAATCAAGGTCACCTTCAGCGCCTCTGTCTCCGACGTTCTTCCTTGGAAGTTTGTTCCTCAGCAGCGCGAAGTACATGTCCTTCCCGGCGAGACTGCGCTAGCTTTCTACAAGGCGACCAACAAGAGTGACCAGGACATTATTGGAGTGGCCACATACAGTGTGACACCCGCCCAGTGTGCGCCGTACTTCAGCAAGATCCAGTGCTTTTGCTTCGAAGAGCAGCGTCTCAACGCAGGCGAGACTGTGGATATGCCTGTCTTCTTCTATCTGGACCCTGATCTGCTCAACGATATGAACATGAAGGGTATTGAGACAGTGACACTAAGTTATACATTCTTCAGTACGTTTGGTCTGTGACAATGCAAATGACAATGCTAACAGCGTTAACAGAAGCAAGATACGATAACAACGGACGATTCCAGAGGCCTATGTCGAAATAAATGGAACATACATATATCTGATCAAATGTACATTATCCCCCTCTACCAGTAAAATACGTCCGTTGCGCTCAAGGGCAGATATTAGACTTATGCAATGCAACGATTAACAATTGAACCTTACATGACATTTAAAGAATACATCACTTAACCCCAAACAATTATGTGCGCCTCTTATATCTCTGAATGTAATAAACCAACAAATATCAAGCCTCAAGACCTGACTTCTCAAACACGATGCAAATACTTCTCACCATTCACCATCTCAATAACATTTTTTTGCGCCAATAATGAACGACAAGCTGATGTCCCAAAAGCGTAAATGCGGCCCGCTTCAAAGGCCGACTAAAGCCTGCAAGGGTCGCAGAAAAATCCAACCCCTGCCTAGGTCAGCGTCACGTGCGGCCCACGAATCCGCTTTTACCTAAAATCTACACATTTTCTTTCTCTTCGAAAATTTCTCTGTTGTCAATCCGTTCTTCATTGCCCGACTAACTTTCCAGCGCCGTCCTCGCCAAACCACCGCCAAAATGGTCAAGATCAACCCTTGTATGTGTCTCGATTCATAATTGCAGTCTCTGTATCATGTTTACTGACTTTTTGCAATAGCCCTCGCTTCTTCTCGCCGCAAGAGCCGTGCCGCTCACTTCAAGGCTCCCTCTGACCAGCGCCGTGTTATCATGAGCGCTCCCCTCTCCAAGGAGCTCCGCGAGCAGTACAACGTTAGTTTTGCACCGCCGGAGAAAATCTTTCCCACAGTTCCTAACATTATCTAGGTCCGCTCTATTCCCATCCGAAAGGACGACGAGGTCACCATTGTCCGTGGTTCCAACAAGGGCCGCGAGGGCAAGATCACCTCCGTGTACCGTCTCAAGTACGTCGTCCACGTTGAGCGTGTCACCCGTGACAAGGCCAACGGCCAGTCCGTTCCCCTGGGCATCCACCCCTCCAACTGTGTCATCACCAAGCTCAAGCTTGACAAGGACCGCGAGGACATCCTTGCCCGCTCCAAGACTGGCCGTGAGCTCGCTGCCAACAACAAGGTCACCGCTTAAGCGATGAGTTTGTCGAGCAACAACAAAAATCAAAATTCGGAACTTTCAAGACGGCATGATCAAACCTTCCCTCCCAGGCGAGGACGAATCTTTTCTTTTTTCACCACTCACGATTACGGCACCAATGTGAGCAACATCAAGGGCAAAAGTTGATGAGGAAATGGGCATAATACTCCGGCGTTTTACGATACCTGCGTGCTTTCCTTCGGTCGGCGCGGTACCCGGTCTACAGCAGGGTAGATGAATTGAGAATTTTTAGGGTTCTCAATGGCCATTTCACTCACTGGTGAAATGCTCCATGGGAGGTTTATCCCGAAGTCTTGACCTGCTCTCTCCCCACATGCACATCCGCGAGTCCCCTCGTGATGTTCTGTTGGACAGATGCTTCGTCCCATCTGTCCTCTCGTAGGATGCTAACTCCATCATCATCAGACGCATTCACGTACGCAATGCTTGTCTGTCGTAGACTGCAATTCTGCACTCCGGTGCCCTGACTACGGTAAGTCGTAGACTTCCAAACCCACCGCTAGGATATCTCCGCGTCAACCACTAAGATCCATGGTTTTCGAGGTATACGTCTAGCGAAGAGTAAAACCTTCAGGACCCAACACTATCATGGGGTCCTGTTCTCCCTAGAAGATTTTCACCGAGTTGCCAATGAGGCTGGAAATTTGAAGGTGAGGTACATGCTTTAGACAGTGCAACTCTTTCTTTATATTAGCCGAGTTGGTTACTTAGTCTTACTTAATCTCATTTTGTCTGGTACCAAGTCGCTACATTGTCTACAAATACCGGGTGCACCGAGTACTGTCAGAGTTCAACCACATCAAATCAGAGACCGATGATTCACAAGCAGTGTCTGTTGTGACTGTGTGTTTTAATCGTACAAAGTTCTTTAGACATAATATGAGCTTCGTACAATGGAGCCATGCGTTTGACAATAATGACCCATCTCTCTGATGCTCACATCTTGTGGTAATCCTCCTGAAGTCTGTCCATGGCCCTTAGAATCCTAACATGTTATTTATTCTAACACTGATGTTGCCTGAACGCCTGTCTGCATAGGCGCTGTAGATAATGTGATGTTGGTCACGGCAACCAAATGCAAAGGATGGCTTACTCGAGCTAGTCGCGAGCAAAAGCATACCTCCCGGCATGGAGCATGCGAAGAATTTTGTGCAGTGAGTCATGTAGAACGTAACTATGAGAGCAATGTCTGATGTTTATCGAGAGCATTGAGAATGCGGCACTGTATGCTGTGTCGCGACCAAGAAAGGAGAAAGCAAATGTTGCGGAGAGGTAGTGCTTAGATGAGGCTATTCAACGAGTAGAGATCTTATGAAGGTTCTTGTCTTGAAAGCTGGCACTGCGGAGCTGCTGTTCAAGAAGCTCAAGAGGAGGTCTGTTCTCCTCCCGCCCCCCAAGGGTAGTGTGAGCTGTAGGTGAAGGGTTCATATCACCCTGTCTGGCAGCATGGCCGCGAGGATTGGTGGTGATGGTCGGGGTCAGGGATGCGGTAGCATGGCCCGAGTAGTGAGGAAGAACACCTTGAGCTGTCATGGGGGACACTTGGCCAGCAATCACGTTGGCGCTCGTTTTACCCTTCTTGCGCATGGTTGACCAGATGTCGCTCGCATACTTGCTGCTGCAAAGAAATTAGTACAGAGCGCCTTGGGCAGGATAATAATTGACGTACCTGACAGCTCGGTCCGTTGCCCGGCGTCCTTTGAAGATCAGACTGCCCTCTTCTTCAGCAGAGTCGTCAGAGGCTTTGGCTTGGAATTTCTCACTCGAAACTCGTGTGACCTCATTGATGACACGACGAAAATCAGTGTATCGAGAGCCAGCGCGAGCAGCGTGAGACTCGGACCGAGGGATCTCAGAATTGGAACTTGCGCGGAGTGAGTCGTCGGTACGGTGCAAAGACTCGGAACGGGTGACCTCATCGAAGAGATTACGAGCGGAACCTCTCGCAGCCTTAGAAACGTTGATGAATGGAACAGCATATCTGGACTTGGTAGGTGATGCCTGCGTCTCGGCCGGTTTAGAGAGGGCTTGAGAGGTAGTGTCGCCTGCGTGCAAAGAGTTCTCCTTGGCACCGGGAGCTTGATAAAAGTCCTTGCCATCATACTTGGGAAGGTCGCCATGGAAGTAATGGGGAGTCTTTTCCCAGTAGATGGAGCGAGCACGTTCTTCATCCGCTGTAAGCTCACGCTCGTAGATGTAATCATCACGTCTGGCGTCTTGGGGTAAGACTCCTGATTTGAGCTTGCCAACGAGATAAGGATAACCCAAATTGTTTTGGGCTTCAATCTCCTTGGCGAAATACGATGAACGCCAAGAGGCAGTGGCTTTAGACATGCTCTCCCAATGTCGAGCCCGTGCAGCTTCGTCAGTTTGGTCCGTCGCAACGAAAGAACCACTGATCTCGGATCGGGGCTGGAAGACCGGCGCCAAAGCAGCATTGACCGGAAGACTCGAAGGCTTGCGTTGCTGCCCATTGTCATTCTTCAAAGTGTGAGGCTTCTTGGCCGAAATAACCGTCGTGGCCGGTTTGGCCGGACCGAGAGCACTCACCGAACGAACGTGAGCCTGAGCACCAGGTTCCTGGTCTCCATACCCCGAGGTGGCCATTTTATTAACAGGCATGCCCCCGTCAGAGTCACTGTGACTGTGGGGATAGCCAGCGGATGAGTTGGAGTTGGCTTCGTCGGGAGATTCAAGCTTGGGATACTTCCGGGCCTCAAACTCAAGCTGTGTCGCGTACAGGCGCTCAAACTTTTCAATTTCAAGACAGATCTTGTGGAGCCGCTGTTCCATATCTCGAAGATCGATTTGATGCTTGTTGTATTGAAGCTGGTCTTGATGGTACTTCTTTTGACTACGGAGGACCTCCAGCTGCTTCTGGGTGATGGAGCTGGGCCGGATCGACGAGTAGGGAGGACTAGTAGAGTGAGACATATCTTCCACAGTAGGCTTCGAGTTCATAGGAGATGGGTCAAGCTGCCGCGAAGGCACGCGGCTGTACTTCTCAGAATGGGCCATGTAATCATCACTTGGGCGAGGGGCGGGTTGGGGAGGCGCATGTGCATTAACGAAACTGCCCTGAGGAGCCATGTTGATGGGGTACAAGTTATTTCCGTTCGCAATCAACAATTGGCCATTGTAGTAGAAAGGTCGGGTAGGATCAAACTGCTCGACGGGCGAGAGATGAACGTTTCGCGCCGGTTCCATTCCCATATCGGGAGGTATGACAAAGTAGCCAGCATTGGAGGGAGGGAACTGGTTGTAAGGGACAGCAGCCATGTTGTAGCCCATGGGAGGAGGCGCCATACGAGCGTAACCGTCTGGAGATCTCATCGTCATCCCAGGCATGGGGCCTTGAGTTTGGGGAGGAACCACAGCAGTCATGTGTCCCCAACTTGGAGGCATGACAGGGTAGGCGAAGCCCTCAGGTTGATTGCCGCTCAGGGTGCGAGAATGAATCTGACCGTTGAGCGAGCCACGCTCTCGTTTCCACTTTGATATGGGGGAAGGTGGGCCACGCGTGTTGGGCACGATCCGGCCACCAGCAGTGACTCTAACATGAGTGGGAGACATGACAGAGTTGTAGAACTTTTGGAAGCCCTCCGATTTCTGAGTTGAAAGATCCGCCGGTGCCACAATTGGTGCCCGGCTAATGTCAGAATCGTTTCGGACTTGGTACTGTCGCTCTGAGTCGGTACCATCAAGTTGCTGAGCAGGGCCTCGGCGAAATTGATCATCTGAATCACTGGAACCGCCGCTCTCCTCAACGATAAGGGATAGCGAGTGCGCAGATTCGGTGCGAATGATTTCCCCTGTCTAGATGTTAGGACTTGATCAAGAAGTAAGAAAAAAGCATCATGCATACCCAAATCGTTGTCTTCGTCGACTCGTCCAGCGAGTTTGTAGGAAACTTCTTTGTCAGGCGAATGGGTGCGGCGCAAACGCAGCATGTCCTTCGCAGAGTATCTGGAGGCCTCCATCTTGAATTCTTCCAAGCTTCGGCAAAACCACCGTCGATCAACTAAGGTGATAAGCATTTTGTCAGCAAGGATGCAGGATGATGTGTCAAAACGCAAAGAATGGGCTCTTGTTTATCAACGGAGTCGCGGGTTGTAACTCCAAAGTCAAGTCCAAGTACCGTTGGCAAGAGGAAAAAGCCGAGCCCCGAACTTCTGCTAGAGAATTTCTCTACTAATGCTGTAGATCAAAAGAAATTTGACGTGCTGTACTCAGGTACTGCAGAAAAAAGACCTGGTCCTGCCAGTTGCCCGGAAGTGCAAGCGGACTCGTAGCAAATCACAGTCCAAATGGGGAAACGAAAAAGAAAAAGAAAAAGATCACTTACTTGATACGTGTCGACAATTAAAACAACAAACAGTAAATGATACAGAAAGAACAGAGTTTTTTCTCTTAGACTTGGACTTCAATGACAATGTCTCGGTAAATGCCAGATAAGGAGCGTTTCTGGCAGAGACTCACAGTGACAACGAACGGCCGTGAACGAAAGCTGAGGATGGGTAGCCGGAGAATAGAGTGAGGATGAAAAGAAAGAGTTTTGATGGTTTGGGACGAGAGTCAGAAAGTTGGTAGGCATTGAATTTGTGCTGCAACGGGGAAGGCGACATGCAGGTGAAGCCTCCGCTGGCGTGAGCTGAGGAAGGAGCTCCTTCCACTCCTTAGAGGAGAGTGAAACTCCAGCGATGAATCGATAAGGAAACTACAGCAGGTAGCTAATGAGGGGTATGGGCTTTTGGTAAGCGGTATCTATGACTGCGAAGGGCAAGAGCGTGAGTGAAGGCAGGTGAGAGGAGGAGAGGGGAGGGGAGGGGAGATGAAGGACGTTGAAGATTGAGTCAACGCGACACTTGTGACGAGTGAAGGATTTTATAGGTATCAAGCTTCATAATCCCAATAAAGAGATTTACACAGAGTGAATGAATGAAAGAGGGATCGGGGAAGTGAGGGGAAGGGTAGAGAAGGGGTCTCAGGAGGGGGCGGCATACGTACGTCGAGGGCGGCGATATTGATGACGATTTTGAGAATAAGGAGAAAGGAGAAGAGATGGAGAAATTGGATACAGGAATATCGGAGAAGATATAAAGAAATCTACCAGAAATCTATCGTCGGGAGAATAAATGCAAGTGTTTTGCTTTATTATCAGAGTAAGTATTTGGGAAGAATCACTGGCGCACACTTCAAGGAACTCACGAAGATAACAACAAAGACAGCAGAAATAAATTAACCGTACTAGATGGTGGGTGTTCAGCATGCAGCGTCTATTTCGTATAGAGGAAGTGTTGAATAGAGTATCGTTTATTTTGTTTATTATATAGCTCTCTCTCAATGCAGGGCGAGGGAACAATTGGGTCTGCGCGCACAAAGAACCTCACTCACCCCTTTAATAGAATAAACATACACTTGAAACGCGTTTGGCAATACGCTATTGTTTCTTTTAGTTGCGTAAGGCTCTGCGTCTAAGAAACTGGGCGGTAAGAATTCAGCATCCTCGTCGAAACTTGATCATTAGTGCGGGCCACAACAAGTCTGGCCGGATGGGCGACCTGGATGAGAGGGAAGAGTACCATTGAATATGTTATAATACCTGCTGAACAAGCTTATCACGACAACTTGTTGTTTTTGCTTGGTGTGGTTGTGATTGAGACCAGAAGACACAGGGCACTTAAGACAATGAAGTAAGAGATATCAAGGGTTTCCTTGCACAATAGAAGTTAATGATGGAGGGAATTGTAGCCAGTGATATAATAAGATAATTCACGAAGAGCGAGTGGTCTCGATTGTTCTGTGCCCAAGAACTTACCTTACAAGTCTGCAACAGAACTGGTAAAAGAGCTGCTGTACTCTGTATCATTGATCGGCTCAAATAAAATGAATGGATAGAAATAATCAGGCAAGACAAATCAATCACTATGGCACAAACTTGGAGATATGGCAGTCATTGAAGACTTTTAGATCTGGCAAGACAACTCAGGGGCAGTTTTCACAACGTCAACTTATCAGTTAAGACGGCATCCTTGCTCCATCCGATTCGTTAAGAATTATATGATATTCAAAATAAGTCAGTATTCTACATATAAAGGTGATTGTCAGTATCTCTGATGTCGTCTGTTCTGATGTATCAAATCGAAGGAAGATAGTGTAAGTCATCTTTCAGAGGCTCGCAGTCAAGTCCCAGCTAATAAAGAAGGATACCTCTTGAAAAGTTGAGCAAAAGACATCTAATCATTTTATACCAGAATTCCGGATATTTATATAAACGTATTAATGCTTTGTGATATTTCGTTTGCAGCACCAAATAGGTAATATCGTGGTGTTGACAATAGGAGAATTCGTTTGGGTTGGTGAGGGGTACGTTGGAAGCGTTTACGTGGAATCATCCTCCCACAACGGCACTGGCGCAAACCCTAGGGAATTCAAGACAATAATTATATTTCGGTTTTAGAATGCGAATGGAGAGAAATACTATGGCTTCTCTGCTGGCTGGTGTCTATGCTAAAGGTGTACCGGAGGTGTCATTCTTGTTAGCCTCGGTTCAATGGACCGACAACTCGGGTCCACCATGCTCGGCCCGCCCGCAACCATGACACGGCTCATGAGACCTATTTTCAGCTATGAATGCCGAGCTTGATCGGTACAAAAGAAAGGGTTGTTTGCTTGACAAAAGAAGGTAAGGAAGGGGAAAGTTATGTGTTCCATGAATAGTGTATCTGCTCTACATTAATCATGACGCATCGAATCATCATGGCTTGCACAAAACAACATGCTTTGGCTGTCATGAGCTTGACTTTACCCCTCCACCTTGTGCTTGCCAATGCCCCTCCACGCCACACATGCATCACATGGGCTGGCTATTGTATGCATGTAGAATGGCAATCTCCTGTCAGGGCAGAGCCAATCCTTGGGTACCAGTTATGCAACATGTGCTTTGTCTCACTTAATTAGGATCTTTTGTCTCATCATGATACAGACTATCACCCCATGTCACCGTTATTGCATTGAATACCCCTCAAGGGAATAGTGAGGCTCAGAACCCTAATAAGCAAGCACACTATAAAAAGCGAGAAGCTTTTGTACCAAAGGATTGCTGCTCCTCGGCATTGTCTCTCGGCTCCGCGCTTCATCTGACTCTCAACATCTCTTACCCCGCTAACCAAGGCCCAGGTATAAGAGGTCTTCAAAGATCCAACCAAGGCTATGCGACCAGGGTATGACAACTAAAGAGAGGAGATCCAACTAGTTAATGGAGTTGACGTACATTTTCGCGGGGCTAGCGGAGGTGCTACAAACAGAGTCTAGACCAGCAAGAGCTATGAATTGCGTCGGCGCTACGGAGCTCCAGCCAAGGGACGTCAGATGCCAATGTATTGTCCGCATGTGGGCGTACAAGCTACATGGGCAGACTTCTCGGATACTAGATAAGAAAGCACAAATCTCTCTCTTTTTTTCTTCTTGTAATTCTCCTGTCACATCGTTTTGGATTCCTCTTCCAAAGGCTTTCAAAATCTAGCTCCACTTACAGTAGACCGAGGTCCTAAGCTCATACTGCCGATCGCGATAGCTATCTCTCAACAAGACTCACACCCCATTGCCGAGTATCCTCACTTGGACTGTAAGTAAGACTTGCCAACAAATCTCTCAATCCTCATCCTAACCAGAATTACCAGTTTTTAGTTCGATTTTTAACCCGAAACTATCGCAATGGCTCCTCTCACTCCCCACTGGCAGCAACCCTCCCACCCAGACATCCAAGAAGTTGTCGTCGTAAACGCCCAAGAATTCACCACCAAGAGTATCTCTCGGGTCTCTCTTCCACCCTTTGCAGTATATGCAAAGTTCGATTTCCCGCCTTGCACACCTGCCAGCGAACCTACCTACGCTACTGTCCAGACCGGCCGCGATACCCACCTCAGCCTGAACAGTGATCTGCTGTACATCAACCATTCTTGTGAACCTACTCTTGTTAGTTTACCTACCTGAACGAGAAACTCCCCAATTTTGAAGGAGTCTGTTTCCTCAGTAAGGATGTTTTAATTGACATTGAGAATGTAGCTCTTCGATGTGGGAAACTTGAACATTCTTGTCGGCCCCAAGGGTCTCAACGTCGGCGACGAGCTGACAGTTAGTCTAGCTCCTGTCCCATCTCTTGCTATGTTAGCTAATTCGATAAATAGTTCTTCTACCCTTCCACCGAATGGCACATGGCCCAGCCTTTTGACTGTCTCTGCGGGACACGTTCTTGCCGTGGTCGCATTTCGGGCGCTCGAGACATGACCCAAGCCCAGCTTGATGGTATGTGGCTTAATGGCCATATTATACAGCTCCGTGCCGAGCAGATTGCTCGCTCCGAAGACCCCACAACCAATGCCCTTCGCGATGCTGTTGTTCATGCTGAAAAGGTTCTTGAATCAGCTCGTCTTGCCCTCCGCTCGTACACCAGCAATACGCACGCCCAGAATGGAACCGCCAACTTTCCTTCCAAATACACTAACGGAACTCTCGGGAAGGCGGCAGCATTGGAACATCGCGGCCCAACTTCTCGTGAGTTGAGCGGAGAGATGGGTGGTGATACTGTCTGCGCTTGAGCGCCAGGGCTTCGATGGTGGCGACATGTAAATGTCGCTGCTGTTGAAGCACCCTTTGGTATGAATTAAGTAGGTAGTCATAAATAAAATCCGTTCATATGGTTCTGGCATTGTGTAAGTTCGATGGCGATGACAAAAATTTCGTTTCTAGGCTCACCAGTGGCTATTCTGATGTTCTTGCAATGGTTACCATCAAATCAAGAATAGACGCCTCCTCCAGCTCCCTACTAGGGCACCATGATTTTACAATTGTTGTCAAGGTTTCATTATATGTATGACTGAAAGCTAAAGCTCATTAACAGTAGCGATCGTATAATAACTTGACGATCACAGTCTCCGAGGTCCTTATCCCCTTTGCTTCGAATCGGTCCAGCGATTCCACGCGCTGCGACCTTTCTCCGAGCCTGAGCCGCCACTGTACTTGGATTCTTGTTTCTCCCACTCAATTCTTTCACGACTGCGGCGTGCAAGGAAAGCTCGTGCAAACTTCCATGCCTCTGTGTCAGCCAAGTCCCAGGCCTCTAGCGATGCACGCAGTCGGGTTTCGACGGTCGATTTCTTGAAGGCCACGACCTTCTTAGCATGCTCCAACAGTGCTCTTTCTCTTATCTGCCTCTCTTGCGGGGTCGGTTCCTTTTTCTGGGGCGCATCGTGTGGTTGGGGTTGGGATTGTTCCGCCTTTACTTGTTTCTCAACTTTGACGGCCTCTTGCTTTTGGTTCTCTTCAGACTTCCTGTCACCAGCAATACGTGCCTCTCCTGAAGTCTTCGGAATTCTAAATCCGAATTGCCATTCCAGATCAGCAGGAATATCACCTTCAGCTGTCAGCCAAAGTGCATAGGTAGGTGCATGCTCATCTGCCACCGCTTGCTTGAAACTAATAATGCGTGAGTTGCTAGAGACTCTCGAGCCTAACAAGCCTTTGGTGATCGTCTCAAGCCAAGGATCTCGAGGGGCCTTCTTACGAACCCAGCTCACATCGACCCTTTCCTTACCACTAGTCAAGGTAGCAAGGGTCCAGGGGTGGGGAATTGTACCGATCGCAAATGCGTTGGTCGAATTATGGTACTGCTCAAGGGTATCGACCTTCATCGGTGTAGTACCGGCAGCGCAATGACTGCATCTCGATATGCTAGGGGGACATGACGTGGGGATGGGATTATCAGGACAAACAGCGAGTGAATTGGCAAGCTGAAGAGCGGGAGCGATCATCTCAGATGTGTATTCGGGGAAGGGGCTGAGAACCTCGATGCCATCAGGGAAGCCACTTTGCCAGGCGGCATGTAGATGAGCATTGATCAATCTGTCAAGAGCGCCCAAACCTTTAGCCCGTCCATTAGTGAGGCTATCGTGAATCTTGGGATATTGCTTTTTAATGACCTCTGGGCTGTAGTTTACCAATGAAATTTGTGCTCTGTCGATTCTGAAGTCATTCTTGGTCGACCCCTGGAAAACGTTCTTGGCATTCTTGAGAGTGGGAGAGTCGATCAGTTTTCGAATTGTATTAGTGATATCCTCCCTTGATCCCACAATGAGTGCATCTTCGAGGCCTTTCCATTTGGTCAGAGCCGGATACTTGCCTCTTCTGAGAAAAGCCAAGAGAGGATCTTGGGCGTGCGCAACTGGAAACAGAGTGTGGTCAACAAGAAAGCCAGTGCCCATGGACTCCCAGGCTAGCCACCTCAGCAGGTCTTTCTTTAACTCGGACTGTAGCTCAAGTCTTTGTAGTTCTTGATACTTCGGATTTGTCATGGCTTCTGAGGGTCCTAGAATGGTCGGCTGGAAGCCCTGCGCCCACCAAGCGCGTCGCCAGGTTAAGAGTAACTTGCTTTCGGCGTCCTTTTCTTCTCTAGTCTTCTTGATTGTCGCATCGTAGTAACAGTACACGAAAGGGCGGTCTTGGAGTGGGGGGAGAAGAGCTCTGTCCTCGTCAAGTGTGAGCGAGCTGGAGAGCGGAACTGACAGCCATTTCCAATCGGCCCACCACGAAGTGCCCTGAAACGAGTCTTGCGCACGAATTGGAGGAGCATGGACAGGCCCTTTGAACGGATTCAGCTCGTTCACGCCTTTATTTAGAGAGTGACGAAGACCAGATACTGAACTCTTGATTTTGTTAGAGGCACCTTGCTTTGTGGCATCTTCAGGAGCGGCGACTGGTACGACAGTGGGAGACAGAACAGTAATGATAGCATAGACGAAAATGAAGAGAACAAGGACGGCATAGGTCAAACGACGAGAAACAAAGCGGCGCTGCCTGCCGAAGAACACACTTATAGCCATTGAGTACCAGCTGGATAGCGACAGTTGGTGATCAGAAACGAATGGGAGAAGTTCTCAAAACTCGTGTTGCTACAAGGAAGATGGTAGACCGAAGGTTGTGAACCTGCTGATTTTCACATCCGAAGAAACATGACAATTGAAGAAGCGAAGGGTGAAACATAACATGTGAGAGCACGGAAGGTGCGGGCGAAGGCATACTACCTTTACAGGAATCGCCCAAAACAGATTGCTCGGATGAGTAAAAGAGGCAGTCACAAATGGAGCGGGAGTGGGAGTTTAAATATGAGAATTGCTGACAACGAAAGATCCCTTTGGCCAGAGCTCCAGGGGCCCGTTTACCCCATATTTGACGTGGGTTAGGTTACATCAAGCTGAGGTGCGGATACTCCATACTAAGCTTAGAGCTAAGAACTGTACTTGAACAAAGAAGCATTCCGTCCCTTGGCACTGTTGGGGGGTCATAGAGAACTTAATACTAGAAACTTGCTTTAGAGATAAACCAATAATCAATTCTTTGCCACCTTGGATTTGCTTTTGTATCATTTATTTTTTCTGTATCTTGAGCTTGAAAACAAATATTGCCTGGATACACGCTAATTGATAGGGCTGACCGGGATCTTGGGACTAGGTAAAGTTTGTGGAGACATGAGTATTGTACTACTATCATATCCGATTCAATTCATCTTCAATTGCGATCGCGCAGATAGATTTATTGATGGCAATGTGAGGAAAGGTGCTCTCTAATCTCGATAGAACCCCGCATTTTGTACGGGAAGGTACATAGGTACCTACCTACCTGTCCTAAGGGAGTGGCACCTACCCAAACATCAGGGCACTAGAAAAGTTGGCCGCCAGAAGCACAAGAGACGAAATTAGTAGGCCACTTTATGCTACTTAGACTATACTTTTATGTCATTTATTTTTGTAGCCTAAAGCTCAAAGGTCAACTTTTCTGCTACCCGTGCAAGGGGATGATTGGCATCAGGTCACAGTGGCAGGCAGCAGCCTCCACTAAGGTAATAAAGAATACCTACCTCTAAGGTACTCTTTCAACCTCGAAGTCAATGCTTTCTACTACAGCATGTAACCAGTCTTTCCTTTTTCCAACCTTCTGTTCGTCAAAGTTTCGACTTTTCGTTTCTTAGGTTAAATAGGTACCTCCCAAACCCATCCCATCTCGATGAACCCACCTACCTACCTGTCAGACATTCCCTGCCTAAGATTACGCTCTTTAGGCTACATACTGATCTAAAATCTCCACCACTAGTCTAAATCATGGGCATCAAGCAGTTCAACGCAGACGTCAGGGCTGCGATAGGCAGCGATTTCCCTTATGTCTCCAACCTACGGAAAGGAGATTCCGATGGAGAAATAACATTTACGTATAACCCAGAGAACGAAGAAGCACCGATCGATATTCAAGCTTTGTCAACAGAACCGGAAGCATACCCTAGACACCCAGGCTTTCTGATTTTTACAACATCAGACGGGCCAGCCGGCCTAGAGGCATGGCTGCAGGAAATCGCCAGTTTAACTAAAGGAAAGAGTGTCGCCGACGTCATCTTCTTGACCTCAAAAGTATTGGCAACAAAGCTAGGAGCCCCAGCAGAGGATATGTCATCCGAAGAAGAAGAAGAAGAAGAAGAAGAAGAAGAAGAAGAAGAAGAGGGAGGTTATGATGATGACGATGACGATGACGAGTCATTCTATGATATTGAATTTGATGAATTTGACGACGGGATAGAAACTGATGTCTTGCGATCATCTAAAGGGCCAACAACTCAAGCTACCTCCACACCAACAAGCCGGTTAAAACGTCACCTGCGGGAAGCAAAGAGAGAAGGATTCCACATGTGGATCCCAACGGAGGGAAGACAAGACGAGTCCGGAGGAAGAGAAAAAGATGAGTCGGGAGGGAGGGGACCTGGAGTCTTTCATATCTTCTCTCTCTCCATCCGGGCCTCAAAGCTCAACGTCTCAGAAGAGGCCTTGGGAGCATGGGGTCTCAAGTCATCTGAATACGTTGTTATGCTATTCAAGCTCCCATCAGGATACCCCCTTCTCTCTTCATTTCTACGACTTCCTTCCAACCAGACAACAGTACAGTTCAAGCTTGGAAAATGCAACAGCCCGAACCCGTCTTACGCTTCTGCGATACGAGCCTTCGATCGCGACAACCCAGAAAAGCCAGAGGGAGGAACAGAAATCAAGGACGACTCCAAGAGCCCTTTTCTTTCTTTATACATGTCGTTGACTCTCGATGCCCTTCTGAACAAAGACTTTCCGCACCTTCTGAGTCTGCGATTATCTGAGAGAATCTCGTGGGATCAAGCACAAAAGCTGCATTTCAACCTTAGCAGAGGCACTCACGACCCGTCAGATGTACTGCAATCTACCAGCGAGGACCAGAACAAGACCTCGGACCGGTTTGAGCTAGAATTCCTACTGCAAGACTATTTGCTGGAAGGCGCAGAAGACATCAATGTTATCCTAGTTGCAATACAATTTGGCCTCCAGAGGTTAGTCAAGTGTACGAACTACTGTCTCGTTTGCAATCGAAGAATAGAGGGAGGGTTTGAAGGTATCAAACCTTTTGTCTGCGAGGATTCGCTTTGCCTGTACCAATACCTAACCCTCGGGTTTTGCCAAAGTATCGAGTACGAGATTATCAACAATCCCAACGTCGTGGACCTTCTTATCAGCTTCTTTTACGCTGCAATTACCATTGGCACGCTACGAGAATTTCCGAAAGGCCTTGGACTCAAGGTTTCACCCCCAGAATTTATACTGAATGCCAATGGCATGGAGCCGATCCCAGCAGAGGTTTGTTTCGAAAGCAACAGCATCAGGTTTAGCACCCTTGACTATGCTCAATACAGATCGATCACAGAGGGGAAATACATCACTCTCGTTCTCAAAAGCCCCATTCGACAGGAACCAGATACACGAGGACCAGGCATGCGAGAACGTTACACGAAATATGTCTGCATGGTCGAGTCCTGCCTATTGGCGGTACTTACCTTCAGAATCATCTGGATATACCCGGCCGACAGCTCTTCAACTATTCCTTCAACAGGAGATTGGCAGAATGTGCTTATTTACAAACACGAACAAAATATTGACGGGCTTGAGGAACAAGAGCGTAACCAGGCACTCACTGTCATAAGCCAGTGCATTCCACCTGTACACGAAATGAGACAGTATCTAATAGCAAGGCCTGGATGCCAATTGTCGTCATGGAAGCGAATGGACACATCCACCCTTCACCTCCTTAACTGGATCGTCGCTTCAAACAGATCTTTCATTGTTCAAGACGCCCCGATACCTGGGTTGTCTCAGCCGGAAGAAGAAACACACAAAGCCCATAACCTTGTTAACGGAATAGAGCCAGGATGGGTTCAGTTTCGTTTTGTGCAAGGATCTCCCGAAAAAGAAGAAGTGTTTTTGAGAGAGTTGATGGGTACAACGAACAGCGAAAAGCCATGGCCTACCCTTTTTGCCTGGCATGGTAGCGCTCTTGGAAATTGGCACAGCATCATACGGACCGGTCTTGACTTCGCCACTGTCTCCAACGGGCGTGCATACGGTAACGGTGTCTACTTTGCAAAGGATTTTGGGACAAGCCGCTCATACTCGCGCGGAGGAACCGTTTGGCCAAATTCGGCTCTCAAAATCACCGATGCTATCTCCTTGTGTGAGATAGTCAACAACACGGCTCGCTTCGTATCAACACAACCCTACTTCGTTGTCAACGAAGTCGATTGGATACAATGTCGCTATCTTTTTATTCAGGTTGATTATAGTCCGCCATCGGCGGCGGCGACAACAACGGCGGATGGTCAGAGTCCCGTACGCGGTGCGGGCTACTATATTGAACAGGATCCTGCTCATCCACTGGTTTCTGGGAGCCAACACATTGGAATTCCCCAATCAGCCATTCCGGTGCCCCGACGACGTGTGCTTGGGCAAAAACAGATATCGGGGTCGTCACATGACATTCCTGTTGTCATTGATAAAGATGAACCTAGCTTTGAGAACAGCGATTTGGACGACCTTCTTGCCTCGGACGATGAAGATGGTGAAGATGAGATGTCGGCAACACGAAAGCGACGGCGGGTTTCCACTGACTCGGGAATTGGAGACAACACCACACCTTTTCAGCTGGGCCAGCTTGATCTGGATTCACTCCCTAAGCTAGCTGAGCCTACCTGGGCTGCATCGTCCCCGGCAGCTCTCCGGGCACTGAACAATCAGATCAAGGAACTACAAAGGATCCAGTCAAACACCAATATAGCTACGCTGGGGTGGTATATTGACTTTGAAAAGATCGATAACCTTTTCCATTGGATTGTCGAACTTCATAGCTTTGATATGGATCTCGCTCTTGCCCAAGATATGGTCCGTTACGGATGCTCGAGTATCGTGTTGGAGGTCCGGTTTGGAGCTTCCTTTCCGATATCTCCCCCATTTGTTCGCGTGATTCGTCCAAGATTCGTGCCCTTTGCTCAGGGAGGTGGAGGTCATGTCACCATGGGGGGTTCCATATGCTCAGAGCTGCTCACCAACTCTGGGTGGTCCCCAGCTTTATCACTGGAGAAAGTGTTTCTCGAAGTCCGAATGAATTTATGCGAGAAGGACCCGCCAGCTCGTATTGAACATTCCACGGGGGTGCGCAATGCCCAAAACGGGAATCACATGGACTACGGTATGTTTGAAGCTGTAGATGCGTACCGCCGCGCCGCTGCTGTCCACGGTTGGCAAATCCCCTCCGATCTCGATATGTTAAATTCCATGTGAAGGGCGATTGACGACAGGGGGTATGAGGATATGGTGAAACATAGGAATGAGGAGTTTTCACAATAAAGCGGATGGAATCATTAGTGCAATAGAAAAGTTGGCTGTGGAAGAATAAGCGAAGAACTCAGCAAGTCAATATGCAAATTAGAATGTGCAGGTAATTCTTTCTTTTATACCTGGAAAGCCTAGAGGATGCTTTAGTTCATTCAGTAAGATCAATTATGAGGCACAAGCACATTAATGTTGAACTTTTTTCTTTCGCATTTTTGCTATTCTGACGGCAACGCCATTTGCAAGGCTAACTTAACTATACTGGCCTGAACTCCTGAAATAATACAGCAGCTGGACCAGCATTTGTCTAAACTTTTGGCTGAACCAAATCTCTACGTTTTGATTTTACTTCTATGCAATTACGGAATTGTGATGAGTGAACCAAATACTCGAGGAATGTTCTTTCGTTCATACCCCAAACATGCCACTTTTACTTCCAACCTAAAGGAGAGAAAAAGAAAAAGGAGATACAGGTGTTAGACCTTGACACGTGTTTAGGGAAGTTTTTTGTAGAGCAAAAGAGAAGAGTCCGGGCCCAGGGAAGGAGGAGGAGCATAGCAGTCCAGGTACAGGAACAGTTGAAATTGTGCAGCATAGCAGAAAGCAAGAAAAGTACGTGCCCAACCCGCGCTGCAACCGTTCAACAATCCCTTCCTCCCATAACCCTCTTCACACACGGCTGTGTGATAACCCATTCCTTATCAGGATACGTAGACGAGTGTGAATGGAAAACGTCGAGAGAGAAAATGCCAGTAAGCCATATCTGGCGAATGACATATGCAATATAGTATGGATGTGCCCCAATAAACTCCAAATAAGAACATCCCAGGTCATTTAAATGTGTTGCAAGGAGGGATAAGATCCTGCGACATCAATGGCAAAAAGCGGTATTTGCCTGGTCCGCGGTCAGATCTTTCAAACACTCTTCACGCCCCTAAGTAATCGAGGCGGGACTTTTGTAGACAAACCGTAAGTGCGATACCGACACCTTAGTTGTGCTGGAACAACACGCTGATGGACTCTCCATGGTGAACGCGGCGAATGGCCTCGGCAAATACGGGCGAGATATCAAGTACCTCGAGCTTGGGGCATAGTCGACGATGCTCTTCTTGGGGAACGGAGTTGGTAACCAGCATTTTGTCAATAGAGGAAGCATTGATTCGAGCAATGGAGTCGCCGCTGAAGACACCATGTGTGACGAGGGCGTAAACCTTAGTAGCGCCCTCCTTCTTCAAAAGTTTCGCCGCTCGTGTGATGGTGTTACCGGTGTCGATAATGTCGTCGACCAGGATGCAGATGCGGTTCGAAACGTCACCAACCAACATCATACTCGCGTTTCGATGCTCGGTGAATCGGATGGGTCGTCGCTCCTTTGAAGCATTAAATGAGCTTTGATCATTATGGGGAAGATCAGAGGTTGGTGGGATTACCTTGTGAATCAAAGCAAAGTCCGTCTTAAGACTGTCGGCGATCAGAGTGGCACGTTTCGCGCCTCCAGCGTCGGGAGAGACAATGACAGCGTTTTGGTGACCTTGGATGTTAGCTTGGATGTAGTTCTGTAGCAGAGCTTTCCCGTAGAGGTTGTCGACGGGAATGTCGAAGAAGCCCTGGTATTGAGGATCGTGGAGGTCCATGGTGATAATGTGGTCGGCGCCAGCGCAGGTGAGCAAGTCAGCAACAAGGGTACCAGCCTGGGCAATCCACTGCTTGTAGCCGGGTTTGGGCTGGAATACGGAAATGTTGGACTGGTTCTCGTAGTCGTGTGTAGTGTAAGCATTCCTCTGCGAGGAAGTCGAGTTCTCGGGGTGGTGACCGCGGTTTTCGGAGGTAGTGCTTGAGATAGTGTCTGAACGACGAGGTGTAGGGTGGCCATTGGTGCCATTTACACCGTTGGCAGCCTCAGCTGTTTTTGAGAGCTTCTCGGTCAAGTTGTTGACGCCATTGGGAAGACCAGCCGACTTGGGACCGCCAGGGCGGGGTGTAGGGGGAACACTTTCAAATGTGTAGTCCTTGGAAGCGCCAGAAATTTGCGACAAAGGAGCGCCGGCTTTGTTGTAGGGCCAGTCAGGCTGTCGGGAGTAGGGAAAGAGAGGCACGACGGCAGTCACTCGCTTCGCAGAGCCAGTTTTGCAAGCCGAAATCATGATACATAGATCAATGAGGTTGTCGTTGACGTTGCCAGAGCCGGATTGTATGATGTAGACGTCTTTACCACGGACCGAGTCTTTGATTTCGCAACGGCTCTCGCCGCCAGAGAATTTTCCCAAAATGCGATTGCTGGCCGGGACACCAAGAATGTGGCAGACATTCTCTGTGAGTTGCGGGTGGGAGTTACCTCCCAAAACAACGATATTGCGCACCATGGTGAAGGTGAAGTTGTGTGGGTTTGAAGTTGAAGTAAAGTTGTCGTCGGCTAGACGAGCAAAAAGTTTTGACTGCGGCGAGGGACGGAAGCGGAAAACGGGGTGTGTGGAGGGGCCCCGAATCGGAGGGGTGAGTACGTAGTTTTTTTTTTCTTATGAGGGGAAGAAAGCGAACGAGTCAAGAACTTTCTAGCGGTGGGATGGAGCTTCGACTGAAGTTGATGAGAGCAGAGAGAGGTGAAAGGACTGAAACGAGACGGAACGAGATGAGTTAGATGAAGATTGAGGTAGTTCAAAGTTAAAGTCGTAAAGTTTTTGCGTTGAAATTTTCCAAGCTCAACCTAGTAGAGAAATCAAATTGTGATTTTTTTTCCCCGTCTCTAAAACGTCTTCCTAATAAATGGCGGCCCCGGGTTGTTGGAGCGCAGCATCGGCAAGCGTGCGTGCGTAGTGGGGTGGTTTGTGGTTGGCGGAGGTATGATTGGAAATGGCTGTCTCAGGAAGTGTTGTCGTTGGAAGGGTTCGCCAATAAAGCAGTGTAATGCAGTGTCGTGAAAGCTGGCTTTGTATTAGCCTATGGTGTTTGTTGCAGGGGCTGAGGGCCAGAAGTTGACGCACAGAAGAGTCGGAGCAGGGCCAGACCGACGTCACTGTGCTGCACTGGGATGGGTGCAAATAGCAGGTCTCAATGCCGAATGACAGGGCAGGGATTTCCCAAGTACATAAATAGATGAATAGCCTGCAATGCCGGTGTCGGAGGCGGCGCAGAGTTTCAGGTGAGAAATGGAACTGGTCTTGACTGCAGTCCGTAGAGACGAAAAGATGATTTGATCGGGTCGAAGAAGAAGATGAAGAAGGAGAAGAAGGGAACAATAACCAATGATTAAATGGATGAGATAAAAGTCAAGCTCGGATCGAGTGGCTCGCCAACGTAAAGTAAGTGGAGGAGTGGAGATGACTGGGAGGTAGAGATGCGGTATGAGATGAGATGTCGTGTGTGAGGAAGATGACAGAGAATTCAAAGAGAATTCAAGGTACAATGAATTGACAGCTTGAAAATTAAATGCTCAGTCAATTTTGCTGATGCAAGATGCAAAATGTGAGGTGCAAGGTGCAAAATATGATGAAATGGCTGCACCTATCGGCGATGCACTTTCAGACATGGCAAACTTACTCAAGAAGGCACAACCCGGAAACTCTGATCTTTCCACAACATGATTTTTATTATCCTGTGATGCCCGAAATACTATTTGATACAGTTTCTGTATTCGAACGCAATTTCGGTTTCATACATTTACCATCTGCTATGACTTGAAGCGTCCGTTTGAAGAGTTGAGTATAGTCTTCATTCAGCATGAGGACTTGTACTTGTGGAGGCTGGTACCCACCCCCGCCAAATGAGTCGTCAGAGGTATCTGTTGGAGGGCATCTTTGTCTAGAGCCTCCCTATCCCGCAATACTTGACGAGAATCCTCATAAATGCCTCTCACATAAAGTCCAGCTAGAACAAGATGCCGAGCAGGGATAATCATTGCAGTATGGACAGGCAGACTCAGACCGCTATCTTGCACCGTTCTCCGTATGTATGGAACAAGAAATCCCTGCTGGTTACGACAAGCAAACAATTCAATTCCATCAGTACCTCCGCTTACCAATGACTGTGACTGTGACTATGACTGTGCGACACTGAACCTGCAGCCTGGCAGGGCAGTCCGGTCAGTTGATCTGTATTACATGCATAGTGCTCTGTGCGACTTGACAGAGTTGAATGCAATGGCATAACTATTGTTATCCAAACATAGGTATGAATATGAATTCTGAGATACATCCATGGTCGCCGAACTGGAGGCTGCTCATTCTTTGTTCTTTCTAGTGGCTTGTATCCACCCGCCAATACCTTTACAGTAGAGACGCACGCGACCACCCTCTTCCGTACACGATATCACGCAATGGGCCAAGGTAAAATCAATGTTTATCAAGCTAAATACATTGTTTCGTTTAGATGATGCCATTGTACATTCTATGGCCGGGATCTATGAAAGCTGGAAAGGTCGATACGGGCCTGGCAGCCTAGAAACATCTACAAGCACATGCTAAGAACTCAAAAACACCAATAAGAAAGTCAAGTGTAGCTAATGTAATGCATGATCAAATCGATTGGATGTGGAAAATGAATTTTGAAAAGTGATGCGCCCTGACGTGCATTGTTGACATCCATCAGATTCCCCAGCTTTTGACTAGCCAGAGTCACATGCAAATAAACAGCCCATCAATGGTAGGTAGCCAGCTTCCCTACCCTACTGCTAAGGAGCGAACTAAATCCGCACAAGGTAACAATGAGATCAGCCATTAGACGGACAAACATGGAGGGAACCCCGTGGTCAATGCCTCATGGGTACTTACACCCTAAGGCATAACAAATCTAGCCGCAAAAACGAGATGAAATTCGTAAGTCGGCTTAGAGCCAGCTTTTATTAAGCTGTTTATTTTTGGTTCCTAGGTCCAGAGCTAGGAGGTTGTGGTGGGCTTCCAGCTCTGTTACCCACAAGCTACAGCGCTCTTAGCACTAATCCACCACTGCAAACAGACCCCGGCCGTCCAAGCTTTTGATTGGTCGTATTTCTCGTCTCTTTTTTTCCTATCCCAGAGCCTCATCTTCCACCAACAGACCTTTCCTTCAATATCTCACGTTACATCTTACAGAGCTTCCAAGAAGTTCAGCCAATTCAACCGCAACAATGAAGATTCTTGAAGCTCAATCCGCTGTTCTCACAAACTATGAGGTCTATCAACACGTCACAGAACAACGTGAACGATACAAGACTGCCAAACGCAGAGGACCCCCAAATCTTGAGACGGTTGTTCGCGAGGTAAGATATTTCAATCGGTTGGCGGCGCTCAATATCTGTAAAGTCATGACTAACATACTTCGCAGCTTCTCCAGTATCTTCGCACAAACCCTGGCCCTTTGAGCCAAGAACCGGTGTCATACACCGAGGGCTGCATCTCTAAACTTCTTGAGCGCCTGCGGCCCTACAACCTCGCCAAGGGCGAAGTTGTCATGATCATCAACCTGCGCCCCGCCTCAGTCGCTGCTCTCAATACGGTTGTTGAGGAGATGTCTGAGCGTTTCGACGAAGAGCAGCAGGAAGCCATGGTCAGCATCATCACCGAAGTCCTAGGCCAGTTCCCTGCCTCTGAAGAAGAAGGTGCTGCTGACGTCTCCATGAACGACGCCGCTGCTTGAATTATCCTATCACCAATATAACGCCAAATTACATACCCGCACAACCTGCCACCTCGCCCCATGCATTAACCTCCTGGAAAACTCACAATATAGCGCATGTGCTTGCGCTCTGGCTGTTTGCGCCTGTTGTTGGAGTCACTGCTGTCTTGCACAGATCCTCAAACGCCAGCTTCAACAACTCGCCCGTCACTGCCGAACATTCTACATATCTGTCCGCCCTGAGGGCTTGCGCAACGGTATATGCTTCTTGTGGATAGATGATACCGTTTGGATCATCCTCGGATCTCAGATCGCGCTTCAGGCCCATAATGATCAGAGGTAGGGTGTCGAACCGCTGGAATGACCTTTTAACTTCGTCGATCCACTACTAAGTCTCAGTTGTTTCGTCCTTGGTCCAAGATATGACTATTGGAGCACTCACATATCTTTGCATATTGATCAGACTCAACCGCTGGCTGATATCATAGCAAATAATGATAGCATCAGGATCCAAAGTTCTCCAGTTATCAGGGCACGATGTGTCAAAGAACTCGAACTGGAACTGCTTGGCCACTGTTTTGATACCGAAGATGTAAGGCTGGTCGATATCACGAAGCATGGGAATCGGATTGATGTTTTCGCCTGCACTGAGTCGGCTGAACGAATATTATTTAGTATGAGATATCCAGGAATTTAATGGAAGTGTTGAACTCTACGTACGAAAGAAATGTAGTCTTGCCGCATTTGTCATCTCCTACAAGGAGGATTTTGATCACTTCAGGGTCCATGATATGGATGACGGGGTTCTTGAGGCCTTAATTGTACGAAGCCAGGATTTATGTACTGATGATTGATTAATTAAATATGAGCGGGCATGGCGTTTCTTTTATGATACAGAGATAGAGATGAGATGAGAGTAGTACGTAACTTATCTCTGTCACCCCCAACTGTGGCGCTGACAGCTTTGCACAGCCACATATTCGACCCGCGCCACATCTGCAAACTACTGCAAAGCCCTTTTCCACTTGTAAAGTCTGATGGGCCTGCATATAATCGCCCAAAATTGGAACCCACCAACTTCACATGAGACCCTTTGGCCGTTGTCTTGGGCGTCAAAGGCCGCTCAGTGTCACAATAAGCCAACTCCAAGCTCGACCTCTTTCCCGTAAAATCTCATCAGATTCTCCACCAAGTGGTGAATCATCTGAACTTCGTACGAAGCAGCAACGAAAAACTGCCAAGTACCGCACCATGTCTGGCGAGTCTAATTATCAGTCATGGACCAAAAACGGTCTTATCCAAAAAGTCAAGGAACTTGAAGCACAACTCAGAAGTCGACCTGCTCAAGAGCAAAAGACCGAAAATGTGGTTCAGTTTCAGAATGAAGAGGCAGGGGATCCCAAAAAGTCAACGAAACCAAAGGTGAAGAGAAAGATGGACCCCAGCAAGTACTCGACACGATATATTGCATTGAAACTTGCATATCTCGGCAAGAACTATGGTGGCTTTGAGTTCCAAGCCATGGCCAACGCTCCATCTATCGAAGAGGAGCTGTGGAATGCTCTTACAAAAGCATGCCTCATCTTTCCAGAAGACGAACGTGTCGTTGACTTTGAGTGCTGCGAGTATTCAAAGTGTGGTCGCACGGATAAAGGTGTTAGTGCTTTTGGCCAGGTCATTGGCCTTCGAGTGCGAAGTGCCAGACCCGTACCCAAAAAGCGAAGACGCGTGAGTGAAGCTGGCGAGGCAATGGTTGTCGATGAACAATCTGGAGAGAACGCAGAAGAAGAGATGGAAGATGATACACCACCTTTTGACCATATCAAGGATGAGCTCCAATACCCTCGTCTTCTCAACCGTGTTTTACCTCCCGATATTCGCATTCTCGCCTGGTGCCCCTCACCACCACCAGACTTCTCTGCTCGTTTCTCCTGCCGGGAGCGTCAATACAGATACTTCTTCACACAGCCCGCCTTCACCCCTGAGCCAAGTGCTGGTGGAGCAAGGAATGGCTGGCTTGATATTGAGGCGATGCGCGAAGCAGCCAAGCGCTACGAGGGCGAGCATGATTTCCGCAACTTCTGCAAGATCGATCCTGGCAAGCAGATCACAAACTTTGTGCGCACCATCTACGAGGCCGACATCGAGGAGGTTCGGGATGTGAGCTCTGCTTTGCCCTATCTTTCTGGCCCGCAATTTGCTCCCGCCGAAGGGTTGCCCACTGATGGCGTCAACTATCCCAAGGTGTACTGTTTCAAGGTTCGAGGTTCCGCCTTTTTGTGGCACCAGATTCGACATATGGTCGCCGTTCTCTTCCTGGCCGGCCAGCGACTTGAGAAGCCTAATGTCGTAACAACCATGCTTGACGTAACAAACAACCCATGCAAGCCCAACTATGTGATGGCCGATGAAGTGCCCTTGGTGCTTTGGGATTGTATCTTTCCTGGTGAAGACAACATCCCGGCTGATCCAGCGGCTGAGAAGACTGATGGTCTCGACTGGGTGTATTTGGCCGATGATCCTGCCCTGAGCAAGTCTGGACCCTTTGGCGTCATGGATGGTATGTGGGCGTATTGGCGAGAGCGCAAGCTAGATGAGCTGCTCTCGAACCAGCTCCTGCAAATGGTCTCGACACAGCGCAGCAAGGATCCCTCACGCCAGGTCACGCGCCCTGAGCCCACCGGGAAGCAGGCTAACAGCGTAGTTGTCTACGAGGGCGGCAACGTTGGGCGCATGGGCGGTCGCTATGTGCCGATGATGAAGAAAGATAAGTTGCAGTCTCCTGAAGAACAAAACGAGCGATATGCTATCAGAAAGGGGTATGCTAGCTCGGAAGATATGAGAACACAAAAGGGAATGGGAAAGCGAAAGGCAGATGAGGCCATGAACGAATAGAAGTTAGATATCACCTTTGGTACATAAAAAGTCCAAATTGAAAATCGTAAACGCTCCTCTATGGGTATATTTTCTCAAGCCTGTACTTTATCTTCGCCCCTCTGCTCATACAAGCATCTCCTAACGCCCCTCTGCTCATACAAGCATCTCCTAACGCCCCTCCATACCTCTTCTACGATCTTCCGCCGAGGCAATAAGCCCGGGAACACAACCACCACATCATCCTCGCCTTCGACTATAACAATTAGGTAGTACCTTACCTCGAACCCAAGGAACGCTTCGTTAAGGAGAATGTCCTGGATTTTCTCGGTAGGTATAAACCTCGTTGCCGTGCCAGCCAAGTAACTTCCAGGACTCTCACTCGTCTGCACGCCCAATCCTCTCATGACCAGAATACTCTCGCTCACATAGCCCCTTCTACTGGACAGCCATAGCACAGCTATACTGGCTGGAACAAGTATGGAAAGTGGTATATCCTGCGCGACGGAAGCAATTGATGTTGGCGCGCGGAGGTAAGAGGGCGGTATGATCTTCAGAAGAGACGGTGCAGCATAGGCGAGTAGTGGATGGAGGGTTAGGCGTGCGTGGAGGAGAAGAAGGGTGAAGATGGAGAGGACGACACGAGAAAGTAGACCAAGGGTATGTAATGCTGGCGGGAGTGGCCGAAGGGTCGTTACAGTGAATTCGGCGGTTGTTGGAGAGGGATGTCGGATGTAAAGACGGGGCGATATCGAGAGCATCGTTGCGGTTGGATTATGTATGTAGATTGGGAGAGTTGGTCGTTTAATGGTAGGTCATGATGGATTCCAGCAGGCGAATTGAACGGTCGATCGGTGATGATGGAGTATATCGGGTGGTAGTATGTGTGGCAACTATTGAGAGAGGCAAAAAAGGAGCATAGACTATCGCGACATGACCTACGACATCATTAATGAAGGAAACATTGCTAAAAGAGTTGGAAAGTTGAAGCTGGATTAAAGACACCTGAAGCTTCCACTAAAGCTCCAGGTGGATTGTAATGGTTGCAGGGAGTCTGCAGCCCCACACTGCCACACTGCGAGCAAGGGTATATAAGTTATAAAAATGCCACATATTTCCGACTGTAATGGTCCAACGGCGAAGGCGTTCAAACCCGCTCAACCGTCCATCCCAATTCTGGTCGTGCTCGCACTTCCAGCCCTCCGCCGCGCCCCGCCCGAACGCTGCGGTGGCCGCCCACTCGTGCAGGTAACTCACGATGCTGGAACTTCTGCGGCCCTAAGCACTGGAGATGACCCTTGAGGGAGGTTTCACTCTGCAGAGATCTCTCCCCCGTCGCGTGGCGGGTGGGAACACGTTAGTGCGGGGGGATTTGGGATGGCAAATGGATGAGATGGAACAGCCAACTGTCTTTTTTTGCATTTTTTTTGCCTGTGATATAGGCAGCTAAAAAGAATTTAAAAATATGAATATGATTATTCAAGTTGGAAAGAAACCCCCGAGTCTATCTTTTTGATGACTGAGAGGTGTTGTGGTTGTAGTTGTAGTCAGTTGAACCCTCCACTACATTTCGTTGTGGTTATCTGATGAAGCTATCACCACCAGCTCTCTCCCACTTTAGCCTGTACCAATCGATATCAAAGTAGAACAGACAATTCAAATTTTATGAAAGATGCCTGACAAAGGAAGGATTTGAGATCAAGACAATATGTTCGTTCAATTCGTTAAATACTATAAGCCCTCCGGGGGAATCAAAATGCATTTCCAATCAAGCCCTTCGTCCAAACCCTCACTTATACCCAGAACCCCTTTTCCATCCATCATCATATCACACAAAACTCAAACAAGTGCCGCGAGGCAACATTGTAGAAATCAGTCGCTACGTTATTCCCCTTTGTCATCCCCCAATTTTACTCTTCCATTTTTCCTCCAGGTCCTGATTCAATCATGTATCCGATCAAGACCTCTATCCCCAACATGAGTGTAAATTTAAACAAAACATGGCACGAGTGCAATTTCCGTCTTCAAACATAATCTGTAAGTATATGTGGCCGTGATCTGGAAGGACCGTGATGGTCTGGCCCAAGAAATGTAAAGTCGTGCGCTTCATCAGCATGTCCGCTGATAATGTCTCGACAGATTCGAGATGCGATGTCGAATTAATAAGAAGAAAGAAGAAAAATGCGTTAATTTTGTGTGCAAAAGGGATTATGTATCGCCTTGAGATGGTGAAAACGCCAATCGCCATGCACAGAATGAAACAATATGAAACTTATAGAGAGCGATAGAATGGGGAAAAGTATTGCACAGAGTTCTGACTGCGATCCTGAGAGACCTTCTAGATCATCTCGTTCTGATTCAGGCCAGTCGACATGTGCTTATTCCTTGAGTCGATGGGCGAACGCAGAACATCAGGGTTGAATGACACTGGTGGGGGAGATCTGAGCTGTCGCGGCATCGGGATGCTCTCGTAAGGAGCCTCAAAGGGGGGAGATCGCACATACTCCTTGCGAGTGCGGCTGGCAGATCGAAGCCTCTCGGTGGCCTTATGAATTCGTCCCGAGATGCTGCTGTCGCCTATGCTTCGGCCTCGACCATGGCTTCTGTGAGAAGCTGGGGCTGGAGGGCTAGCCTCTGAAGCTTGGTCATTGCCAGAAGACAAATCATCATCCATGACAATCTCAATCATGCCTGATGCAATAGCACCTCCCTGCTGAGATCGCTGGGCATGTGGAAGAGGGGCAGGGGGAGGGGGAGGAGGTGAAGCAAGATGTCTAAGCTCCTTAAGCACTGGAGGTGCTGGAGGAGGGGGAGGAGGAAGAGGGTCATCCTCATGGGAACGTCGTCGCTCCCCGGGGATAACAACCTCTTCAATACGTCCAACGCTGCTCTTGCGTCCAAATCGTGCCGGGCGTTGACCAGGCTCATCAGGAATGGGAGCTGACATGCTACGAGGAATTGGGGGTCGAGATGGGGGCTGGTAGACAGTCGATGGTAGCAGGGTAAGACTAGGTTCTGCGCTAGGCTCCGGTCTCTCTGGAGATTGCTGAGGAGAGGTTTCTGGTGAGTGCCTCTGAGAGAATGTGGCTGGGATCATGGGCATCTCGGGCCTAGGGGTACTTCCAGACTGGTCATGGTTACTCTCAATGATCAGCCTCATAGCCTTGGGGGTTGCTGGAAGGCCGATCACAGGACCGTGACGGGCATACATGCTCCTCTGCGGTGGCTCAGTGGCGCTTCGAGGTGGAATATCGTCAGGCAACGGCTTGGGCTCTGCTGTCTCAACAGTGACAGCAAGGGCAGGAGAAAACTCGTTGGGATGAGGGATGGACGGTGTCTGAGCACGCTTGGCTAGAGACTTGCGACGCTCTTCAAGTTCTCGGGCTGCTTGCTCCTTCTTTCGCTGGCGCTCATCCTTCATTTGTCGTAGATCACCGGCATGCTCTGTAGAAGCAGCTCGGCCATGAACGGACACCAGTCCTTCAAAGTTCGCGACCTCGGAGTTGGCCCTGCGTCGACTCTCTGAAGTATCCTGCTTGCTTAGCGCTGGGGAGTTTAGGCCTCGAGTGGCGCTGCGGCTGTGCTTGTTTCTGAATTCTTCCTGGGCAGCCATTGCGGCCCTGAAGTCCTCTTCGTCCTCGGAACCTTGGTAGTGAGCTGCGGTGACCTCAAGAGGAAGAGGGGAGGAAGGAGAACGTTGTGTAGAGCCCTCTCGGCCTTGACTGCGCCCACGGAGGGTCAAAGCTGCGGGGCGGCTTCGACCATCAGGACTTCTACGGCGGCTTGCTCGGCTTGATCCTCGGCTTCCTGGCTTCATAGTCGACGTGCTAACCTTACGAACCGTGCTTGGTTCACCGGCTTGGCCATGGCGTGGAGTGCTCAAGTTCAACAAATCCTCGGGAGACATGGGAATAGGCGACGTTGGTGATCGTTTGGCCTTCGACCAGCCTCGTGCAGCTACACGGCCACGTTCTTCAGAGGGCTCTCTGGATCGAGCGCTTCGTTCGCGACTGCCAGGACGGCTGCGTGATGTATCTCGGGTCCTTGACTGGCTTCGTTGGCGGCTTCGTTGTCTCTTAGAGAAGTGGTTGGCAGCGTCAAGGCTATGGATGTAGTCTTCTCGGTTTCGAACGGCTTGATGACGAAGGCTTCGACCAGCACTCGATGCAGAGGTAACGGAGCTGGTAACAGATGCAGGGCCTCGGCGACGAGTTGGCCAGTGGTAGCGGTTCGACGAGGTAACTGAATGTTCGGGGGATGTCACTTCCTCATGTGAGACTCCAGACTGAAGCTGTAGGTTGACACCGAGCGGAATGCGATCACGAGAGCCGTTGCGGTGGTTTCGCGACGCCTGCTGCATCTTCATCATCACAGCATGGTCAGGTGGCGGTGGGAAGTCTCCTTCACTTGGCTGAACAACCCGTTGGGCATGCTCCCGCATCATCATTGGGCTTGCTGTAGCAGCGCGCTGCAATGCTGTTCCGAACATCATGTTATTATTGCCAGACGGTGTTCGGCCATGGTTGGATCGAGGCTCATGGTCAGAAGGTGCAGCGGAAAGCCCCGCCGTTCTGATCGCATCACGGTTGAGGTCCGATGGCATCTCGCCAATCGATGGCAAACGTCCTCGAGCTCTAGCAGACACTGGTGTGTTGAATCTGCTGTTGTTTGACGGACGGAGGAACGCTGTTGTGGCATCGTTGTTCGAGGCGTGGGACAGAGCAGGCGAGCCAGCAGAGTCAGCAATAGGTGTGACACCAGCGGCAATAGGTGTTTGGCCTCCATCACCAGCGAAAAACTTTGACTTCTGCGATTGATCACCAAATGAGGTGATGAGCTTGAGTGCAGAAGTCTTGGCAATGCTTCGCTGAGGGCCACGTTGAACGCCAGGAGGAGACAGAGGTGGGCTCAATATCTCGGGAATACTAGGCGTCATCGACTGGAAGTTAAGTTGGGCAGCTGAAGGAGATGCCCAAGGCTCAGTAGACTCTTGATCAGTGCAAGCGAAGCATCGGATTGCCAGTTGTTGCTGGCCATGCTGAACAGCCCATTCTCCCCACTTCCGAATGATGGCAGCTTGACGCTCCCAGACGCCAGGAGCAGCGAGGCACGTAAGAATCAGCGCCTCCATGTAGCGCTTGTGAGAGACATAGACTTCAATAGCATCGTTGTGTTCGCCCATACCAAGCATAATCGTGGCTGCAGCGTGTACATCCCCAGCCTCGAGCAACCGTTGAACATACGCTTGGCCAAGCTTTTGTTGCGAGGCTTGACCACCAATACCGCTCAATGCTAGGAGCATCCAGTCGGATGAAGTCATGTTTTCAAAGTTGGCATTCATAATGTTGGAATCGATGTCGCCAAGCCACTTAGCTAGAAGGATGCGGCTGGGAGACCCTTGGGGGTGCCTGCTCATTTCATCCCGAATGAGATCCTCAACTTCTCTGTTCCATCCGAAGATGGTGTTGAGCATCTGACGACGCAGATCATCGTTAGTGAGGCGGGCGTTGTTAGATCCCATAGCGTGTTTGTATGGGATATCACTGAGACGAGCTCGTGTAAACTTGAAGAGATCATGGACCTTGTTGTCGTCGGGGCTACGAGGAACTTCATTGCGTAGGCGAGAGGGTCTGTGGCGTGAACGGCTGGAAGTCATGGAAGAAACACTGGTGGTGCCGAGAGAATATCCCATAGAGTACGCATCCATGTCCCTCGAGTAGCCCTGGATATTGCTGTTGCCATTGCCGTTGCCGTTGCCGTTACCGATAGTGGATGACCGGATCGACGTTCCGGCCGAGATGTAAGTGTTTTCTGATAGACCCCTTGACCTTGTTGATTGAGGGTAACGGCCAGGGGTCTGAGAGGATCCTGCTGAGGACTTTGACAAAGACGAAAGACCACTCCGGCTGGAGACAGGGCTGGCTGATTCGTAGGGCTCATTACCAGAGTCGTAAACCTGGCGTCTTGTCAGACGGGCAAATGGTGACATGTGATCTTCGTCGCTTTCAGATATGTTCATGTCCAGGGGGATCGAGCTGGATTCGGATTCGGAGGCAATTGTAGTGGCCGAGTTTGCTGATCTGTCTCCTATCTCCTCAGAGACTGGAGGCGACGGTGGCAACAAATTGGCTGGGTGCTGAACGTTGGCAACCATAATAGCTGGGGAGTTGAGATCAAACTGCTGTGCTGTGTTGTTGGGGCCCAGGGTGAAAAGAGTGGCTCCTGGACCATAGACGGCGAGACCGCGAACGAGGTCAAGAGTTGGGATGGGATCATGAGTGACGTGCTTTGTCCTAACATCCCATGACTGTGTTTGCCTGTGTAGATGTTAGTCGAGGAAAGGGGTCATGCAGCTAAGCGCGCGCGTAGCCTAGGGTGTATGATAGTGGCAATTTGCAAGACTTACGAGTCGGAATACTGGATTATGCGACCGTTCTTGGACCATCCCATCCAGTTGGGTCCATCCATAGAGATTTCTGCTTTTCTGAGGTTTCGAACCACTTTAGCAGGATCATCAGCGCTATATTTCTTTGCCACGCTCCAGACACGGAGGTCGCCATCACGCATTTGAACCGCAAGCATGTCAGACTTTTGCCGCGAAGAAGAGGCGTGCCATGCGAGATTAACAATGGGCGATGGTCCTCTGGAAGTGGTGAGATTATGTAGGATAGTAAAGCGAGGCTGTAACGTAGCCACAAATAGAGAGCCATTTTGATAGCTACATTATTGTCAGTAAGGGTCAAATGGGCATCATGCGACCGGTAAACTTACCCAATGGCGAATGTTCGGCAATCAGACGAAGGTGCCAGTGCAGTCACAGCAATCTGATCGATGGTTCTTGAAGAGACATGCTCTGAAGTTGAAGGCTCAAACATGATGATACTTCCTTTCGTGTTGCCTAAAACCGTGAGTAATTGAGTGACAAGATTCGCTCTAGGGACACATACCGAAGGCAACATTGCCGTTTTTCATCCATGCTGCGACAGTCAAATGTTCGTACGAGGCAAATCGAGCGATTTCATCGCCTGTCATTAAATCCCACACAATTGCTGTCTGGCCAGCATCATAACTTACGACCAAGCGACCGCCGCCACTCTCGCTCTGGTTGTCGACTGCCAATAATTGAACATCATCGGCATGTCGTGAGAATCTTCGTTCAATAGTAAGGGTATCATGGTGACAACAGACGACAGATGAACCCTGGGCATAAAGAAACATAGAGGCCGTGGCGGCACAGGGGTCAAAGTATTTCAAATCTGTGACGTGAGGCATGGTAGTGCTGTCTGGAACCTGAGACGATTTGCTCCTTGCTGCAGACCTTCCGCCAGAACTTAATGATACGGTGCGATTCCGTGACGACGTGGCCACAGGGACGGACATGATGGGCCTGATATCCTTTCTGGATTTCGACCTGCGATGAAGGAGCTTGCGTTAGCCAGTCGGATGACCAGAAGGAGGCGGCTGCTCTGGGTGGGTGTTCGTCTTGTGCGACACGGCACGTACTGTTCTGGTGTGAATCGATGTCGACGAGGAACGAGCCCCCGACAGCGGGGTTTTGACTACACTGCTCTCGAGGTCGCAGAAACAGGCGGAAAGTTACACTCAAGGCCTGTCGAACATGCCTTGGAATATCCTGCTGTCCACACCCGGACAATGACAGTCTCTCAATATTCTGGTAAGCCAAAGGTCTCGGATGGTGTTATGCTGAAGTGTTTCGTCACTGTACGATACGATGCGATACGGTCAAGCGGGTAGCGACGGCGAAGTGAGGTTGGACAACGAGCGGGACTTGTAAAGCTGTATGTCTCGGCCGCGACGGTGGTGATAAGAGGCAGATGCAGTGATTTCTTGGTAATCCGAATTAGTGGTGAGCTTGAGATATCGAGAGAGCAAAGTAAGAAGGCATAGAAAGAAAAGACGTGTGTGTGGAGATGGGCAAAGCTATGGTTTTGCTTGTCAAGAGTAACCTCAACCAGGGCAACAGTTGAATACGATGCAACAGGCGCAAATCGGCAACGGCAAAAACGCAGCCGCCTACCTTGCTAAGACTGAGTGTGATTGCATGGGTTTGAACGACGCCAAATAGAGATGAGCGTCAAAAGTGGTCAAGGTCAAAGTGTAGCTGCCAGGAAGAGCTTGGTAGTGGATGCGGATAGGGATGGGATGTGAAAGGGGTGTGACCCGGCGCTTCACTTGCAGCTGTAGCTTGTAATCCCTTGAAAAAAATGATTCTAGGGTCCATCAAGCCTGTGTAGGTGCGTTTGCATGCGCTTGTATGCTGAGCGACAACATGCGACTAAGACGAGAGATATGACGAGGGACGGGGATACCGAAGAAGCATGTAGCAGACGCTCAATTGGCGATTGGAGGGCATGAAAGAACGGAGTGTTTAGGAAATTGCAAAAAGAGAATTGAAATTCTTACCTTGAGCCCTTTTCTTGTTATGGAGTAAAAGCTGATCAGTCGCTTGGGGAGTTGTGATATCAAGGTTGATGTTTGGAGCTGAAGGTGTGACAATGTGATTGGGGCGACACAAACAGGCCAGGACTCGAGGACCAGAGGCACGATACAAAGCAAAACAAAGGCGGAAAGAGAAGACTAAGAAGAGGGAGGCCCAAGAAGGAAATTCTGACCAGAAAAAGTGCAGGTTGAGATGATTTTGAGAAAGACACAGACACAGGGTTTATGACAGTGTGGGTGTCCACTGACTGCGTGTGCTATATGTGATGGACCATCCATCATGGGTCAAGGTTGGGGTTCATAGTCAGAGATGGCGCCTAGAGAGTGGCGTTCTGGACTGTCAGTGGACACTTGAATCAGAGACCGATATTAAAATAGAGCCCTGCGAACGTTGGGTTGAATGGATCAGCGGAGACGGACCGGCTTCATAGGCATAGACAATATGGAACCCAGGGGTCGAAATGGAGGATGGTCTATGGCGGCTGGGGATTGGGAGCTTGAGCATCTTTTTTTCGCCGTTTGGACTCGAGCTAACAGTTTGAGTGGGGAAGAGAAGCTGCAGAAGACTAGGATCCCCTCTTGTACAGCGAGCAGGGTGTTGAGCATGCCATTAGCATTAGCATTAGCATGCTTTCAGATTCTGGTTTGAGAGGCGCCAGTTGAGGCGGAGGCCGTCACTTTGAACATGAATGGATCGTGGCCGGCGGCTGCGGCCTTGCTATGACGAACAATGTCCAACGTGGACTGCCATCTCATCGCATATCGTGTACTGTGGATCTTTGACCAAAGACAAGGCAATTGACAACGAGCGAGTCGCAGCAAGTCAAGCATGTAGCGAGCAATGCCCCCTGCCAAATTTAGCCTCGTGGGTTGACCGCGTGCCGTTGAATTCAATTCTCTCAGTGAATCGTTTGGATGGCACATCAAATTGAGTGGTCCACTAGTAGACTGGGACCCCTGTAAATCTCCAGATGCATTCCGGCCTAGAGACTCGAGGTACTCAACCTATCAATCAATCAATTGTATTCCATCATTTGCAGACAAGCGCATGAATGGCTCGCACCTTATCGTTTGAGATTTAACTCTTATCATGGAAGCATTCCCTTGGTCTTGATGACCTCGCCGTCGTCTCATCCAAATTTCATGTTATATTTGCATTGAAAATAGTCCATCAATCATGTAGAGAAGTCGTTGGTGCCCCTCTTCTGGTGAGACGTATACAGAAGCATGCAGGCGGCGTTTGGTACAACAACAAGTGGTAGCTACTCGAGCATTGCAGGGCAGGGCAGCACGGCAGTAGAGTATAGCGCAACAGCCTCCCCACGCAGGTAGCTGGTCAGTTGCTTTAACGTTGGTGCAGTGGAAAATTGGGATCGCGACATGATATGCTCGATCCAGTTGTGTTGGGTACTATCGAAAGCAAAGAGTGGCCGGTACCTTACATCTCAACCTGTGTGCATTAGCACAACATCATCACTGATGGCCGCTGCTGGAAGAGCGCTGCGAGCTCTAAAGTGGGGGTTCTCTGAGGCTGATAGGGCATTTCGTAAAGTCCCTTGCACTGTAGGATATTCTGTAGCGTGTTATTCTCATCCTCTATCAAAGACTCAGTTGATTTCATTCTTGAGATGAAGGAAGATGAAAGCATGTGGTTGGGGAAACAGAACATGGGGGCTTTGAGCAAGCGCTTGTATGCTAACATTGATTGGATAGAGCCCTCCACCCCGCTTGCCAAAGATGTGCTACAGCTGGTTTCTCGGCGCTTATTGGACACGCTAGCTAACCGGGACGGGCCAATAAGCCGGCCGATCACCTCTGTTACAAGAAGTTAATCGCCCTCCTCCTTCCCGTCCCGCTGGTGAAGAGGGTCTGTACCCACATTATTTTAACGAGAAGGGGCAGACCTCTCCGTCAACCACATCTCTTATATCAAGTATTGAGAGCACTACGCCGTTGCTTGGCGACTATATCGAATGATTGAGAGAAATTAGACGAGTATTTCTTGGATAATATGTTACTGCATTTTATATTGAATGTCGCTCAAAATTTGAGCTTATTTCGGCATCCATTGTTAGTAAGTAGACATGAGCTGACATCCTGCTGCATAAGTGCCCTTATAACTTGCCTGCTCCACTTTTGACCTCATTCGATAACAAACTGGGAAAGAGAGTCTAGACGTGAATCTGTTCACGCCTAACTGTTTGCTTGATATGGATAAACAGACCAGCTTGTGCAAGGCAAGACTCACCTAAAGGCCTTCTTTCTTTCCATTCTCAAAACTCTGTTCAAGTTGCGGATCTCTCTTTCCTCTCCTCCTGCATACACAATCTCTCTTTGCTTTTTCCCGTGCCCCTGGTCCCGTTTTAGTGTAACCTCACCCACACACATTCTTCTACCATGAATAGATTCTGCATCAGCAGCGACTTTCTTTTCTACTACAGAAGTGAAAATCATATCTTTCAGTAATCCTCCGATAACTTAGACCACCTTGAATACACGTCACCTTACTTACTCCTTCGTCTTGGTGATAGCCTGAAATGGTTGGAATATTAACCTATCAAACAACGAATATGGCGCCCACTGTCAAACTAGCTGCTTCATATCTTTAATTAGATCCGCTAAGTTGATCCGGGGTGAATTATCCACAGAAACACTCAATCAACAGCATCGCGATATCCAAGTCATTGGGTATTTTACGAACGTGGATGTAGTCACAGAGTTTCTCCGTCTTTTCGAGACTCTTCCAATATCCAAGCTCCAGCCTCATCATATGCGTGGAACTCTATTGACAAAGGATACCAACTAGCTTTCTCTTAACCTTGAATCCCGACCAAGCAAAGCCTTTCTTCCGATGTTTGTCTCAGAAGCATGTGGCCATATAGGAAACTCGAATTGCTTATTCAGACTTAGCATCGCCAATCAACAGGCCGCCTCCCTGTCATATATGCATGATGGGATTCCCAGTCTTGTCATGGGTACAGCGCCTCGAGTCCAACAAGCGCCTCCACCTGGTAAGACCTTGTCCATCAACCGCTCGGCTAGGGACATATGTTTGCAGCATATGTCATTCTCGTTCACCGCACCTCTTCCAATTGAACCAATTCGCCTCGCTCTTCTCGGTTCCGACGGACAGGTTCTGTGTATGTGTTTCCTGCAAGCCAAGTACAGCAGGAGAAGCGATTGGATATTTTTTTGCATCAGATATATATGCAAGAGGGATCTACGAGTCTTTGCAACGTTCACTTACAACAAAATATGTTCAAACACGTACCTCTTTATCGTTGGATCACGGTCTGCTGCTTGTCACCTCAAGGAATGATATTGATGTGCAGATATAAGTGGACTGCTCCGCTATACGTTGTGAAACTGCACACACTTAACCATCAGAGGCCGACTGGGCCTCAGCGCCACCGATCAAGAACTCTCGCTGACCGATGCGCAATTTCATTATCCCGGGGCTAGATAGACCTGGCCCTGGTCTGTCTGGCCTCAGAACTTGCGTTACCCCACGGTTGTCCCCATCCTTTCTTAGGCTTGGCTGCAGCCTCACGCGGATTGCGTCTATATATGCTTCTTTACTTTATGGGAGCGGATAACTGCAGTCTCTTGATGTGAGAGACATTCCACCTTCCTTTCCTTTGCTGCATCCGGTGCTTGCAGCTCGTTTATGCCGTCCTACACAAGTCAATCTCAGATGCTTCACGGTCAAGGTCGGTCAGTTTGTGCCAATTCTTCTCTTCAGAGTTCAGATTTTTCGAATTGACAGGCTAGTGCATTGACCTGCGATTCCATTATCACATTTCCCCTGTTTGCTGAAACAGGTTGACCCTGGTCAAGGGACATGTTCGACCCAGCCGTAGGGTCTCCGCTCATCGCTTTCGCGCATTTGATATGCTAACTGGGATATTGGCACGCCATGCTATAAGCTGCGGCCCAAAATGCGGCCAAGCTGATGGATGGTAACTATCACATTGATAACGCCACTTTACAAAAGACTCCGAATCCCTTCCTACAATGTTTTCATATTGCGGCTGCAGACTGGCGGCCGCCTCTCTGCACCAGATCGACCAGGGACGAAACCAACATGTAAGATTTGTCGATACATCATTGTCTGTGATTGGTAGTGAGGCCCTTTGGCGTATATCAAAGCTTCATTTACACGCTTTTGTTAAGACCTCGGCTTCATGGTTTTGAGACGCTTTGTCAGTAGGATCACGATCAGTCTTCAATTTTTGTATTTTGTAGCCCCTTGTTGGCGTTGCGCGAAACTTGGAATTTGGCTGGTTGCGATGCCTGAGACTGTGAAATTCAATATCACAAGACTTCATACTTACGCGTTATTACACCTTGAGTATAAGCATTTGTTTCAGAGTAAGGTAGGAGCTATAATACGATTCATGAACAGAATACCATTCTTATTGATAGATTGATGATCAGTCTCGTCTCGGAACAGTCGGCAACGGTGGACTTGACCTGACGTCTCTTAAAGCAAGGTATCGTTGGCAAGTTGCCATCGCTCCGGGTTCCTTTTGATCACTTTACGCACCTGTATAGATGCTGATAGGTGTGATGGGCTTAGAATCAATATCATCTATGCCAGGGTCACTACAGTTGATGTTGGGATTCAAACACTCAACCTAACTTGAGGTCCCCATCTCGGTGCTCCTATTAAGGATTATACGCCTGTCACATCCCAATTGATATAAATCACTTTCTATAATTCAATCGCTTTTGATGTGTGGTTGTTGTGAGGTAGGCACACCAGACATGTATGCAACGTTGGAAGTTGGGTGCGTGCAATCCCTTGCGTCGGCATCCATCAACTCGCGTGGCTTCAGGCTTCCCCGCAATCAGGTCCTACCAATTGTGATGGTCTCTCAAGTGCCTACCTAGATATATCAACACACCAATACCAGTGATGTTGAACAAGTCTGCTCTTCGCGACGTTGGCAATGCATATAATGCAATGCAGAACAGCACAGACAGTACAGAGGTACATATCAGTGTAGAAGCTGCAGACAAAGAATATTGAAAGAGGTCCTATTTAGATCTTTCTTATTTTAGTCGTCACCCAATTGGAATGAACCCGGCTCCGCGACGGATTTGATATTGTGCATGGGGTGGAATGTGGGCGCCAAGGTTGCCCTGAGCCTCGACTCAATCCACACGGATGAGAGGAAGACGATGGCTAATGTGCAAAGGTCTTAGATGCGGGTCTACCGCTAAATAGTGAGAATACTACGCCATACACCTTTGTAGCGTTGTCTCAGGTTGAACCTTCGTATTATGCATATGATAACGCAGGAATGGTGTAAGCGGACTGGTCTCTGATAGACGTTTTGGGGTAATGCAAGATACCCAAGAGGGAAACTAATTTGGAATTGCATATTCTTGGGCTTCCATGCAGCTGTATGGGGGCTGATATTTGCTGACTGTATACACTTGGGTCATATTGGCGATTCTTAGGCATCATAAACTCTCTTCTCTCTGGCCATACACATGACGATGGGTGAGAGACTTTAGAAGCTGCATGCTTTCCCCAAAGGAGACAGCTGTTCGTTACTACTTGCAGGGCGACCCATCGTTTTTATTTAAAGCCTTTTGTTCTAATAGTATGTCACATCTGGTTAAGGAATATGGTTGTGAAGTTCAAAGTTGCTGGAAAAGCACTATTATATTGTGCTCTCAGGCAATGACTCTTAAACAACTAGGTATCTATACAAGCGTAAGTAAGGAAAACATCATCCATAATCTTAGAGTAGGCCGGCCTGTTCTTGGAATCCCGCTCAGATGGTTGAGTAATTGATGGCATTAATGTCAAGTTCCAACGGTCTCTCAAGACTGATGGACATCAAACTTCGGTGTCTGCTTTTCGCCGTAAGAAGTAGGGCCCCCCAGGTTTCTTATTACTATACTGGCATGTATTGTGTTCTATTGAAGTTGTGTTGTAATTTTTATTGCCATGACGAGTTGTCGTCAGTCTTCCTGACGCAGTTGCAATGGTCCAGGAACAACCGCTGCAATGTAACAGCAACAACGTCTGTAGCTCAGGCAGGTTTCTTTCTATGCTAGAGTAATATTCGTCCATGTACAGCAACTGCCGAATATCGTGCCCATGAATAAGTATAGTTCTCGTGAGTAATGGGCTTACGAGTGGGTTGTCCAAACAACCTCGGCCAGGGTCAAGATATGTAACTCAACAAACATGGCATGATAGAAACATCTATCATGACCATGCATATCCGATCAAGCAAAAAGACAGGAGCCAGCAAATAGACAATAAGCAACAGGAGCAAAAAGAAACTCCCCCGGGAAGGCTCGAACTTCCGATCTCCCGATTGTCTATGAATAACAGTCGGACGCTTTAGCCAACTAAGCCACAGGGGATAGCTGATTGGATGGGAGAACTACAACAAAATAGAGTCTATATCGACTCAATCTCCGAATAACTTACGTATTACAGAATATATAAGCCTTCGGTTGTAAAAAGACTGGCTGTCTTAACTCACATTCTTTCTTGGATGGTTTGAGTGTCGTTACCACAATTATACTGGGATCTGGCTTGTAAGTCAGCTGGCCCAGAGGTTCTCATTGCCTTCACTTCCAACGACCGACACGCAACTTGACATGAATTCTGTGTCAACTCAATTCTTTTATAGAACGCCTTGGAGCTGGAATAAAAACGTCCATGCGGTCATAGGGCTACTACCGAACACCTGCTATGCTCATCTTGATACCATAACATCTAGCCTCTCCATACTCAAGCCTTGGACTCAAATCCCTTCCCCGTCCAATTCTCAACATGAAAACGATAAACCTCCTTGGACAAATCCTCTACAGGACCTTCCATTTGGATCCCTGGAGCAACTTGGTTGATACTCAATGGTGCAACGGGTGCCTCAACGCCAAACTCTTTCTTCCAAGCCTCCAACTGCTCCGTTGAAGAAACGTACACAATCCTTCCCAATCCGCACCACGCATGCGCAGCAGAGCACATTGCGCAGTGCTCCCCGCTTGTGTACACAGTAGAAGCTTTGCGCTCCTTGGCGCTGAGGTTAAGTTGTGCCCACCGCGCGAGCGTAAATTCAGGGTGTAGAGTTGCGTCGGGGCGGCCGTCGCCATCGGCACCTGTGACGGTGCGGTTTCGGTCTGTCCGTAGGACTTTATTGTCTGATGATACGAGGACAGAGCCGAAAGGGGCGTCGCCTGCTTTGAGAGCTTCGTGGGCGAGTGAGACGGCGAGGCGGAGGTGTTCACGATCCTGTTCATTGACCATTTTGATTGCGTTTGAGTTTAATGTTGGTGGAATTTCTTATTGACGTGTGATGTTTGTATTTTGAAAGTCACCGTATGTGTAAGTTTTGATAAGTGTCGAGTTGAATTATAAGAGTTGTGTAGAAGCAAGATTCAGTGAAGCCTTACCAAGTTCGTGATGCGGGGAAGATGATGATGACAATTCCACATTCTGGCTCATGTTTATCTCATAACTGTACAACAAATTCTCATGTATTACATAAACTGTAAGTATGGTCTTATTTACATGATTCGCGGATCAATTCATAGTTCAGAGACCATATTATAGTGAGGATATGGAGTCTGTAAAACACAACACATGATCAAAGCACGAATAATGTTAACTAATTTCACCAAGCAATATGTCATGTATTCGCCCATTTTACGCATTCAATACAGCTTCTTATTGCCTTTCATATTCACCACATCATGATTGCTTCGTTCAAGTCATCAGTGTAACTTTGCGCCTCATCGCAATGCCTGGGAGTGCCATGATCGCATCATGAACTTTCAATTAGAAATCGTTTCTCGTAATCATCAATAAACTCAAGTTACAGTCAGATATACATCCCACGAAACTTCATTGATTTCTAGTATTTCTTATCATGGCTTTGTGCGATACTATGACAGGCAGTGACTTGGTCAACTAATACATGAAGCCTGTTGAACTGAGCAGCAACTTGTATGCAATATAGTTTTATGTATGTACGTACATCCAAAATTAATATCCTTTGGGTATAGTCCTCTACCGGACCGAACCATGCCATCTATCATTGACATCAACTACGATGTTGAGGCTCGGATAAACCTACACGGTGATCTCTCATCCAACAAACTCACATTGGGCCTGTTTACGGAGTATTGAAGAGCTATTTGAACTCTCACACCAAAGTCTATCATTCTGTATTGAAGAAGGAAGCATATCACCCCAACAGTATTTGCTTTTGCACTGAAGCTATGCTGGTTGCTTGCTCCTGCACTCCGAAACATCCGGCTCAACGTTGGGAATTGTGACATTATGATTCGGATACAAAAGAATACTGTCGAATGTAACCCGTGAGAACTCAAGACTATGGCGTAGTTAGTGAAGTTAGATATATCTTTAGCCTTTTGTGCCCGTGTCGTCTCGTATTGACAGGCTGGACAACAAGACAAGGCATCAATAGACATTTCCCTTGAAAGTAACAAACACCACTGTCCAGGTTAATTCAAAGAATCTGATCAAAACTTCGAGTTTTATCTACTATATTCTAGTCTCACTCCCACTTTCATTATGCTGGCTTCGACCTTCTGTCTTTCATGCATAACGTCCATGCATCATAATCTCCCAACATCACTCTATCGTCAACCTAAAATGGGCATATGTTCTATTCTTAACTCACTACTTTAAAAGGTATCGCAGTGGTGAAAGCGCCCGTTTCAACTCATCTGGTTCGCCCTGTGTTGGTTCCTAAGTCAACTCTCATTAGACTATCAATCCAACAATGGCATCTGAGACCAAGCAAATGTCAGGGCTTTCCATGCATGGAGCTTGACTTAGACAATGCGATTTAAACTCGCAAGCCACGAGGCAAACTAAACTTAACTCGAGAACAAACAAAGGTAACAACATTTCATCTCGCCTTTTTCGCGATTTCGAAATCTCGCGACTTGGCTTGAATTGATCAATACCCCATCCGTGCGTTTGCGCCCCGTTTCTTTTGATTGATGATGTACATCCCACACCAACACGATACCAGACAAAGCCTCGTCTATAGGAACACCCACTTTCAACTTATGATACCCGATATATCTTTTATCACGAGCTTCCCACGTGAGAATCTCTTTGTCTCGTATCGCCGATCTGGAAAAAAGCACACGCTCTGTCCTAGATTAAGCTGCACCTCACCCCGCGGTAAAGGCGTCAATTTGTTCCATGTGACGAAGGAGCTTGACTTGAAACCCGCGGCACGGGACGGTACCACGGGCCAAGCTAGAAAATAGAGAGCATCCCTATTGTCGCCTGTATTCGATGAATACTTTGGCAATAGTTGGTGTTTATTGGTAGATAGGGAAGGATGTAGCACACACTTTCAACAGCTTTGGCTGGGCGCTTGATTGTTGCCAAGATTGCTTGCACACAAGGTTTGGAATACAATAGTTCAGGGTTCAGAGGGTCAAAGGACCATATTGGCTAGTCACGAGTAGAAGCGCCCATATCACATGAATAAGAGACAAGAGTATGTTTTGAGGTGTAAGCCAAGTATGATGATTGTTGATGCTAACTAATAAGAGGGTATCTCGAAAATCAAGGCAAGCACTAGGCCGCCAAACTATCCTAAGGTATCTAAATATTCCATGCCATGTCGCCGTTAACCATGCAATGCTGTGTGTGGGTGCATATCCTATGCCCTAATGTTCCTGTTCCCAAGTGTGTACCAGCTGATTCATCCCAGTGTTGGGAGGACTGATGCAAGAACCTGTACTGTATCCAGTGTCCCATGCCCTAATGATGCAATAAATAAAATGAAACTCCATCCATGTATGCGATCCACCCAGATGGTGTGTGAAAAAGAAAATGATTAAACAAGATAGACTCGCCGAGCCTAAGATAAAACATCGGCTTTGATAAAAGCCTCAACAGAAAAGAATAGCGGATGATGATAGAGTATTGACCGGGCCGCAATGCGGGGAGAAAGCCAGCGGCAGATGGCCGAGCTCGCCGACAGTCCGACGAGGGCTAGAAAGTGTCAAGATGGGGGATGAAGGCTTCCATGTATCCGGTTCGGGTCATGGCAACGTTTCTCTTGATGGAGAAAGTTTCGGCCACGACCGGGAACTCTAAAGATCATGGTTGTTGATTGTTGTGTTGTTGTTGTCATTCATTCCTGTCTTGACCTCTTGTGTTCTGACTCATTCTTGGTTGGGTAACCCCCACCCCCACCTCTGATTTGCTGGGTCCAAAGGCGGTCTACCCCATGGCGTCATTGACCAAGGTTGTGGTGGTGTACTTGCGTACCGAGAATCAAGCCGGCGGTTACAAGTCGATCCCGAGGGTAGCTGATTAAGGTTGCCAATTTAGTGAGTGACAGTTTGGTGTGTCGGAAAGATGTCCATCTCCAAATGATGGGTAGGATATTCCAGCATGTGCGTTTATTGATGCGCACATGCGAAAGTTGTTATGTGGGGTATCATGGGGTATCATATTGCCATGTAATGCAAAAAGCAGCCTGAAGAATTGTTAGTGAATGAAGCTTGATGTTTTTGTTGTGTGTAGACATACGCTATCGTAAATTCGTAACAGTCGTGAAGAAGATCCAAGAGCATTGTTTACTCAATAGCCTCCTCATTGATGGAGGTGAGCTTGGTCTTGGGGCTCTTCTTGTGAGAACTGCTACGGCGCTGCTTTCGTGCGGCGGCACGTCGACGCTCCTTCTCGAGGGTGACAACTCGGATGCACTCTCGCTGAATGGCAGCTTGGCGTTCTCGCTCAGCCTGGAGAAGCTCGAAGTCGGAGATGCGGCTGGGAGGCGAGGCCATGGCACCGGGAGAAGAGCTGCCAGCGCTGGAGACGCTCTGGGCATCATCGTCGAATGGATCGGAGAGGAACAGGTCGTCGTCGGAGAGATAAGAAGTGGGTCGCTCCTCACGATCAGACTCGGAGAGAGAGTCGCGTCGAGGCCATGAAGGGAAAGCGCAGGCGGAGTCCTGAGATCGGTAGATGTTGCGAGACGCGATATCCATGGGCGCAGAAGAAGCGCACATGGAGCTAATGGAGCTGTATGAACCGAACATTGTTGCGGTGGTCGTGATGATAGTCGAGGTGAATGTCGTGATTGAAGCTCGAAGAGCTATAGCTGTTGCTAAATAGCAAGTAGTAAAGTGTTGATCACTTGAAGTTCTTTGTTGTGGACGGTAGATAAATGGATCCTCGAGACGAAAACCTGGGGATGCGGATAGATATAAATGAATGAAGCAAGACGGGCAGGCAGCCGACTAAGGGAGGCCAGGGGCGTGTGAGATTTGATCTGTGTTCTGGTTTTTGGGTGTGGAATGGAGGATTTACGTGTAATGGGGGTGAAAAGGGTGTGCGGTTGATGCCAGGGGGAGTGAGACCGAGAACGGGTGCGAGTGCGGGTCCAAGGGTCTTGCTCGTCGGGAAAGAGGGCGAATGCTAAATTCTACTCTACCGAGGTGCTGCTCGGCGTGGTGCTGTGGGGGGGGTGAATTCTGGTGGGATAGAAGGGGGCGTGGCAAAAGTGAAAAAGGAGCGGTGGGAAATTCGAGTCAGAGGGAAAATCAGGGCGATACAGCGGCTAAGTGGACGGCCGGAGCGGGCACAACGCCTATTAACCACTAACAAAATACCAGCGAGAGGGAGGGGTGGCCGAAGAGCGGATCCGTGGGGAGGGAACGAGAACAACAAGGAAAGGAAAGAGTCAGAGTCAGAGATACGGTAAGTTTAATGGGTCGCTTCGGTATCCAGATCTGTTCCTGTTTTCTATCAAAGAATTCGCCAAGACCTCTTTTTACCTTGGGATTTGGAGGTGAAATAGCTTATCGCGCTCGGGTCAAATTGTCCAAAGAGCCGAGAACTGGCCGCACAATAACAATAAATCAGGTTTCTAACACAAGACGTATTGAGGAGAGATTGTGAGAAGTAGACCAGAATAACAATTTTTCGTAATGGATGGTTACTCGCGTTTGCCTGGCGGTGTTGGTGTTAGTGTTTGAGCTGAGATGAGCAACATTTGCCGTATACAGTAACTTGCTTTGTAAACTTGCAGTTGGAGTGACGAGAGACGAGACAATTACTGACGCTGACTGATACTGATACTGACACTGTCACCGAAAATAAAAGGAAATTGTTGAGATAAGCAAAGCTTCATATAGGCAACAGGATTTACGGATACGTTACAGCCGACAGATCAACAATAACACAACAACTTCCGTATTGGACCAAACCGGTCATCAATTCAAGACAATCTGCTCCCGTCCAAGACATAAACAACCTATTTTCTCTCAATGACTTGATTCCTTTTGAGCTTGTCTCTGTCCTGTGGCTTGTTTTCGTAATCTGGGGTAAGGGCGAAAAACGCCTCCCCCAGCCTTGGGCTGCCCTGGGCGTACTATACGTATCTACGAATAGCAACCACAATGTCACTTACAGTGCTGGCATTCGCTGTCACGGTCTCAATCACAGGCTTGCGCCTCCCTCATCCCGCGGGTCAAGATACCAAATCACGGGCTGCGCGTGGCGGCAACGGGACACAAGTCACAGTCATCATCAACGCAAATGGGAGTCACAAGCAGCTCTTTGGTCGTGGTCTTTGGGGGGCACTGCTGGAACCGCCCAGGCTGACGAACAGGATGGGCTTATTAACCATGATCCAAGTATCTTGATTACGCCAGGTCAGCGAAGCAATGCGTCAAGGATACGATGCGATGTGATGGCAAATACGACTGACTGACTGGCATGGTTGATTGATTGATTGATACTGTGCTGTATTCTTTTGACACGAGTGAATCATTGATTGCCTATGCGTTATTGGTGTGTTATTGGTGCTGCTGTAACGAGTCCGGTCGCTGTTTGTGCCTCCCATGAGATGGATGATGATCCATTCATTCATCCATCTTGTCGCATTCGTTGCTTTTTGCGATTATTCAGGACCAACGCCATTCGTTTACTTTTGTCGCTGTTTGTGATCATTCATGTTTGTCTCACCTGTAATTTATCGGATTTGATGGTTTGATTGCTTTTTGTGTCTTTCCTCTCTCCTCTTCCGTTAGATCTCTCTCTTGTCTCCCCCACGCCCTCTCTTTTCCTCCCTTTTCTCTCAAACAGCCCTGGGCTGGGGGAGGTCTTTTCCCCTTCAGCGCCCAACACACCCAAAATCGGTCCCTGGCCTTGTCTGGCTCCGCCCTGGCATACGTTGTCCCGAGATAGCTCAGAGCCCAAAGGCCAAAAAGTTAAGCCTTCAGGTCGGGCAAGTGTAGGTTTTTTTGATAGTTACACACCACACTGTAATGCATCCCACAGGGCTGGACTGGCTGGCCTGGCTGTCCGCTGGCTTACTTACCTTCCATTCTCTCTTTTCACACATTGGCTGTTCCCTTTTCCCCTTTGGGAAGGAAGGGAAGGTATCGCGGGATATCGGTGCGGTATTGGTCTTTGACAGAAAAGGCTAAGAAGACATATAGATACGATGTGCTGCAGCGATGCAGTCCAATGCAGGTGTTAAGGAACGACGTGCATCTCTGACCGCTCCCTTGAGGAGGAGGTATTTACATTTCTATTTGCTGGATACGTGCCTGAGGGTTGCTTTGTTGTTCACCACCATTCGTCTGTAGCTGGTTAATTGTTTTACCACCGAGGAGTCACCCATCGGTTCGGTTGGGGGGGATGGCTGTCATCTTGCAGTGAGGGTGTCCGATCCAGGCAACGCCTGTCGGCCACTAAAGTTGCGGAAAGCTGAGAATATTGAATTTCACCGCCGGTAGACAGCATGAACAACAACACAGCAACTGCTGAAATTTAGTTTACGGTATGTGTGCATCTGGCGGACAAGCGCACACCGCGGATAGGTAGGGATGATGATTATCATCTCAACTAAACTCAAGTCGGGCCTTGATTTCCCGAATTGATGAGCTGGAACTATTGTTGCCTCCTTCCATTTCCCCTCCAATCCTGAAGCTTTCCAAATCTCAAGCTTCAGGCTCCCATTAATTAACTTCAACCCCCAACGTCCATCCCATCCCATGTGGTGGTCTGGGGTGCCCTTGTAGACAGTTTTCCAAAGGTTCTGGCTCAAGAATAGATTCGAGCAATCTCGGACCGAGCATTCCCAGCAGCTTCCAGCACAGGACAAGGCCCGTTTAGCCTAGGAACCTTGACTTCTGAACTTCCGTTTCCCAGGCCGGAACCAACTGTGAGGGGGGCCCAGCTAGTTTCCCCTTTCGTCCAGGCTCTTTGAGCGCACGAATCGCAGCTTCTCACACTCCTCACCGCTAGCTGGCATGGATGTCGATATTGGTAGCCAATCACGGCAGACTATATCTTCTCCGCGAAGTCTTGGCAGTTATGAATCTCGGTCATACAAATGCAGGGTTTTAATCCTAACCTTGCCCTTGTCTTGTCTCTGCCCTTGGTATTAATGAAGCACATTCTGTCAAATTTCAAATTTCGGTGATAGAAGCAGGATCGTATTCCATTAAGAGGAATCATAACGAATAATTAATTCTTGGAAATTAATTCTCTCACTTGGCAAAAATCCCAGATGCAGGCCCCATCTGCTTAAACCGTTTCAAACAGTGAAATCTCTGATAAGATATCCATTCTCTCTCCACAAACGATACGCCGGCGTATAATACGGAGGATTATATCCACAATCGGAGCCGCTTTTGCGGCGTTTCTCCCCACCTTGTGGCGCTCTCCCTTTCGTTGCCCTTTCGGCCGTTCTATTCTCTATCATTTTTTTATATCGCGGCTTTACCCCTCGCAAGTCTCTTGGCATTGGTCCGGATAGTTGCTTCGGGTTCAATCACTGACTCTCTTCTCGGCGCTTGTCTCGCTTGGTTGGAATCCAAAGGGAGTCGTTTGCGATACATCGGAAACAGGAGAATAGACCTCGGCGATAAAAATAAATAAAAAAAGACACACTTAGTGTTGTTATGCGAGGGTACAATCATATCATCTGAGGGGTTGAGTTAAAGTGATTGGTGTACGATTGTCAGATGCTCTCGTCTTGAAGTATCTGAGACAGCTTCAAAGAGCTACTCCGCATTTTGCCTGAGGAATGATCTACGGTTCCATCCCCGAGCCGAAAGAGGTCTGGAGCTATCGCAGCTACAGCTGTTATGTCGCAGATGCACAGAGGGGTCTTTTTGCCTCCTTACCCCGACTGCCTAGAACGTTGATTGATGTGCTTATCACACATTTCTCAGCGACTGGACCGTTCCAAGCTGATCCTCCTCCCACAGATGATAATCATGATAGGACGGTCTGGCCCGTCGCTAACTGGACAACTCTCAAACGTGCTTGGTTGTCTGGATTCACAACTGCTGCAAGCTTGCTGATCGCGTCAGATAACAGTGGTTCTGATCTCGACTTCCAACCAACCAAGACAGTTTGAAGCCATATGGCAATGCCGAAAAGACCCTGCGTATTTCCGCTTTATACACTCCACCTTTATCCGCAGTGTTTGAGGTTGATCCGGCGGTCAAGTTGAATGAATTATCGGCGTCTACGAAGATCTATTCAGTCCAAAACCTCCACTATATCTGCGCCTTGCGGCGGATATAATTCGTGATGACCACAAAAATGGGTATCAGGGTCCTCTTTCTCCACGACTCTTGCGCCATTTGATGATCTACATCGTCATCGAGCAGATAGAAAATCATGTAAATGGAAGAAACTCCATCCTTTGACTTATCTGTGACACATGTCTCCGCCGCCACCTCTGGAGAGATCTCTCCAGCCACACCTGGCACTCCATATTTTTCCGAACAATGCCGGTTCGTCTGGGGAAACACCAACTTGACATTACTCGCCAAAAGTCGATGACTAGAATGCTTCGGTGCTTCTTTGACAGGGAAGATTCCATGGAAGAATTCACTCACATTACCTAAGGCATTCTCCGCCTCGGCACAACTTGCAAATTGCAATGTATTGCGATCCAGACACCTGAAATTCCTCATCGCCTACACCCGAGTTAATCTCGCTTCAGTGGGTCTTTACCGTTGAACACTGAGAAAAAAACCAGATCCCTACTACGGACCGCGCGCCCGGGTGCTAGTGCCGGTATTGATTAATTGTTGACATGGAATAAGTTCAAGTGCCAGGTTTCTTTTCCAACGCTTCGGTTTTCGATCTCGGTCATGAATCGTTTGGTAAATTACGGCCCAGCCATTTTATACCGGGGGTGAATAACAACTGTGTCCGTGTCAACCCTCACCGTTGTCCTCCAGGAGTTGGAACGAAATAAACTTTGATATTGACACAATGCTGGTAATATCAGGCCCATTGCCGTATTTACTGTGTGGATGTGGATGTGGATGAGTAAGAGGTTAAGGAAGAAGACGTCATATACCACACTCACTGTAACCATATTACAAACTGCGATTACCCGCGGGAAGAGACAACAACACCTCTGACAGTTTTGTGTACGAATTGCCAAGAATTCAAGACTCGTCAAAAGCGTATCGCAGGCTGGATCTGATTCATGCTCCGTCTTCATCCGTCTCGCAACCCAAGTCATTGAGCGGCCACTGGCTCTAACCATTCTCGTTGTGAAATCTCTTTAATAGCGCCTAACCGGCGTAATTGATGTTTGACCGCCGTTATGGACGATAGAGTTCTCGCTTGGGTATTCATCCGGTGCGGAAGCAGAAGCAATAATTTCCTCCTGTATCATAACACAGCATAATCCCCCCTTGCGACGTTACCGACTCAACACCCATGTGAAAAAGCAATTACTTACTAGTATACGTACGTATCCGACACTGCGGACGGACGGACGGGTGCATTTGAAACTTTGATGTTTGCTTTGGCGATTCATCTTAAACAGTGTCATAACCCCGGACACGGGCTCGTTCCTAGCTCCCCCAGCCGAATGGACGGTAGGACGGCCAGGTACGGAACGCTGTTCCACCCTTCCGAAGGCCTACTTCCTCCTGGCTGGCAGCCTCGTCTTTTTACCTGGCTGTTTTCTTTTTCTTTTAGCCGCGATAGGTTTGAGTCGTTCAAGGACCCTGGGAGTCAACCACCGCTTTGACTAAAGACGTCTCCACTTAGAGAGGCCCTGCACACTGACCCGAACCGGCGGTTCTCCTCACCTCCAAGGCTGGCGATGCTCATGGTTCGTCCGAATTGCTTCCTCCTGGAGCACTGGCCCCGTCATAACGTAAAAGAGGATCCTCTTAATACGGGGGCATCTTGCAATAGAGCCGAAGATTGTGGCTTATCTGAGGGGCTCACGGGCCTTCTGTCAGGATTTTCTAGAGCTTCCTTTTCTTCTTTCTTGGAAAGTACCATGAGTGCTGTCCACCTTCTCTTTCGGGATTGGAAGTCTTATTGGATGCAGAAAAATATGCAGGTGGTTGTGGGCACTAGAAGGAACGGTAGAAGGTTCTTGGAAGGCCAGTCAGGATGTGTCATGAAATCATTCAAGTGTGTCAATTCGATGCATCCTTTGCTTGAGATGTGTTGCTCCTGAATCGTTCACTTCAGTCATTGCAAAACCTTAAAAATACTGTCTCTTTCCAAATCTCGGACATGATTCCGTGCTACCTCGGATAAGGGGAGTGCCTTCCGGGTTTGAAATAGGTTTAGGTTCCGCGATTCCCACGTGTTTGCGGTCGCGGTTGCGATTGCGGCACCGCGGAGAAGATCACAGCGAGGAAAGTGAGGAAAGTTCAGCTCTTGCCTCTTTTGTCCACAGTATCTTATCGGCCGCACTTTTTGCGACATTGCCGGAAAGAGACCGAGCTTAGAGAAGGAAAGATAACTAAAGTTGCCCGAAGCTGGGGAAGAAGGGATCTGGTTCCATTAATTACCCCTTTTGGCTTGAATTGTGAGCGGGCCAATGGATGGATAAGATGGAGGGGTGTGAGTCTTCCAGCGAACTCTTCAGTGGTGAAGAAGCCTAGAAGGTCCGCTAGAAGGTCGATCATTCAATGGAACCGCTTGGTAACGCGGGTGAGCGAGTCGCGTAGGCCTTTATTCTTCATCTGAAGGCTTCAAGTCTGCCACGCGATTGACAGTTTAGACGTTTCATTGGCGATGGTAATGCATCAACAGAGTTGCCACGAGTTTGACCTGAGTCTGAGGGTGTGCGTTCGTTGACATCTCAGCGTCCTTCCAAGCTCTGATGGTTTCATGAATGAATCGCAACTAATACCTGTTACCCCTGGAGATGCGACAGTCTCAATTGAATCCTGAGTTTTCATCATTAGACATGTCTAATAATGCAGACGTTTTCGACGAGACTGCCACAGATAATAGCAGGATTTTCTGAGACACTTGTTTCCGGACGATCGAGAAATATCCTGACGCGGTCGATTCTTAGGAAGGGAGTTTGATGCGATCGTTGTATGATAGAAGAATCATCAATCATCAATCAATCAAGGACGATTCAGGTCTTGACTGCCAAGGCACACTGAGATGTCACTGTGATCTCCGTACGCCACAACGTGGTGAGCGCCGCCTACGCCACGACTCATCGCGAGAGATTACCTATTTGGTTGAAACCTAAACCGATCCCTTTTGCGAAAGATTGCAATTTCCACTTCTCTATGTCGCGTTGGCGGGAAGTGAAGAGTTTTCGTGTCTAGAGTATGACGTCGTACAAGCTGGAAATGTGATGTGTCGTCGTCAATATCAAGATTGAACCCCGGCCGAATTCATGTAAATGGGAATGCGAAAGCGATTGTGGCTTTTTTTACTTTGCTTGTTGCATTGTCGGAAGTGATGTCGTAGGCTGTGATACACCGGTACTGACTGCTATAGCCAGCTGAGGTGATACTGCACTCATCCACAGCCTGTAGTTACTGTCACAGTGATGAGGCCAGGAATAGTATCACTCAGGTTGCATTCGCAATACGGAGGCCGCGGGGATGAATATTGATTACGCATCGTACAGTATCTGACATGATATTGGCTCGGATCTGTCAGCTCCGGATTTACAGTTGAGCAACACAGCCAGCAGTGAGGTGTGTCTTTGTTGGTGATTAATTAATTCATCTGACAACGGATTGTGTTGTGTTTAGTTGAGTCTCGTGATAAAACTCGCCTTGGCTTGGTCCCCGAACTGTAACAATCCAGCGCTTCATGTTTCTACACGTCCTTGCATTTACACTGGGGGCTGAGGCCAAGGCTGCCCAGGCGGTGATGACGAAGGGTCAGCCAGCAAGCATTACGTCTGATAGCAGTGCCTCGTCATCTACTCAAGGATCATGATCATGTTATGGGGTAATCCGGGGTAACTGTAAAACTGGAACTGTGTTTAGTGTACGTACTGTAGTTTCAACTGTCCGATCCGGTTGACTTGTTGTTGCACCTAAAGTTTGTCGTTCATAAGTAATTAGCTGTGTTTCTGGGGTTATTGGTCGTTGTTGATCAACAACGATTATCAAAGTATTGCGTTGACCTCCGATGGAGGGTTAACTGTAGGGTAGGTAAATCATGATCACCTATAATGAGCATGTCACTGAGCGACAAAGGGCGTTATGATAATCTCATATTGAGGAATCATGATGGAGTGCGATCGATAGACATGTAAAAACGTTTAATTAACTTCATAGCTGGAATTTCCTCAATAGTTCCCTCCTTGTGATGCCGTCATTGACATCGATCCTCAACCTCATACACGCCCTCTGGATTCCTTTGATTGAGCCTAATATGAGTGATTGCATGTTTTCTTCTTGATCCGAAATCGGCCCAAATTTAGGTTATTCGTCTCGTCTCGTCTCCTGACAAGGGCCAATCTCTATCATCCCATCCACGGCATGCCACCTCCCACGATAATTGAGTGGGGGTATAAAGTAGGTACGGAGATTGGTCTCACATATCAATATCACGTCAATCACATCAGACAAATCACTTAAGGTCTCAATGAAACGTTTCATCTTTGCTATTTTCCAGGTACCAAAAAGTAAAATTAATTAGAGCAATCACCCGCTGCAGCCTCGCAAGCCTCAAGGCCGATCTGGTAGTTGTCTCTTTAGTTTCCTCATCTGATATTAAGGTTAAGATGCCGTTTCATTGGATATGATAATGCCGTAACAGCGCCATGCCGCCAACAAACTGCCGGACAAACAGCTGAACAACAGAAGCAATCAACAACCAATAGCCCCTGTAAGAGTGCCATCTCCAGTGTCTCACTCTCAGGCGTCAAGAGCGTTAAACCAACGTTAGGCTCGGGTCAGGTGCTTGCCGTACCTTGCCGTACCGCACCCGTCCCGATGATCTTGCATCCGTTGCTTGATCCCTTTTCCCTTGTCTGGTCTTGTTTGCTCTTCTCCCACTCACTTCTCCCCCCACGCAAGGGCAACAGACTCAAACTCAATCCTACGAACAATTCTCAGCCAAGGGATCGCTACACGAGGGACGATCCTCTAGTTCCCGCCTCGCTTT